TTTTTATACCTTTTTATCCACTTTTTGGGACATATTGCACTATTATTGCTTTTTCGTTTTATCTTCTCCCTGGTTGCCGGTCATCATACTGAAGAGGAAGCTCACTGTATATCCTATAAGCGGGGATAATACCGCTGCAAGTTATCCACACCAGAGCTGGATTAAGCTCTACTAAAAGTGAGTATTATCTCTTCTTTTTTATTTGGATACCCGTTGGATCACTCCACACCATCTCATCACCCATCACCCTCCTCCATATACCAGGAAGGAACAAAATTCCACAACTACAGAGACGAACATAATACCAAGTTTTTTATTACATTGGACTTTATTCCCATATTCTAATAAGGACTTTTCATTTCTGTCTATTGGCGCAGTCCCATCCTTCTATTTTATTGTTTTTTGTATTTATTCCAAGGTCACTTGAGGGAGTCCTTGTTTGGGATTGCTGCCCCTTGTATCTCTTTCCGATATATTAACGCTGACTCCATTCTCTATTTTCTGTTATCTCGTAGGTAAAGTTGGCTAAGTCATTAACAAAAAAAATCAAACAAAAAAAAAACTGTTAAAATAAAAGAAATATATGGTATGGGTGGTAATATCTTTTGTAGAATTGATCCGTCGGCCCTCATCTCTAAACCAACACCATACACTACAGTCCCGACTCTGGTTTCGCCTTCACGGCTCTTCCAGGGGTAGGGTGAATAGGTGTCTTCAATGGGCTAGCCGTGAATTGGAAATAGGAGTACAAGATCTGCCATTTGGAGAAAAAGTTTTGGTCGAAGTCGAAGTACAGAAGTTCAAGAGAAGTAAGTTAGGATGTGAATAGAGGTAGGATTAAAAGCTGAGGGAAAAGGAAATTAAAGTGAGGCGCGAGCGGGACCCCTCCCCCACCTCAAGCATTCACCTGTGCTACCTCCTCGGCATCTGCCTGTGCAAGGTAGCTATACCACGGGCTCCATTGTTCTGCGTGCTTGGTGCTTCAGCCCAATAATTCAGTGAATTCAGCTTCTGCTGCGTGAATCTCTTCCACCTGCTGTAGCCACTGGCTTATGGTCAGTCATATTGTTTGCTTCCAAAGAACCGGTATCAAAGATTTAGCTGCGTTGAGCATGTGTCTTAGAGTCTAATCTTTGTACATTCTAGATGTGAAAACTCTGGGTTTTGCCCAAGATCTTTGTTACTTAATTTTTAATCTCTTCCCAATACGATTGTATTAGACTATTCTAATACAACCCGAACATACAGTGATATGTCCGTGTTCGGGTCCGGGGTCCAAAAAACGTAATGTTCGGTACGAACCCGAACTTTACAGTCCGTGTTCGCTCAACTCTACTAGTGATTATAGCAATCTAAAGAGCAATCCCAAAAGCAGGGATTATAGCTGGTATAGCTGTTCCCTACAATCACGAGACAAGGCTCACAGCGCAGTTGTAAACATTCTAATTTTCTGGGTGCTAAATAGTACATTTGGGGTGTGCACTTCATATCTGGTGTATGTGTGCAACACTGGCTAGTTACTTCATGTTTAATCTCTTCCCAATACGATTGTATTCTACTGCAATCCCACCATATGTGACGTATAGATCCGAGCGCTGATTCGCATCTCCAGCAGTTGTCAGGTGTGGCAGAAATGCCTCTGCAATGAGTTCTTGGAGGGGCCTGCTTGCCAGACTCCTGCCAAAAGACTATGGGCCCTTTATAAAGTATGTGATTTTTTTACTTTTGTACTCCAGAGAGAGAGACCAAATGTTAGCCCTGATTCCCTGGAACTGTTTTGGGCATAGGACCATGTGTACAGTCAGTCAGTCTTTATGACTTCCACGGAAATCCCGAACCTCTGAACCGATCTGGGTGATTTTTGAATAAGTTGGTCGCCCAGATCGGGGCTATCAGGGGATATGACTTTTGTGGGGTTTCCATGTGTTAAGGGTACTTTTGGGATGTTGTTGTGTTGCATGTTTCTTGTACTGAGAGATAATTTAGTTATATGTTTGTGAACTGGACCTGAGAGCCAATATAATCGTGTGTATGTTTTTACTGTGGACTACTCTCAGGTCCAGGGGGGAGTGCCCCTTGCACGGGGACCTGCATATAAGGCCAGTTGTGGCTGCCATTAAACAGTTCTACTTCAGCCTCAACACAGAGCCTTGTCTCGTGATTGAAGGGAACAGCTATACCAGCTATAATGCCTGCTCTTGGGATTGCTCTTTAGATTGCTATAATCACTAGTAGAGTTGAGCGAACCCGGACTGTAAAGTTCGGGTTCATACCAAACATTACGTTTTTTGGACCCCGGCCCCGAACACGGACATATCACTGTACGTTCAGGTTGGAGTACGGTGTTTGGCGATTTAATGGCGCGTTTTCAAAGGCTGCAGGGCAGTCAATCAACAAGCATTTGACTCTTGTGCCCTTAGAAGCCATCACAGCCATGCCTACTAATGGCATGGATGTGATTGGCCAGAGCAGCATGTGACCCAGCCTCTATATATAAGCTGTAGTCGCATAGCGCTGCACGCACATGAGGTCTTATTAGTGTAGGGAAAGGATGCTGCCGCTGTGAGGCACAGCTTAGGAAAGAATTTTGCAAACTAGTACATTAGTGGGGTGCACTTCATATCTGAGAGTCAAATAGAAGCATCAAATACCGCGGTTACATCAGAGTTTTAAAAAGTCATTTTTTTTTTGGTGCTAAACAGTACATTAGTGGGGTGCACTTCATATCTGAGAGTCAAATAGAATTGTCAAATACTGCTGTCACATTGCAGTTTTAAAAAGTCATTTTTTTTTTGGTGCTAAACAGTACATTAGTGGGGTGCACTTTACATCTGAGAGTCAAATAGAAGCGTCAAATACTGCTGTCACATTGCAGTTTTAAAACTTAAAAAATTTTGGGTGCTAAACTGCTAAATAGTATTTTAGTGGGGTGCACTTCATATCTGAGAGTCAAATAGAAGCGTCAAATAGTGCGGTTACAGCGCAATTGTAATCATTCTTATTTTCTGTCTGCTAATCTGCTAAATAGTACATTTTGGGGCCTGCTCTTCATATCTGAGAGTCAAATCGAGGCGTCTAATAGTGCGCTTACAGCACAGTTGTAAAAATTCTAATTTTCTGGGTGCTAATCTGCTAAATAGTACATTTTGGGGTGTGTACTTCATACACAGTACAACAGTACATTTTGCACTTTATATCTGAGAGTCAAATAGAAACGTCAAATACTGCTGTCACATTGCAGTTTTAAAACTTAAAAAAAATTTGGGTGCTAAACTGCTAAATAGTATTTTAGTGGGGTGCACTTCATATCTGAGTGTCAAATAGAAGCGTCAAATAGTGCAGTTACAGCGCAATTGTAAACATTCTTATTTTCTGGCTGCTAATCTGCTAAATAGTACATTTTGGGGCCTGCTCTTCATATCTGAGAGTCAAATCGAGGTGTCTAATAGTGCGCTTACAGCACAGTTCTAAAAATTCTAATTTTCTGGGTGCTAATCTGCTAAATAGTACATTTTGGGGCGTGTACTTCATACACAGTACAATAGTACATTTTGTACTTTATATCTGAGAGTCAAATAGAAGCGTCAAATACTGCTGTCACATTGCAGTTTTAAAACTTAAAAAAATTGGGTGCTTAACTGCTAAATAGTATTTTAGTGGGGTGCACTTCATATCTGAGAGTCAAATCGAGGCGTCTAATAGTGCGCTTACAGCGCAGTTGTAAAAATTCTAATTTTCTGGGTGCTAATCTGCTAAATAGTACATTTTGGGGCGTGCACTTCATATCTGAGAGTCAAATAGAAGCGTCAAATAGTGAGGTTACAGCGCAATTGTAAACATTCTTATTTTCTGGCTGCTAATCTGCTAAATAGTACATTTTGGGGCCTGCTCTTCATATCTGAGAGTCAAATCGAGGCGTCTAATAGTGCGCTTACAGCGCAGTTGTAAAATTTTTATTTTCTGGGTGCTAATCTGCTAAATAGTACATTTTGGGGCGTGCACTTCATATCTGAGAGTCAAATAGTGCGGTTACAGCGCAATTGTAAACATTCTTATTTTCTGGCTGCTAATCTGCTAAATAGTACATTTTGGGGCCTGCTCTTCATATCTGAGAGTCAAATCGAAGCGTCTAATAGTGCGCTTACAGCGCAGTTGTAAACATTCTAATTTTCTGGCTGCTAAATAGTAAATTTGGGGTGTGTACTTCACATCTGGTGTATGTGTGCAACAAGACAAGTTAAAAACAAGACTACAAGTCATGCTATAACAAAATTAAACAAGTTGTAAAATATGTATGGGCCAACCAGTGGCTGTAAAAACAAAGTTTTACTGGTTACATTCATGACTATACACTCTAGTGAACAGGACCTTCATGTAGTGTGTGTTTTATTTTTTTTAATCATACAGCATCCTTTGATGTGCTTTTCAGATGTCAAATTGTTAATTACCAATTTTTGTTTAGCCTGATTTTTTTTTTAAAGTGAAAAATAAGTGTTACTGTGATCGCTTCATATACAGAATCATTAATATACATTTCTAGATTGTGTAAAGACACAACTACAAAGTTAAAAAAACAAACACCAAAACAACGTGCTAGACAATCTACCTGTGCATGGCTAGTGTGATACAATAAGTCTACATCTTAAAAATGCAATAACCTACAGAAGATGGGCGACAATTTTTTTTTTGCAAATGGAACTTTGATTCGAATTTACTACATCGGTCACTTGTAATATTGTTTCACACCTACAACACTTGTTACACAGATCTAAGTGATAGAAAACAGATTGATATTTTCTACACTAGAAACTACCAGATAACAAGCTGCTATATTTAAACCAGTTAGCTAAGAGGTACTTAAACAATATTGTAATTCTGGGGCAATACCCTCACAAGTCAAACTGAGAGGTCAGTTTATAGGAAAAACTATTGCCTGGATACAATTCTAAAACAATTTCCAAATGTCCTTTGCAGACTTTACATGCTGGAAAAACACAGGTGCCATCTGCTGTGGCTTTGTGCAGTGTGCATACCGGCAAGGAGGGCAGGGTTGTGGAGTGGGTGGAAGACGATGTGGAGGATGATGAGGTCCTAGACCCCACATGGAATCAAGGTCATGCGAGTGACCTGTGCAGTTTGGAGGAAGAGGCACTGGTCGCACAGAGGCACCAGCACAGCATAAGAGGGAGCAGGGTGCAAAAGCGGAGCGGCCGTCCCCTAGCGCTCATCGGCATGTATTATCTTTAGAATTCCCACAGTTATCCAAGTAACAGTTGAAGCGATAAAAAGAGCCATAACAGGTTTAACAAGCCATTCGCAGTTTTGTAGTCTGGTGACCGGGACCCAGACACTGTCTGGGCGGCGGTCGGATGACCGGGACCCAGTATGCCTGATGTAGAAGTTAGGAGTCACAGTGTGGAGTGGATTAGTAGGGTTTGGTGCAGGGTAACCGCACGCCCCCTGGTGTTGAGCACCAGCGTTTGTGCGGCCACATACCAGTACCCTGATGCAGCTTCAGTAAAAAGAGTACTGGATACCAGAAGCCATCACCAGACTGATCCGCAACTTGGAACAGGATGTGACATTCACTGTAGCGGCTGTGCGCGCTTTCGGCGTTCTCACCCTGCTACTGCTGCTCGCCTGTGTACGCTGCAGCATAACTTTGGCCTTCCCGCTCACTGCCTCATATGCGACGTGCCCACAAGGTGGTACTCCACCTTGCACATGCTGGAGAGGCTGTTTGAGCAGCAGCAGGCGATAGTGGAGTTTCAGCTGCAGCATGCACGGGTCAGTGGTTCTGCACCACATTTCCCTCCAATTGATCAGAGTTGAAGGATTTCAAGTGGACTCATTACAATTACAGGGCCTCTAAAGAGTCCTGTATTGTTATTTGTCGTCACTACCTTCCCGCATCGGGAGTGGGTCATTTGCGCCCTTGCTGCCTTCATTGCCTGTGGTAGCCGTTTGTCAGGGTCCCTGTACGGAATCGAACCCTGATTCCCCATTACCCGTGGTCACCATGGTAGGCGCAGTAAATGACATCGAAAGTTGATATGGATTGACATACGAATGCGTCGTCGCCTTCTCGTTGGGGAGCACATTAAAAAAGTGCTCTAGCATGACGAGCTGGGTGATCTCCTCCGGGAACTTGGCTTGATGGGAGTTGAGCCAGTTCTGGGTGGTCCTGGTGATGCCATGGTGTATACCCAGATATATCAGAGCTGCTGCAGAAAGTGTGGGCCGTCTGTGCGCACTTTTGGCGTTTTCACCCTGCTGCTCGCCTGTCTGCGCTGCAGCGTACCTTCGGCCTTCCCGATCACCGCCTCATGAGACTGTGCGAGCAGCAGCAGGTGATAATGGAGTTTCAGATGCAGCATGCATTGGTCAGTCGCTCTGCGGCACAGTTTACTTTTTTTATATGTCCCAATATTTTGGGGGCTACCCCAATTAAAATAAAAAAAATAGATATATATAAACAGTGTTGGCTACCTCCTCCTCTTCCTCCACCGCCGCTTCCACCTACATCACCACGGTCACCACCTCCTCAACCTATGGGTCACTTAGTATAAACTATGTACACAATAGCAGAGGTTTGTGAAGGCCTTTTCTCCATGCATCAGGAGTTGAGCATTTCTCCATGCATCAGGACTGCAAGAAATGCTCCGCAGGCCGCAAATGTTTCTTTTTTTGTATGTCCCAATATTTTGGGGGCTACCCCAATTAAAATAAAAAATATATATATATAAATAGCGTTGGCTACCTGCTCCTCCACAGCCACTTCCACCTACACCGCCATGGTCACTGCCTCCTCAACCTATAGGTCACTTTGTATAAACTTGTACACAATAGCAGAGGCTTGTGAAGGCTTTTTCTCCATGCATCAGGAGTTGAGCATTTCTCCATGCATCTGGACTGCAAGAAATGCACCGCAAGCCGCAAATGTTTCTTTTTTTGTATGTCCCAATATTTTGGGGGCTCACCCAATTAAAATAAAAAATAGATATATATAAACAGTGTTGGCTACCTCCTCCTACTCCACCGCCGCTTCCACCTACACCGCCACGGTCACTGCCTCCTCAACCTATGGGTCACTTAGTATAAACTATGTACACAATAGCAGAGGCTTGTGAAGGCCTTTTCTCCATGCATCAGGAGTTGAGCATGTCTCCATGCATCTGGACTGCAAGAAATGCACCGCAGGCCGCAAATGTTTCTTTTTTTTGTATGGCCCAATATTTTGGGGGCTACCCCAATTAAAATAAAAAATAGATATATATAAACAGTGTTGGCTTCCTCCTCCACCGCCGCTTCCACCTACATCGCCACGGTCACGCCTCCTCAACCTATGGGTCACTTAGTATAAACTATGTACACAATAGCAGAGGCTTTTGAAGGCCTTTTCTCCATGCATCAGGAGTTGAGAATTTCTCCATGCATCAGGACTGCAAGAAATGCACCGCAGGCCGCAAATGTTTCTTTTTTTGTATGTCCCAATATTTTGGGGTCTACCCCAATTAAAATAAAAATTATATATATATAAACAGTGTTGGCTACCTGTTCCTCCACCGCCGCTTCCACCTACACCGCCACGGTCACCGCTCCTCAACCCATGGGTCACTTAGTATAAACTATGTACACAATAGCAGAGGCTTTTCAAGGCCTTTTCTCCATGCATCAGGAGTTGAGCATTTCTCCATGCATCAGGACTGCAAGAAATGCACCGCAGGCCGCAAATGTTTATTTTTTTTGTATGTCCCAATATTTTGGGGGCTACCCCAATTAAAATAAAAAATAGATATATATAAACAGTGTTAGCTACCTGCTCCTCCACAGCCACTTCCACCTACACCGCCACGGTCACCGCTCCTCAACCTATGGGTCACTTAGTATAAACTATGTACACAATAGCAGAGGCTTGTGAAGGCCTTTTCTCCATGCATCAGGAGTTGAGCTCAGTTTGAACAATGAAAGAGAATACCCTGTACTCCAACCCTCTCTCAAATGGATAATTCTGGTGATCCTCCTGACAGCCATGCTTTAGATTTTGCTTTATGTTCTTCCAAAGCTAAAATCAAAGATTCCATCTAGTGCTATTTTATGACTCAGCTGTATTTTTAATTGTTATGTTATTTTAAGTGATTTCCCTATCCACATTTGTTTGCAGGGCACTTGTCCTACTCTTATCCCCATTTTACTTCCTTTTGCAGCCCTCTAGCCCTTTCCAGGACTTTTTTAGAGGCATTTTTGTGGCCAAAAGTTCGGGGTCAAGTTCAATCACGAACCCAGACTTTTTTTCAAAGTTCGGCCGAACCCGCCGGACCAGAACATCTTGGTGTCTGCTCAACTCTAATCACTAGCTCTTGTACAAGCTACACAGCTACACCTGCTATATTCTCTTGGAGGAGAGGTCTTCTCACTGGGAGCTGGATCCAGGTGAGAAGGGACGGCGAGACCCCAGCCAAGCAGGGGCGGCTAAGGGGATTACGGTGTTTATGGTGTCCTGTGCGGTGCTTATAGTACAGTCGGGGTGAAAGGTACACATCAGGTATTGTTGGAAATATTCGGTGCAGGAAGAAAGGCATTCGGTATCAGTGAGAGAGTAGTTTAATGTTGACCTCTTGGTATTTGGAGCTCACTGAGCTTTTGTGTTGAAGTAGGAGTATCTTATCCCATTGATCATCAGAGAAGGTCCGGGTTGTCAGTTCCTCCAATGCCTCCCACTGCATCTTTTCTCACTCTGTCTCCTACTATCAGTTGCTGGTATAGTTGGATATTCTGATTTCTGCGTCCATGTGCTTCAAGGGCAACTGTAGGCCAGCAAGCCTTACTTCAGTAGCGGGGAAAGTGATGGAAACCATGTTAAAGAACAGAAATGTTGAATATCTAAAATAATATGGATTTCAAGATCAGAGACAACATGGCTTTACTCCCGAGAAATCATGCCATACTAATCTTATTGATTTTTTTGATTGAGCAACTAAAATAATATATATAGGTGGTGCAGCAGACATTGCTTACCTAGATTTCAGTAAGGCTTTTGACACTGTTCCACACAGAAGGCTCATCAATAAACTGCAATCTTAAAGTTTGGATTCCAATATTGTTGAAAGGGTTAGGCAGTGGCTGAATGACAGGCAACAGAGGGTTGTAGTCAATGGAGTATATTCGAAGCAAGGTCTAGTTACCACTGGGGTACCTCCATAGGCGTGCGCAGCCTATTGTATAAGGGTGTGCACCCTAAAGCAGAAACACACATGCTGCGTGTATATATATATATATATATATATACACACATACACATACACATACATACACACACACTGCTGTGTGTTTGAGGGTGCTGTGTGTAGGTGCTGTGTGTGAAGGCGCTGTGTGTGTGTGAAGGTGCTGTATGTGTAAGGGTGCTGTTAGTGTGTGCTGTGTGTGTGTAAGGGTGCTGTTAGTGTGTGTGTGTGTGTGTGTGTGAGGGTGCTGTGTGTGCTTTGTGTGTGTGGGTGAGGGTGCTGTGTGTGTAAGGGTGCTGTTAGTGTGTGCTGTGTGTGTATGTGTAAGGGTGCTGTTAGTGTGTGTGTGTGAGGGTGCTGTGTGTGTAAGGGTGCTGTTAGTGTGTGCTTTGTGTGTGTGGGTGAGGGTGCTGTGTGTGTAAGGGTGCTGTTAGTGTGCGCTGTGTGTGTGTAAGGGGGCTGTGTGTGTGCATTCTAACTGGCGGTCTTTATGCATTCCACCTTTGATAATGTGTATTACCAGTCATATGTGATTGAGATCTGAGTGAATCGTAAGGAAGCCTGCATGGTTTAAAATCAGTACAATATAAAAATACATCCAGCACATTTAGTAACTGAGATTGTAGTTTATCGATAAAGATATAAAACAGAGACCAAAATAAAAAGCAAAAAATCAGGCAACTATGTGGTAACACCTCCCATGTGTGAAAGGTTATAGTACAGTAAAAATCCTAATGAAAGGATATTGATAATAATTAGTATCATCTTTAATAGTATAGAAAGTATGGATACTAGTTAGAATTTGGATATATATTACTCTTATGTAGAGATGTCGCGAACCGTCCGCGAACTTCTCGCCAACGGTTCGCCACGAGCTGTTCGCGGCGAACTCCGGTCAGCTGACACGGCCAAACTCCAGCAGACCCTCCCTCCCAGACCCTTTCAACGTGGATGCTGTCCAGGAAGTAGGAGGGTCTGGGAGGGAGGGTCTGCTGGAGATTAGCTGGGACGTGTCAGCTGACCGGAGTTCGCCGCGAACAGCTCGTGGCGAACCGCGGCGAACCGTTCGCGAGAAGTTCGCCGACGGTTCGCGACATCTCTACTTTTATGGTGTATTTTGATATATTTTGATTATAATATTTTATAAACTAGGGAGTATTGCCACATAATTGTCTAAATAAGTATGAAACATACAGATACATAAAAACATGAAAAAAACATATATATCCACAGAACCTAAACCAATCACATAGATGGATATAGTGTGTATAATGGCAAAAAGACTTTTTAAATATTAGGAACCATTTGGGGAATAAATATCCCATTCCAGAAATGCATGAAAACACAAACCTTAAACATCTGTTATAACAAAATACAAATCCCTTAAGAGAAATATCCTAGTTTTAAATGTAACCCTTTATGTAATTAATTTGTTAGAGAAAGCACACTATATCTATATCTGCATTGAAACCACCTAGATCCAGGAAACCCAGTTGATGGATCCAAAAGGTTTCACGCTGTGTGAGTCTGTCTTCTCTATTTCCTCCTGCTCAATGTGGTGGAATATGTTCTATTCCAAAGAAGGAGAATTAATTCCAGCTAAAATGTGAACAGGAGTTGCAATGTACAGGGACTGTATGGTTGATGGCCTTCTTTCTGATGTTTCCAAAGTGTTCTAAAAGCCTCACTTTTTGTTTTGCCAACATATTGTTTGCCAAACGGACACTGTAATAAATATATCACGTGATCCGTGTGGCAATCTATTTTGTGTTTGATTGTGTATTGTTTCCCTGTTACTGTACTAGTAAAGTTCTTCACCATCGACTTTTATTGCATGCTTTGCAGTGTCCGCAATATCTGAATCCCTTATCCGAAGTATGGTTGTCCATCTTGTCAATATGTTGAATACTGTAGTTTGGAGCTAATTTATTTTTAAGATTTTGATTCCTTTTAAAAATAATGGGTGGTCGTTCTGGCAAAAAGGATCCGAGGATGTTATCCTCTCAAATAATATTGTACAATATTTTGATATTGCTCTTTTGATTTTAAAGTGATCGGTGTTATACCTAGTAGTAAAAGCATATTCAAATTTCTGTATCTGTTTATTTATTTATTTTTTGCTAGAGTGTGTTGGTCTATCTTTCATTAATTAATTTCTATCTATCTCTGCTATTCTTTTTATTTCCTTTTCAATATGATGTTTCTTATAACCTTTCGTTATTAGTTTGTTTTGTATGATGGCAGCTTGTTGAGAATAGTCATTCAGAGTAGTGCTTTTACATTTAACTCTTGTGAGTTGGCTCTTAGCAATGCCTCGGTGTCAGGGCTCTTGGTGACAATTTTGCCTATGAAATAAAATAGCATTTGGAGACTATGTCCATGTATTCATTTGAAAGGGTCACATCTAGAAAGTTTTTACTACAATGCCATTCAGAAGTGAATTTTAGATTATATGTGTCAGTGTTCAAAAACTCAACAAAATTATGAAAAGAATGTTCTGATCCTCGCCAAATAATAAGCACATTGTCTATAAACCTCCGCCACAGGACCAAGTCTCGACCCCAGCCGTGCCAAGCCCCCATGGTAAGTTCTTCCCATCTTCTCATGTAGATGTCGTCATAGCTGGCGGCGAACCTGTGAAGCATCTGTGTTTTGGGTTAAGGCTCTTGGCAGTTTGGGGAGAAAAAGTGAAGGAGAGTAGTGCCTTTGAAAAGGGCAAAGTTTACCTGTTTTGCCCTTAGTAAGCCCCTGTCCCTTCCTCAGCCCTGTCCCCTCCTCAGCCCCTGTCCCCTTAGTCAGCACCTGTCCCCTCCTCAGCCCATGTCCCCAGCCTCAGCCCATGTCCCCTCCTCAGTCCCTATCACCCTACCTCAGCCCCTGTCCCTTAAGTCAGACCCTGTCCCCTTAGTCAGCCCCTGTCCCCTCCCAGCCCTGTCCCCTTCTCAGCCCTGTACCCTTAGTCAGCCCTTACCCCCCCCTCCTCAGCCCTGTCCCCCCTCCTCAGTCCTGTCCCCTACCACAGCCCCTGTCCCCTACATCAGCCCCTGTCCCCTACATCAGCCCCTGTCCCCTACATCAGCCCCTGTCCCCTTAGTCAGCCCCTGTCATCCCTCCTCAGCCCCTTTCCCAAGTTGGAGCCAACAACCTACTTCAGCCCCTATCCCCCCCCTACATTTCCTAAACCCCCAATTACAGAGTATACCCTCCACTACAGCCCCTGTCCCCCCACTGCAGCCCTGTCCCCTTACTCAGCCCCTGTCTACTGTGTGTGTGCCAGTATGTCTGTCTATTTGTGTGCAAGTATGTCTCTGTGTGTGTGCCAGTTTGTCTGTGTGTGTGTGTCTCTGTGTGTGTGCCAGTTTGTCTGTGTGTGTATGTTCCACTCTGAGTCATGTGAGTGGAACTCCTATCCCACCCTTTCTGTTGTATGCTTTTAAATAGTTCACGCTATGTTGTGCATTTTCAGTTTTCTAGGTTCCCTGTGAAAAAATACGTTTGTATTGACTTCTTGTGTCATAAGGTTTTCTCCTTACTAGTATATATATTTCTTCTTTTTGATGGCTTACTAAGTGTTACGGAAAAGCACGTCATATACTAGTTCTGACACCTATTCACTTTTGAAGCGCCTTACACACTTATTTGTTTTCTCTTTAGTTAATTTTTAGTCGCACTGACCAATCATTGTACTTTTTGATCTCCAATAGTGATGTGAAAAAAAAAAAACAGACAGATGCGTACAATGATAATTATCAACTCATAATTGTGCTGTTCTCTTTCTACATTACAATTTCAACAATTCAAAAAAAACAAACATATTAATGTCAACCTTCAACACTGTGAAACAAAAAAAAAAGGGAAATGCACACAAATAAGTAATGAATTCAACTACAAATTTCAGAATCTTCACCATTGTCTTCATTAAAATCTGTTAGGCTCCCTTCTAGTGATGATTCAGTTGAAGTGTTTTCTCTTTCCGAATCCTGCAACAGATGATATCAATACATATTAATTTCCTGAAACAATACCTTTGAGAGTTATGACATTATACCTAGCAGAGGCTGACATATCATGCAGTTTTACTGGGAGGTTATTCACTAAATTGAGAATTCATAGTGAGTTTCAACTTTAAGGCCAATATACTAGAACTGGAAGCATAGCTAACGTTTCTAGTTCAGCTATTTTGGCCTTAAATTTGAAATTCAGTTTTAATTCACTTGGAAGTCTCACTTTGGTGAATAGCCCTGTAAGTCTATCACCAACACCTATGTTTCCTGCATGCAAAGCTCCATAAAAAAAATCCACAGAGTGAGTGGAGAAAATTGTAGGGGGTTATTCATGATTACCTGGTTAACATAGTCCATGTATGTGCACACAGGGCAGACAGATGAAGAGGGAATATTTGAGGTCTGGGGGAAACTTACACTTTTTTTCATACAAACAATTAACTGTCTCATGTTGTAAGAGAGCTGATTGTCTCCCACTTATTTAACGATATCATGCATATTCTTTTTTTTGCTTGTTTTTTTGTTTTTATCATTCAATGTTTTATTGATAGACTTGACGTGATAATAGCATTACAGTATACAATGTAAATAGTACATATTATAGACGGCAGTATGATATGCAGTATAGGTAGCAATTGGCATAAGCAAAAGCACATTAACAGACAGTATCTTAAACAAAAAGGTATTATGAGAAAACAAAATTAATTAGCAAAATGCACATATTGTCTTAATTACTATAGTCATATTCAATGGAGATAGCACTGCATTATATTGTACCGCATGTAAAGGTTAAAAAAAAGTGACAAATTAAGAGAAAATAAGCAGAAGTAAGAAGAGAAAAACAAGTGAAGAGAGCAGACTAAAACCATTAGGAAAGGAAGAAGAAATTGGTCCCAAAAGACCATGGGACAAAAAAGGAATGTGTGGGAGATCTGGTCCTAGCACGTCAATCTATTGGAAGAACATTTATCAGCATAATGATTACAAGTTGATCCAACACGCAGAACCGTGTCACACCTAGGACTAAGGAAAACGTATAACCGGACCTTAGAATGGCCGGACTTAACGTCTCCAAGAATAGTCAAAATACTAGCCGAGGTCAGGAACACAGAATCAGACACAAAGATGAGGGAAAGCCAAAAGTCAAGGATACCAGTAATCAGGGAAGTCAGAACGAAGCCAAAGTCAAATACCAAAAAAAAATAAAGATCAGGAACGCACTCTCGGATTACCATGCAAAGCACCCTCCCTAAATGGGGTTTTATATGGAGTGCATGTAGCATAATGTTATGCTGCTCGACAAGACAGGGTTACCCAAAAACTATGTTATTATTATAAATATTATTGCCATTTATGTAGTGCCAAGAGATTCTGTAGCGCTTTACAATATTATAAGAGGGGGGATTTATATATAGAACAATTACAAAAAACATACAGGAATGATAGGTTGAAGAGGACACTGCTCAAACGAGCTTACAGTCTATAGGAGGTGGGGTATAAAACACAATAGGACAGGAAATAGCAATCAAATAAGGTAAGGTAAAGCAGAGCTGGAGGATAGAGTAAAGTGGTGCCCTTTAGGAGAAAGCAAAGGACAGGTATGTGAGAAAAGGTTACTCTGGGAGGCCATAAACTTTCCTAAAGAGATGAGTTTTAAGGCACTTCTTAAATGATTGAAGACTAGGAGAAAGTCTTATGGTGGTAGGCAGGCTATTCCATAGGAAGGGAGCAGAACTCGAGAAGTCCTGCAAGCGTGAGTTGGCCGTACGGGTGTGAGCAGTGGACAGCAGAAGGTCATGGGCAGAGCGAAGAGACAGAGAAGGGGCATACCTATGGATCTGTGAAGAGATATAAGAGGGGCTAAAATTGTTCAATGCTTTATAGGTGTGGAGTAGTACCTTGAATTGACTCCTATAGGATACAGGAAGCCAATCTAAGGACTGACAGAGGGTTGAGGTGTGAGAGAACTGACTGGAGAGGAAAACCAGTCTGGCGGCAGCATTCATTACAGACTGTAGCAGGGCAATACTCTTTTGGGAAGACCAATTAGGATAGGACTATGCATGCAAGAAATTACTAGAAAATGAGGAAAATGAAGAGCTCCTTAGTAGCATCTTGTGTAAGAAAGGGTCAGATGCGGGCTATGTTTTTAAGATGGAATCTACAGGATTTGGTAACATACTGGATGTGAGGCTCAAAAGTGAGGCCAGAATCAAGTATAATGCCAAGTCAGCGTGCTTGACAGGGATGGACTGATGTGGATACCACTAGCCTGAATGGAGAACGAAAGAGGAGGGTCAGTATTAGGAGTATGAAAGACAAGGAGCTCAGTTTTAGAGAGAGCGAGATTCAGAAAGCGGGAGGACAACCAGTCAGAGAAGGCAAGCAGTGACATGTTGCAGGATGGCAGGGGAGAGATCCAGGAGGAGATATATATCTGGGTGTCATCAGTGTACAGGTGGTAGTGGAATCCAAATGAGGTAATACGTTTGCCAAGAGAGGCAGTATAAAGAGAAAATAGAAGGGGACCAAGGGCAGAGCCTTGGGGTACTCCACCCGAAACAGGACAAAGGGATGTGGTCTCATTGGAAAAGGATACACTGAATAAGTTGGGAAAGATAGGAGAAAAACCACGAGAAGACAGAGTCACAGAGACCAAGTGATTGAAGAGTTTGAGGAAGGAGAGCATAATTAAAAGTGTCAAAGGCAGCAGAGAGGGCAAGAAAAATTAGTATGGAGTAGTGGCATTTGGATTTAGCTGTGATTAGGTCGGTATTAACTTTGATAAGAGCAGTCTCAGTAGAGTGGAGGTGGCAGAAGCCACACTGAAGAGGGTGAAGTAGAGAGTTGGAATTGAGCAAGTGAGACATACGGGTAAAGACAAGTCTTTCCAGAAGTGGTGAGGAAAAAAGGAGCAGGGATATGGGACAATAATTAGAAGGGGAGAGCGGGTCAAGAGATGTTTTTTTTTCAGGATGGGTACCACAGTGTCATGTTTAAGGTCAGCAGGGACAATGCCAGAAGAGAGAGAGAGCAGTTGAAGATGTGTGTTAAGGAAGGCACAAGACACGGGGAGCGAGATCTGATAAGATGGGTCAGACAAGTGGTGGGGCGAGAGGAAAGGAAAAGCGCAGCCACCTCTTGTTCAGTAACCGGGGAGAATGTCTGAAGGGTACGGAAGGCATAAGCTACGTGTGGTTGAGAATTCTTTTCTTAGCTGTTCAATCTTGTTGGTAAAGTAGCATGCAAAGCGATCGACTTTAAGGTTAGTTTGGGAGGTGGCCACAGCAGGGTGAAGAAGAGAGTTAAAAGTATCAAAGAGACGCCTGGGATTGCTGGAGCATAAATTAATGAGAGAGGAAAAGTATGACATTGATATAGAGTACAGTATATACTCGAGTATAAGTCTAGTTTTTCAGCACATTTTTTGTGCTTAAAAACCCCCACTCGACTTATACTCGAGTCACTGTCTGTATTATGGCAACTTAGAGAGCCGCGGCCGTCAGAGCCATGGCAACGATCCGCGCGGCAACCAGACCGCAAGACTTACAGTGGAGCTGACCGGAACGGAGGAGAAGGGAGCTGACAGGAGTTGCAGAAAAGGTAAGTAAATGCTTCCTGCCGGCCCCCCCACTTCACAGCCCATGCCACTGGACCACCAGGGATTAAGAAAGCCCCCCTCCCTGACCAGTTAACAAGCAGGGAGGAAAAAAAAAAAAATTAATAAAAAAATAATAATATTTTTTTTTAAAATTAAAAAAATTTAAATGCCCTCCCCCCACCGGGTTCACACACACTACACAAACACACACTCTGCATTATATACACAGAGTGTGTGTATATAATGCAGAGTGTGTGTTTGTATGAGTGTGTGTTTATAATGCAGAGTGTGTGTTTGTATGAGTGTGTGTGTATATATAATGCAGAGTGTGTGTTTGTATGAGTGTGTGTATATATAATGCAGAGTGTGTGTTTGTATGAGTGTGTGTGTATATATATAATGCAGAGTGTGTGTTTGTATGAGTGTGTGTATATATAATGCAGAGTGTGTGTTTGTATAAGTGTGTATATATATAATGCAGAGTGTGTGTTTGTATGAGTGTGTGTATATATAATGCAGAGTGTGTGTTTGTATGAGTGTGTGTGTATATAATTATAAAAATCACAGAATTTCATAGCCCCAAGTTTTACCCTCGACTTTTTATCCACGAGGCATAGCATATTTCACAATTGTTGGTCACAAAACTGCACTCGACTTATACATGAGATCGACTTATACACGAGTATATACGGTAGGTATTATCAATTGATATCTAAAAAACTACATTTCTAGTTTGGTTAGATGGAAATGCTTAGTTGTTGGTTTTTTTTTTTGTTTTTTATTAATTATGTTGTGTGGAAAACTAAGGGTAACACTTCTAGTTATACAAATATCTATTAAAGGACTATATGTTTCACCTAGACTTACGGTTTCATGCTGATTTACAGCTGCAGTCTGTGGTTTCAAACCTTTTGCTGTACTGTTAAAACTTCTACTTGTGGATTTATACATTCGGCTACCTGGACAAGAAAAATAAATCTTATTAATACATTAACAAGAAATGTATGTACCTATAGTATATGCAAATATACATTTTCTACTGTGCATAACACATTTGGAACATTGTCAGTAATTATGCTCCTGTTTATGTAAGATCAAACGAGTGCATGCAAATAACAGCAAATTCTCACTTATTCTTTACAAATGTATTACAAATTGTAAACTTTATTATTTTTTTGTTTATTATGTATATTGGTTGTTTTGAGAAAATTTAACTTTGTTATCTGGTTGAGCAGCCATGTTGGGTCAGATTCCACTGGCATCTGACCAATTGTTGCTCAACATAACTTGCCTGCTGCTTAGAGGGTCCCTTTAAGTGCCTGCTGTTCAGAGTTACTTTGATGCTTAGTGGGCTTCTTTAATGTCAGAGTAGTTTTACATTTTTGTATCCAAAAACAAGAGAGCAGTGACAAGTACACTAAATGGGCAAGGGTGCAATAAACCTCCGGATCCGTAGTCCAGGTAAGTAGTCATATAAAAATGTTTAAAAATAACAAATGAGGAGAAATGATTAGAATACCTACAGGGTTATTAACCAAATGTGAGAATTCAAAGTGAATTTCAAATTTAAGATCAAAATAGTCAAACTGGAAAAATTCTCTAGGTCACCAATGCTTTCTGCTTCACTACTCTGGCCTAAAATTGTAGATTCACTTTGAATTCTCTCTTTAGTGAATAACCCAGCTAGTGATATGTATCTTATATACTTACCATCTTCAGATATTAAAAGGCCTTTCCCGTGGCTGCTCTTGTGATATTGACAATGGCTACATTAGTACAATGAGCATTTATTTAACATATGTATTTCGATAAATGAAGGAAGGTACCGGGAGTGTACACTTATTTTTATTTGCATTTTAACTGAATACTGAATAATTAACTGAATAATTATATACTGCTTGTGATATGTGTATTGTTTTATGTTTACTTTCTATGAAGGTACCATATCTATACACATATTTAAGTGAACATGTCCATATGATTCTATGGGAGTGCAGTCATGTGACTGTTACTTCAGATAACACGATTCTACAATGTTTTACTGACCACTATGGGGATTGTATCATGTGACCAATAACTAGCCTGTGATGGCACTTGTTTTCACCATATGTAACTGATGAATTGTTTGTATTAGATGAGTTGACAAAGGCCAGCATGGTGGCCGAAACATTGTTTTCTATGCACTGATAGCTAATAACAAGGATTGTTGACTACTCAGAAAGTGTTCAGGACCATCAGTTTTATTTTTTAACTGACTAGTTTTATATTGTTGTCACAATTGTAGCACTCTACACCAGTGACGTATTTCTAACTAGGCCAGCAAGGCCTACAGCTACGGCAGCACTTTGTAGTGGGCGTCACATTCCTCTTCCATTTATTTCCATAAATAAAGATGTTAGCTCTGACTCTAGTGGAACGATGCACTAGGAAGTAACCCTGGTAGTTGTCTGACCTCCTCCAATCCTTTTTATCATTGGATATGAGACCCAGCATGTTCATTGTATGACCTCCCTCATTAAAAGCAGGATACAGCCAATCCACATCTTTAGAAAAATCTTCAGCTTGACCGTCAGTAGAACAGAGGGACCTTGACGGCCTACCATCATTAAAAATACTTCAACGTCTGCACCCAACAAGAGTGCATAGTGCATTATTACTTATATGCTATTGTATAGTTTGATCATGATGGCCAAAATGATAAGCAAAGATATGTTGGTCTTGGTAGGTAAAATGGGATGTTCTTAAAAGATTACTCTACACTTTTTTCATATCCTATCTTTTTTTTTTTACTTCTGTGGTGGCATCTGACACTCAAAATGTAGGCTAATATGATCAAATAAAAAAATAAATCTAGCTTGTGTTTCTCCATTATTATTTTATTTTAAAATCTGGAAAATAATCATCTAATTAACTTAAAATTATTTATTCAGCTTTGCTATTTTGTCTAAATTCTGTAAGGAGCCAAACTTACTTTTAGTTTAGTAAAATGACTTCACATGGAATGAGTGCTTATAACCTTTACCAACAGATTATATAGGCACAGAGGGAGAATGAAATGATTGTCATCTAAAAGTATAATTTTGCAAACACGTAATCATTTCTTTCTAACAGGTTGTGTTTATAAATTACCACTCTGAAGTATTTCATCACACCAAGCACAGTATATGACAAAAATGGTGTTTAGAATTCAGTTGTAATATTTCAAACTGTTAGGTGAACACAATGAAAAATGCAATTTATGAAAATATGCACATTTTTTTAAAATATAAACAGCAATCTATATATAAAATTGTTGATTTATCCTAGAGCGATTTTCTGCAGTTTTATTTCTGCTTTAAATAAATACCATTCTAATTATATTGAACAACAAGATCTTGATAGAGAAAAAGTTAACTATAATCATATTCACTGTTCAGCACCAATTAGTAGATCTTTCCTTTCTGCTAATTACTTCTAATACTTACAATGCTTCAACGCATGTTCTGCAGCCTGAGGGGCAGTCAGCATGGCAAATGGATGTAATGAAAGATTAAAGGCCTGTGTCCAGTGACCCTAAAAGAAAACACTTATAAATAAATAAGCAAGGGAACATGTACTAGCATTTCAAAACTCGTATTTATATTTAATGTTGGAAGCTATTCTAAGATTTCTGATTATTTTAGTTATGTTAATGAAAATACAGATACTAGATTAATTAATATATTAAGTTCAAGGTCTTTTTTAGGGTTTGTTTTGCCTTATAAATGTATAAATGTGTAAAAATTGTGTTAGTCTAGAAGGTATCTTTTCAGTTATTGTAAAAATGTAGGGTCTATTTAAAATGGATGATTTCTCTACTTCTCTGTCATAATGTTAACATGTCTCACAACTAATTAATATTCTCAATCAGCATTCGACTATTAACAGGAAAAGAGACCTATAACGTTAAATTATACCCCACCACAGCATGCATAATTAATTTGAGCTCATTTGTTCATATCAAATATCTTTAAACCCACACCCAAATTAATCCATCAGTCTGGGATTTATCTTTGGAGCCGTATTCAATCGACAAGCCAGGTAAAACACATGTTTGCAAGTGCATTATGTTCTTGCAAGTTTACAATCTGACAATAGTAGGTTTTCTTTAGGGCGACAAACCGGTTGCAACTTACTTAAAAAGGATTCATTAGTAGCTCATGAATCCTATTAAATACAAACTGTTTCTAACAGTTTTTTTGGACCAGTGAAACAGTGGATCAGTGAAAGAGTTAGAAAAGAGAAGAAAAATATATAGCCATTTGGATTAAATTAGTTGTAGGTACAGATATTAATAAAGTTCAGCAAAATAAAAATAAACAACTATTTTTTTAGAATGTAAGTGCTTCAAACATTTTTCTCACTCTTAAAAATAAATTAACTTATTTATAACGACAGCATGAGTTATCGATTTCTCAGGCAGTCACTGTGCACATAATGTTTTCAAAATATTCTATTTTAAAAAAAAAAAATCCTAGAATCAATGGTTTCAATATTTCACCAACAAAAAAAATTAATAAAAAAACAGAAATTGAGGAGAAATTATCATAGGGGATTATAATATCCTCAACAGATATTCAGGAGGATGGTTTTCCCAAAACTATGTTTTATAAAAAATGTTTTAACTTTTTTTATTTATATGAATGTAAAATTATTGTTCTCCCTATTTTATTTTTTAAATAATTTTGCTTTATAATATTATCAGTCAGCTATAGAAACCAAAATATGATATAAATGTATTGTTCTCATATAAATGTCACAGTTTTAACTCTCAGTACTACATGTTCTACAGAAAGAAATAACAGAAAATTTTGTAGGCCTTTATTCTAGAATATCTCTCTACATTAATGCTATGTTTAATTTTAAAAGAAAACATTGTTTTAATGCACTGGAAATATGCTAACACGTTTACCAATAGCTATTCATAAGGTATCCTATTAATTCTGCTGACCTTATGTATGACGCTTGACATCCTTTCTTTGTTTTCGGGAATTCTGCAAAGCGGATTTTGCCTAAGCGTTAACTAGAGAAAGAAAATTCTCCAATAAAGCGTGACAGCCTGTGTCACTGAATTGTGTAGGTCTCATTTGCTGAGTAAACTACTTTATGATTTACACAACCAGCTTTCTGTGTCCCTCCCCGAGTTCTAAACAAGAGTATATAAGGGGCTCCTCAGTTAACTTAAAACAGTGTACACAAACTCATCCGCTGAAAGCTGAACAGCCAAAATGGGAAAGGTAATGCTAATAGCTCACATAGGACAAGCATAGCAATTAGATAACATGAGTGTTTCTCGTCTGTCAGTGTTGGGCTATGTCTGCATTAAATTGTATGTCATGATAACTGGGTTTTCTTGTTTTGTTTTTTTGTGGTTGATTATTTTTATTTCTGAAATTATTAGGGACACCAAGGTTTTTTTTTTAATGCACATTTCTGGATACATCAGTTGATTGGAGCTTTTAAAAAACTATAGGAGAGATTATTCTTGCAGGAAATTTTCAAATACATTAACTGATTAATGTTTAGAAAATTTAAAGAACTGAAGAGGGATTAGCGGTAATGCTAAATTCAGAATGGCTACTAGCTTTAGGTAATAATTGAAAATATTTATACAATGACTTAATAAATAATTGTGGCAGGAGACAAGGACAGAGGCAAAGAAAAAACAAACATGCACGAAGGGAGAAAAACAGAAAGAGACAAAGTGAAAGAGAGAGAGAGAGAGCAATAAATAGACTGATATACATTTAGTACTCGACATATGTGTAATTAAAAAATGTTGATTTATAAGTGTCGACTATGGCCTGATTCAATCAAATAACCAATAACGTACAATGAATGCTGGACTAAACACGTTGGCGTGTACCATGCATAACTGTACATGACCTAAAAGATCTAAAGATTGAAACAATAGTCGTTATAATGGGAATTTATAAGTAAACTAAAGCTTGAATTACTTTGTATAAGTATGGGGAGAAGTGACTTCCTCTTGCAGTTGTGATTCCATGCATTTTCTAGGTACAGGTGTAAGTCACAGCAAAAAAATATAAAGTATAAATCAAAACTGTTTTCCCAAACATTTCTTTTCATATAGAAATATTTGCACATTACCGTTCATACTTTATTAAATAGCAATTATGTAGGAAAATCTGTGATTTTATTTATTGTTTCAAAGTAAAGCAGAAATGTATTATATCCAAAACCTACATTTTTCTTAGCCCTCTCACTCTCTCTACACTGATATAGTTGAACAGCAATGTTGGATCAAAGGAACACTATAGCGTTAGGAATACAAACATGTATTCCTAATGCTATCATGTCCTAATATCTATTTAGGTACCACCCCTTGTGAGCGATTAAAAGGCAAGTATTACTTACATTTCTGCCCTCACATTGACTGTCTCCATAATCCTGCTCCAGAGGAAAACATTGGGAGGCTAATGGGGATGCACAGCAAAACGCCACACTGAGCCAATCAAATGATCTATATGAGAGCATCTGATTGAATACCTGAGTTTAACTCCACTTATGCGGTGGAAGCTAGACACTAGAAGCATGTTAACTCAGCAATGTAAACATTGCCATTCCTGCAGAACAACAATGTTTCCAGTTGCAGGTTCAACAGGGACATGGCAACCAGACCACTTCATTAAGATGAAGTGATCTGGGTGTCTTTAGTGTCCCTTTAAAAGGAGAGGTGAAATAAGGGGAGCAAAGGGAGAGTAGATACTTTTTTGACTTCTTCAGTACAAATAGCCGTTGGTGAAATTATTCAAATAATTGAAAACCTAACAAAACTTAAATGTCAAAAATCCTAAATTAGATTGTATTTAAAATCCTAGAAAATATGTATTATGTATAACTGTATACATTAAGTTACTTTGGGCTACTGCATATCAAAAGAGACTTAGCTACATTGGCAGAAAGATAAAATGCATACAAAAACAGAAAGGGTTCAAAGATTGTCAAAAACATATATGCTAAGAAACAAAATGCTTTAAAAGAACAATTTATTCTTAATATATATATATATATTTTTTTTGCTTTCGATATTCAGATCATCTTCTACGAGGACAGAAACTTCCAAGGCCGCTCCTATGAGTGCAGCTCTGACTGTTCTGATCTTCACTCATACTTCAACCGCTGCAACTCCATTCGAGTGGAGAATGGAAACTGGATGCTGTATGAAAACCCTAACTACTCTGGCCACCAGTACTTCCTAAGGAGGGGAGAGTACCCTGACTTCCAGCAATGGCTAGGATTCAATGACTCCATTAGATCCTGCCGTATCATTCCTCAGGTATCCTTTTCTAAACATATATTTATTTATTTTTTCCTAAATATATTTTCTAATAATATTTGTCTAATTATTATCAAACAGTTGTGATTTACATTACATTACTACATTATTTAAGAGGAACACATATTTAAAGGATAACTGTCACTTTCCAGAATGTTTAATATTATTTTTACTTATCCCCTATATTTAACAAATATGTATTTGTGAGGGATGAGGAATTACATGTAGAAATCCACACCTTGTTAATCTACACTTTAGCTCCCTGTGAATCACTGTTATAAACGCTGTCCTTCACAGCTGGCAGTCAGCATAGAGAGAAGGAGAGAAATAAAATATTTCTATTTCACTTATTAATTTGCAATGTTTGTCCTGGCTTTGCCTTGTGTGAACTGGTTTATGATGTAATTTCTTAAATCTTTAATGAAAAGTTAAAAGATTATGGAGCATCTCACAAAAAATGTTAATATACATTATAGTATTTATTTTTTCAGTTTTTTTATATAATGGGGCTAAATTTAAGAGAAGAGCCAGTTCTGCTTTAAGGGAAATCCTTTAACTATGCAAAATTAATTTTTACATTTTTACATAATAATTACCTTCACATAAAAAGAATTTTAGGCTTCCATAATTACGTATAACATAATTTAAACTAAATAACACTTAATATTATACTTATATAATATGATCCCTAATTGATATTATAATTTAGATTTAGATTTTTGGACACTCACTGAGACGTTTAGGTACCAGTCCCTGATGATTATTTTAAACCATAGTAACAGTTAATATATGTTTGTTTGTTTGTTTTTTATTGTAGCAACGTGGCTCCTACAGAATAAAAATCTATGAAAGAGAAGACTTCAGAGGCGAAAGCATGGAGTTTGTCGATGATTGCACATCTGTCCATGAGCGCTTTAATTATCATGACATCTACTCCTGCAATGTGTTTGATGGTCACTGGATCTTCTACGAGCTTCCAAATTACAGGGGACGCCAGTACTACCTGAGACCTGGGGAGTACAGGAGATACACCGACTGGGGATCTATAAATGCCAGAGTTGGCTCTTTCAGACGTGTCAGAGAATCTTATTAGACCAAGGTGTTGATAAAACCTAAATAACAGCTTTGAAATAAAAATTAACCTACAATACTTCATTTTGTTTAATGCTTCTTCCTTGAACATAGATCAGTGGTTTTATTCAATTGTATTTTAGTGCTCACAGAGGGTAAATAGAGGAAGTTTGTTACATTCAAGGACAAAGCACAAAATTGTCAAGAAATCCTTGATCTGGGTATGGCCTACCCTTTTATGGTTCAAGTCTTCCTTTTCTAAAACAATATTTTTAATTGGAAACCACTTTGTTAAATTAAGTTTGGAACAAAGTAAATAAAACAATAAGGTACGGTCACATTCACTCACCTCCCACATTGAGGCATCATTGTTTTTAAATGTAACTGAAATCTGAGAACTTAAATGTACACTGTACTATTAATAACAATATATTATTATTATTATCATTCATATAGTGCTAACACTGTCTTCAGCACTTTACAGTTATACCATAGATACATGACATATATAACTAATGTTGACAAAGAGCTGAAAAATGCCCTTCTCAAACACACTTACAATATAGGAAGAAGGAGAAAAGGAACAGAAGGGGAAAAACAACATGTTGAGGGTGGGAGGGGTAGTAGAAAGCGATTATGCCTGTCTCTAATTAAGTTTATAAGAGTGGTGTGCAGAAGCACCAGAGAGTAAAGGGAGATGGAAGTGGACTATGGAAACTAGTGAAGGGTGAACGTATGGGAGGAATATTTGAATACAGTAATGAAAGAAGAGCCATCCAGAGAGACGACAGGGTTTTCGAAAGAGTTGGGGTTTTCAGTAACATCTTGAAGGAATGGAAACTATGGGAAAGTCTACAAGGATGAGGTAAGGCATCTCATAGAAATGATGCAGAGAAATGCTGTAAATGTAGGAACATGCAATGGTCAAGAGAAGGGGCGTATTTAAAAGCAGAAATGTAATGAGTGGAATTGTTAAAAAGCTTTGCAACTTAGTGTCCGTAGTCAGAATTGTATCCTGAAGGGTACAGGAAGCCAATGTAAGGACTGGCAAAGGGGAAAACTGTTAGTGTTGCAGGAAAATAAGCCTAGTGGCAGCATTCATTACTGATTGTGTGATGAACCGCTGTCACTGAGTGTCACCCACATGTACGTACCCACTCACTTGTCTAGTCACAATGGACCACAAGAACTTGGACTGTGGACTCGGGGAGGGGGGTGAAACCGGCTTGTTGCAGGCCCGTCGTTTACATGAATTGGGTCCAAGTAAATTGTTGAACAACTTTCAAGACGAACATTCTCCGTTAATTTAATATTTCATTAAAATAAAATCTTACCTTGGTTGAATTCTGAAGCTGTGTTGCTGAATGTTTGTTCCCATAAATTTCAAACACATCTTCCACTGGTAGATGATTCTGTTGTAAATGTATGATATGGATAGCTTCTAATCATAATAATCAAATAAAATTATGCATAGATATATGTTTGTCCACAATGCACATGTTTAAACAACATCTATAACTAGAAAAGCTACAATTTCTGGGGAAATTGTGTGAAGTGTTCTTGCCTCGACCAGTAGTCTACAACTGGAGTGGGCGGAGTAACTGTTATCAATTATATAGCACATTCAATTGCAACGTTGTTGCACAGTTACATTAAACCATACATTTATAAAAACATTAGCAGGTGTTCAAAAGGCCCTGTTTATGACATCACTTGCTGCTGCAGCCTTGACAGGTCAGAGTATTTTGGTGGTTGCCATCTTCAAACGGTCGTATTTTAAAAACTATAACTCCTACAGTGAAGAGCTTTATATTGTGAGAATCACAAGACCCAGACCTACATTTTGATGCATAGTATGTCTCTGAAGTATTAAAATTGAAGGCACAGTCGCAGTTTAGAAATTGCACTTCAAATTTGAGCTTTGTAGAGTGAAGTTTCAATGAATGTCAATGGACGGCGTTAGTTGCAAACAAATGATTATATTGTGAAAACTATCAGGACTATGGCTTAGCCGTTGACATGTTTAGTGGCAGCAGGGATAGCTGAACGTTTTGATATAAGATTTGTGTAGGTGGGCCTGAAAATAAGGGAGTGGTGGCAGTTTAGAAATCATGTCCTGATTTTTCAGCTTTTGCCAGCTCCCACTCTAGCTTTGCCATTCATTCCTATGGGACAAATTTCGCCACAAGAACGACGATATTCCGTGAACCATTCGGCGAAACGTTCCACAAAGTAATAGCAATCCGATCGGGAACAATCTGCACGTTTTGGTAAATTTTTGTCTATGTAGTGTAAAAACTGTGGGAGGAGTTAGGGTGGCAAATTTTGCTATAATAATAATAATAATAATAATAATAATAATATATATGTGAGATAACATTAAGTGGTCTTGCTATGCAAGAACACTTAATAACAATTCACTGACTTACTGTTCCTGGTTTGAATTGGACCATAATGGAGAAATGACATGTAGTTTATACAACTGTAACTATATAATTATTATGAACACACCATAATGCAGATAGGCCAGTCACTGTTTAATACCAGTGGTGAAAAGTCCATCAGTTTCATACGGGTCCATAGAATACCCACCTAAAATCAATGCAACATCAAGAGAAAATGGATGCCTGTTGCACCAAAGCATTATTAATTGTTTTCTCACAGTATGATAGAATTCCTTGACATCTTGTAATTGCCATTTGCCACGGGTTAACTTTTGATAATATATATATAATAATTTATTGGATTCTTACCATTACTGTTCCTGCAAAAGTAGATAAAATCATAGCTTCCCTTTCCATCCTATTGGGGTATTTGTGTTGGTTCAGATGCAACTTTCTGCAAAGTTAACACAAAATTAATTACGTAATTTTGCATCCTGCGATTTCTAGAAAAATACAGTGAAGGGAAAAAGTATTTGATCCCCTGCTGATTTTGAACTTATGCCCGCTGACAAAGAAATTATCAGTTTAGAATTTTATTGGTAATAAAAATAAAAATGCATGTCAAAAAAGTTATACATTGATTTGCATGTCAATGAGTGAAATAAGTGTTTGATTCCCTATCAATCAGCAAGATTTTTGTCTCACAGGTGTCTTTTATACAGGTAACGAGCTGCGATTAGGAGCACTCTCTTAAAGGGAGTGCTCCTAATCTCAATTTGTTACCTGTAGAAAAGACCTGTCCACAGAAGCAATCAATTAGATTCCAAACTCTCCACCATGACCAAAGAGCTGTCCAAAGTTGTCAGGAACAAGATTGTAGACCTACACAAGGCTAGAATGGGCTACAAGACCATCACCAAGCAGCATGGTGAGAAGGTGACAACAGTTGGTGCGATTATTCTCAAATGGAAAAAAAAAAATAACAGTCAGTCTCCCTCGGTCTGGTGCTTCATGCAAGATCTCACCCCGTGGAGTTTCAATGATCATGAGAACGGTGAGGAATCAGCCCAGAACTACATGGGAAGATCTTGTCTCAAGGCAGCTGGGACAATAGTCACCAAGAAAACAATTGGTAACACAGTACGCCGTGAAGGACTGAAATCCTGCAGCACCTGCAAAATCCCCCTGCTCAAGAAAGCATATGTAGAGGCCCGACTGAAGTTTGCCAATGAACATCTGAATGATTTAGAGGAGCACTGAGTGTAAGTGTTGTCATCAGATGAGACCAAAATCAAGCTCTTTGGCATCAACTCAACTCGCTGTGTTTGTAGGAGAAGGAATGCTGTCTATGTGTCAGGATTACTGTTTGATCCAGCACGTAGAACTGTATAGCACGGATGACAAATAAGTAACATATTACCGGTCCTTAGAATGGCCGGATTTAACGTACATAGATTAGTCAAAAATACTAGCCGAGGTCAGGGAACACAGAAAGGGACGCAGCGATGAGGAAAGCCAGAAGTCAGGATATCAGAATATAGAGAAGTCAATAAACAAAGCCAAAGTCAAAAACCGGTAGAAAACTATAAACAGGAACGCGCCCTCGGACAACCACAAGGGAAACCACGACAGGGCACTGAGCATGATGAGAACTGGGCCTAAATACCCCTCCTCTAGATCTGATAGGCTGTAACCGGCCTTTGACCCCAAAGTCAGTTACCAGGTTTAATTTGCATAATTGCTGCTCAGCATTAACCCTTCTGTGGATTAGGTTGCTGCTCGGCACAACTTTTCCTGTGTGGACAGTAAATGTCATTAACCACATTTTTATAAGCGGATGAATACGTGACACTATGACCCCAAGAACACCATCCCCACCATCAAACATGGAGGTGGAAACAATATGCTTTGGAGGTGTTTTTCTGGTAAGGGGACTGGACAACTGCATCACATCAAAGGGATGATGTGTGAGAACCACCTTCCTTCAGCCAGGGCATTGAAAATGGATCACGGTTGGGTATTCCAGCATGACAATGACCCAAAACACATAGCCAAGGCAAAAAAGGAGTGGCTCAAGAAGAAGCACATTAAGGTCCTGGAGTGGCCTAGCTAGTCTCCAGACCTTAACCTCATAGAAAATCTGTGGAGTTTCGAGTTGCCAAATGTCAGCCTTGAAACCTTAATGACTTGGAGAGGATCTGCAAAGAGGAGTGGGACAAAATCCCTCCTGAGATGTGTGCAAACCTGGTGACCAACTACAAGAAATGTCTGACCTCTGTGATTGCCAACAAGTGTTTTGCCACCAAGGACTAAGTCAAAGGGGTCAAATACTTATTTCACTCACTGACATGCAAATCAATTTAACTTTTTTGACATGCGTTTTTCTAGATTTGTTTGTTATTCTGTCTCTTACTGTTAAAATACACCTACCATTAAAATTATAGACTGATCATTTCTTTGATAGTGGGCAAACGTTCAAAATCAGCAGAGAAGCAAATACTTTTTTCTCTCACTGTAGTGTAAATTTTAATCCAGAAAATAAAATATTGTCTTAGCATTTCTAATATAATCTAGGTACAGGATGCCGATTTAATGTTACCGTGCAATTTATACTATATAGCAGGGGTAGGCAACCTTTGGCACTGCAGGTGTGGTTGACTACTTATCCCTTGATGCTTTGCCAGCATTATAGCTGTAAGAGCATTATGGGGGATGTAACCCACAACATCAACATCTTAACTCTGCTAAATTGTGCCTAACCCTGTCTAATAAATTAGGTTATGATCATTTAGGTAAAGAGTGGTACAATTTAGTTAAGGAACACAAATTGGTATGTGTGTATGCAGGACAGGGATACCACGGGGTTGAGGAATGGAGCATGTCAGGCAATTATCAGCTTTAAGTTGTTTAAAAATTATGAGGATGATTTGTCAAAACAGGTGTGAAGCTGGATGCAATACATTAAATGTTAAGAGATATTCTATAGTTTTCTGTGGTGGTTGTTTATTATTTAGCCTTTTGCATCCATAAGACATCTGTTTCTGCTTTGATAATCCCCCCTGTATGTCTAAAATAGCACATGACCTCTGCGGTAGAGGAAGCTAGGGCTCTATAGCTACAGACTGATAAGGGAGCATTCTCCTCTAACCGAGAAAGCTTGGGAGTATTATTAGTCATAATGAGTTCATGATCTCCATAATATAATAAAATCTGTCTGACTAATTATCAATAAAATAAAAAAATGCATTATTCTGAGTCAGCGGAAGGTTGATGATATAGGATGATTTGGTCTGAATAAAGCATGTGACAAATTCATTACAATATTTGAAAAAAAAATCATTTTTTGCCAAAAGAAAATTGCAAAACCGATGTCAACTCACTGTTTAATGGATATACTCTAATACATTTAAGAAAAGAGATTAAGGAGTTTGTTTACTAGCAAAGAGTTGTGGCATATTAAGTAGCAAAAAATAGAAACTGATATAGCAAACATGTAATGTACACTTACATATTTCCTTTTTTCAGCTCATCAGATGCGCTAAGCCACTGTAATGCAACACCAATAGCTAGGTCATAATGAGCCTAAAATACAAAAACAGAATTACAACTTAACTTGAAGAAGTAGTAGAAGTATAATGTTGTTTAAAACCATTAAACATCCCCATAAACATCATGAAATGTAATAATCTAAGCCCAATATGTTGTTTACTCTTCTGTCACTCACGCAGGGTTATTTCGCAATAAAATATAGGTGAAACAGTTAAACTGAAAAAACATCTAAAACACTGCTAGCAGAAAAATGATCATTGCTATGTACCAATGAACATATCCTTAACCCCTTCACTCCCAAAATCACGTATAAACGGTTTAGCTTTCATTTACTTAGCAAAATGAAATTAAGACCATAAAGCTTTACTCATCCTCATTTTAATTCTAGGAATGATAACCAACCTGTAAAGGAATGGATTTCTGTGCCAGGAGCCACCGGCTACTCATTTAACATCTGCAAGTGTGCTGAATATGCCAACTTACCCCTCCAAACAACAAATACAATTTCAATATGTTACACCATTCCTACAGTCAGGTAGGCAGGAGGAGTGAATGAGCTCTCCCTTTTAGCTTTACATTAGCATTCCGGAAAATGATAAAGATTGTTTTAGTACTCTTTAAATGCCTTTGTTTTAGAATTATAGTTATTTTTATATTCTTTTGATGTCATTAGTAAGCTGTAATGCTAGTTATGTACTTAAGTTCTGACGAAGCCCGGAGGAATAGAGGCGGGCGAAACGCATCACTGGATCCGTCACTGGGAGGTGGAGCTTGTAAACGGCACCTGGTGAAACCCGAAAGTATTGCATGCAAGTCTGCTTTTTATGCCGCATTCTGTTCGTTTGTGGGATTACTGTATGGTATACCCACCATTGCTTTGTGTAAGCAGTTTTCATTTGTTTCTTGCAATAAAATTAATGTTATGCTGTGCCATTGGGGTTTCCTGGTTCTGTCATCCCTGCAGCTATTATTCATAACGATTGTCCTTTTTGGAATAAAGGTCTTCTGGTATGAGCATTGTTGGAGTTATTCTCTCTCAAGTGTAGTTTTTCTCATCCAGAGCCAGAGTTAGTAGGGCTTTGGTAAATGTGAGCGTAACCCAAATATGCATATATCAATAATTTAATATTTTAATAAGGATAATCTGCATTAGATTGTGTTTGTTAATTTTTTACAGAATCCTTTTTGACAATTGGATGTCAAGTATAATTTAAAGCGCAACACTTGTTTTCTGTTTTTTTTGAGGTCCCGAACGGTTCACCAAACGGTTCGCCACGGACTCATCATTGAGTAAACTTTGACCCTGTACCTCACAGTCAGCAGACACAAGTCAGCCAATCAGCAGCAGACCCTCTCTCCCAGAACCTCCCACCTTTACTCAATGATGAGTCCGCGGCGAACCGTTCGCCGAACCGTTCGGGACATCACTAGTCCCGACAAATACCTATAAGCAGGCTCTTTGAATATATTTTTTTTTGTCATGCTTACTATATTTGGGAAAATTTATATTTTTACTTTTATACCAACATTTCAAACCATATGTGAAATATTTTCAAGATAAAGGACACGGTATACTGTGTAAAGGTTTTCATTCCCAAAACGTCTATAAAAGGATGAATGCATAAATGGAAAACAAAAATTTTGTAAAGTTACATAACTTGAATTGTCTGAAAAGCAATCTATACACAAAATTCTTGTTCTATTATTTACTTTAGAATAAGTCAATTGCACACCTAATATTCAATGTATAAAAAAAAATACAACAAAGGCATTTTTGTACCAAAATGTTAGATGATGTAGGGCCTTCTGGTCACGATAACTAGGTGAAGTATCTCTTATACAGCATTTTCCTATGCCTTGTCTATTGTATGTGTGTGTGTGTATATATATATATATATATATATATATATAAATAAATAAATAAATAAATGGACAAACTCTGGCACTCTTCCTTTAAATAAAAAAATAGTGAAATTACCTGGGTGCCTCCAAGCCAGTAGATATATAGGATTAATCAGGAGCACTCCATTGGATTTTCAAAAAAAAGTGTTTTAATCCAGTGTTAATAAATCACAACATCAACGTTTCAACCAAATAGGGTCTTTATCAAGATCTTAGAAAATCCCAGAAGCAGAAAGAAGCAGTGTTTCCCCTTCTGACTGGCCCTGATTACTCTCCCTGTGTACACAGCAGGGCACCCTGACTTTGGGCTGCACGGTTGAGAGACTGGACCCCTATTCTTACTGATTAGTGGAAGCCCTCTACAGTTTTCCAGACCCATCAGCTTACTGGGCCCCAACTACGTGCGCCAACAGCTGATACCCAACGGCCACTAGGGTGAAGGCCTAAGGAAGGGAGAAGGAGGGCGCAGTGTTACTGTGGGTGGGCATATATGTGAGGTACTCCATTATGACCCCATTTTAATTGTATTATATTCTATTGGTGTCTGTCACATGCTGTGTTAAATTCTGCTGTGCAATACAGAATTCTTTAAACAGATAACCCTGTGTCAGTTCTTGTCGATATAACCTTGTTCCCAGCAGAACCCCACATCCACACTCTGGATGCCCACCTGGTTGGAGGCGCTGCCGTAAGTGGGTACCCCATCCCCCAATTGGTGGAGGCTCAAGATCGGCCTACCAAGCACAATGAGTTAACCGGGGTGAAGGACCCCAGGTATAGGGTGCCTAGAGAGGAAGATCCTGTTACATATATATGAATCATGTTTCAATCTTTACTTATTTTTATTTTTGTGTCATCAAATAAAGCTTATTTTTTTATACATTGGCTATTAGATGTGCGGTTGACTTTTTCTATAGTATCTTTGATGGTACCACCAAGAGGAGTGGTCTGCAACCTTTTGCACCATATTTTCTTGATATACATGCTGTATAGAAGTGGATGCCCCTACATATATGAACTTTTTTTTATTATTTACCTGTGTGTTCATTATGCATCTCTTGTTTCAGATAAATGTTATGATGCAAGCGGGAGGCACTATGGGCAAAGATTTGTGATCACATTAAGCACCTTCAGTGGGGACGTGAGCATTAGAACTGGACCATTGAGCAATGGAAGAATTCCTGGTCTGAGGAATCGTGTTTTGTTTTAGATCAGGGTTCATGTTTGCCGTTAGCCTGGGGAAAAGATGGCAGCAAGATGCACTATGGGAAGAAGGCAGGCCAGCGGAGGCAGTGTTATTCTCTAGGCAATATTCTGCTGGGAAACCATAGGTCCTGGCATTCATGTAGATTTTAATTTGATACATACTACCTATCTAGAGATTGTTGCAGATCTTTTATACCATATACTTCCTGGCAAAAGTGTTCCTGATGGCAGTGGCCTCTTTCAGCAGGATAATGCACCCTGCTACACTTGTTTAGGAAGGGTTTGAGGAATATGACAAATCGTTCAAGGTTTTACCTTGGACTCCACCTTCCCCAGATCTCAATCCAGTTGAGCATCTGTGGGATATGCGGAAACAACAAATTCGATTCATGTAGCCCCACCTCACAACTTGCAGGATCTGCTGCTAATGTCTTTACCAGATACCACAGGGCACATTAAGAAGTCTTGTGGAGTTCATGCTTTGAGTTATCAGAGCGGTTTTGGCAGCATGAGGGGAACCTACATGATATTAGGAGGTGGTGTTAATGTTGTGGCTGATCAGTATGACAAATCGTATGTTATCAGTATTATTGCTGTGAAACAGCTTTCATTTCTAGTGTCAGGAACTAAGATAATGAGTCTACATACCATTTCATCCAGCAATGTGGATTCTTTTCGCCCCTTTGGATCAAACTCCTTTTCTCGAAGAGTAGTTCCAACATAGTCACCCCTTCAAAAAGAAATAATTCTACTGGTAAAAATAAAAAGAAATTGACACAGAAATATTGAAGTGGACCTGACACTCACTTATTACTTGATTTACACCTTAAAGATAAATATGCTGTGATAACCAAATTGTTAGAAATATATAGATTACCTTCCACGTATCCTGTATCTCTTAAATGCAATCCCAATACACATTCTGAATAGTTTCTTCCGCATGATCCAGTCAATGCTTACATCTTTCATTTGGGCAAAGAAACGTCCTCGGATAGCCCTCAACTTACTGACTAAACCCAAGGAGAAAGGAGGACTGGGTTGTCCAAACATCCAAAACTACCACAGAGCAATATACTTGGGAAGGATATTAGAGTGGTCCAGAGAAGGAGTCAAAAAAGCATGGGTCGAAATAGAACAATCACAAACACAAACACCCCTAAAAGCACTCCCCTGGACCCTATCCACCAGCGGAGGCAGAATACCACATGATCTCCCCACAATCTCCACTACTCTTGAAACTTGGAAAAAAAATACACCTACACACGGAGTTTACACCAACCCCTTTGCCTAACTATCCCATATCACACAACCCCCTATTCCTAACGAGCAGGGGTGGTATAATGCAAAGCACTGATCTTACCAAGTCGAGAGCCAACATTGTAACATTAAGGGAAATAATCACTGAAAACTGAATCATACCTCTAAAGGATCTTAACAGGCGCCAATCACCCAACACTGACACAAACTTTTCAATACTACCAACTAAAACATTTCTTGAGCAAGGAAGGGCTTTTACAATGGAACCCTGGGAGGAAATGCAGTTCGAGAAGAGATGCTCCCTCCCACCAAAAAATAAAATAGTAACCACATGTTACCAAATGATACAAGAAAGTACTAACCACTCTCTCCCCTGGTACACTATAAAGAACCAAAAATGGTTCTCGACTCAGACAGAAGAAAAGGTCTGGCCCCAAATTTTCACCAAAATGATGAAATCATAATTCTAGCATAATGTTGCAGGAAATTAATTATACGTTTCTCACGCAATGGTATATCACACCCATAGATGCTAACAAATTCAACGAGAACAACTCTCCGATATGTTGGAGATGCGAAAAGGAACAAGGCACCTACCAACACATATGGTGGACGTGCAAGCAGATAGAGGGATACTGGAGGGAAGTGGCGATGGGTCACAGAAAAACTCAGTTGTATCCCCCTATCCTTTACCCCTGAAACACTCTTATTTCTTAATATTCCTATATCCTTGAACAAATGCAAAAGCTCACTTCTGTATTACTTACTAACTGCTGCGAAATCTGTGGTAGCGGGTCAACAAACAAAAGACCATCTAGAAGGGAATGGTACATGAAAATAGATAATATACACAGGATGGAAGAACTGAGAATGTTCACACTGGGTAAATCACGCCAATACTTGGCCACTTGGGAACCGTGGAAGTCCTTCCTAAAAACTAAATAATTAAGGCTCACGAGGGAGGAAAAACACACACACACAGACAATAGGAGGGGGAGAGGCACGGGAAACAAGTACAACACACGAACACAAACATGTATGGTTACTCATGACAAATGTACACTACATGCATATGATTCTTCACGATGTATAAGTCAGATTGTTCATGATTTCATCTATCAAATGTTCACACTGTAAGAAGTTTTATTTGTAAAAGCAAAATAAAAATAAAATAAATTTAAAAAAAATATATAGATTAAAATTATATTTCCTCTGGTTTTTTTGATAGACCAATAAGCATAATATATTCATATCAGTACTGTAAATGTGACAGCAAATAGGTTGCGTTCATGGCCAAAATACATTCCTTCTATGCATTATGTGTGTCCAAGGTATACATTGTGAGCCTGTTCAAAGACAGGTTGTATGATCTGACACATTTTTGCATTTGTATTTTTTGCCAATCTTTTTGGCACCATGCTAGATAACAGACAGCGGTCAGATTATTACTAGGCAAGTAAATAAGTGCCGCTTGTTTACACCAACAGTGTAAAAAAATTACTTTTCCTGAGAAATGGCAATGTTTATATTTATCAGAGAACATGCCTCTAGTGACTGTCAGATGTTTGACATCATCAGTTTAATTCTGCATTATGAAAAGCTTGCTAGTGAGAGCATAGCTTCTCTTTAATAAGCATTGGACTGGACAACATTCAGAACTGATGACTTTATCAGAGGCATGTTGGTCTGCAAAAATGGGAAAGAGATAAGAGTTAAGTTTAAAAGTGTGCCTTTCATTTTTTCCTTTATTAAAAAAATAAATAAATCAAAAAATAGGGGGACCCAATAATCTAACCCATTTATCCATTTTTGATTTCCCTAGTGTTCCTTTGACACCATTATCATCAGTTAAAATCCATAATAGTTTCACATTTCCCCCAATCCACATATACCAATCTATTTCTTACACAGAACACACTATATATTGTGTTTTGGTTTGCTTTTTAATAAAATGCAAAGCTATTTTCAGCAGTTTTTGGATCAATGCATTTCTATTACTAAAACTGACCTGTTGTGTATGCTGCTACATTTGGGTATCTCACACACAAAATTTTGTGAGACTAACTAAATTTTATAAACAAATTTTATAAACAAAAGTTACAATATAGATGCTGACAGTCATGCTGTATTCGGGTTTCTAGACAGAAATAGAAAAAGTCCTTACATTTCTAATTCCACATATCGTAGATGGACAGGATAACAAGAAATGAATCATTATGTTTTGTAATAAAATGTAAAGTTCTAAATTTTAATGCACAAACACAAAAAAACATGTATACAAAAGAACACTTACAGATCTGTGCCAATATTCTTGTAAGTCTTACATAACAGTATCCTGTAGAGCCACGACAGCGGTAACAGGCATTTCGATGGCATACATTGTCATGGCAGAGATAAACAGCACATTTTATGGGATAAAACAGGCTAGGAACATTTTTAAGTTTATAAACATACTAAGTACTGGCTAGCTTTGCATGTCTATTGTGTTGGGTCACGATGGGGTTGACAAGCTTAAGACAAGAAACATACTATGATTCCAACGTGCATAGTGGTAAATAGAGACGATTAAACATTGCCTAACTAGCTAAAGACATCTGTTAATGCCACGACAGCTTAGGTAAGTACGGCATTATCACTGTTAGTCGCAAGCATGGCATTGAGATAGCAGCAGATTTTGGTTTACGGTGTAGGCAGCAAGATGCACTATGGGAAGAAGGCAGGCCAGCGGAGGCAGTGTTATTCTCTAGGCAATATTCTGCTGGGAAACCATAGGTCCTGGCATTCATGTAGATTTTAATTTGATACATACTACCTATCTAGAGATTGTTGCAGATCTTTTATACCATATACTTCCTGGCAAAAGTGTTCCTGATGGCAGTGGCCTCTTTCAGCAGGATAATGCACCCTGCTACACTTGTTTAGGAAGGGTTTGAGGAATATGACAAATCGTTCAAGGTTTTACCTTGGACTCCACCTTCCCCAGATCTCAATCCAGTTGAGCATCTGTGGGATATGCGGAAACAACAAATTCGATTCATGTAGCCCCACCTCACAACTTGCAGGATCTGCTGCTAATGTCTTTACCAGATACCACAGGGCACATTAAGAAGTCTTGTGGAGTTCATGCTTTGAGTTATCAGAGCGGTTTTGGCAGCATGAGGGGAACCTACATGATATTAGGAGGTGGTGTTAATGTTGTGGCTGATCAGTATGACAAATCGTATGTTATCAGTATTATTGCTGTGAAACAGCTTTCATTTCTAGTGTCAGGAACAGGCTTATTTGATGGTCAGGGGCCCTTAGTCGTGTTTGCTTCCATGGCGGGTCGCGGGGAAGCAGCCGCCTCCCCCTCGTCCACCATGCTTGCAGGCCGCAGGCCTCGTTTTGCCGAGTTGTGCCCAGTGGGCTTGACGTTTGGTATCAGCATGTGCCCCACCATGTCTCCTCACTGGTGGTGGCACTTCTGCTTCGATTTGGTGCCTTTTTTGGCTGGTTTTGGCTTTGTTTTGGTTGCAGATGCAGGAGCTGCTCTATTTCTCGTCCACTCGGCTCAGCGGTCCGGCCCCGTCCCCCCTTGTAAGTCTTCTTTTACATACATGTTTTTTACATTTCTCTGTGCAATAAATCTTACAACTTTACATTCCATTCTCTCCCTTATCCTGCAATTGAGTTTTATACATCACTGCTTTATATAACAGCGGCAAGATTGGTAATTATATTACTCTCTATGTATACCACTGGTGTCTGGCACCCTCAAGTGTCTTTAGGAGATTCCTATTTTTGAACTTTTTGTTCTCTGCTGACAATAGCATGTACACCACCCCATTATTTAATTAGTTAGATCCCCAACCCAACATCCATGGATGGTGGCTTGCGGGGATGACTTGTAATTGCATGAACAATGTATGGATTTTCCAGTCTGAATGTACGTAGCTCTATGGTTTTGTCTCAGTCAGTACAAGGACATTTGGACGTAAGTGAAGGATTTTTCCAGTTCAGCTATTTACTACTTAAATTAGATATTCACTGTGAATTCCCCATTTAATTAATAATTCTATTAGAGTATATTTAAAAATACAATAACATATATATATATATATATACACACACACACATAAATATATATCTGTACTTACAGTAGTTTCTCAACTTCTTTTTTAAGCTGCTTTCTTTCCATAGATGTGCAGGGATAACAAACACAGCCAAGGTCCAAAGTCCTGCAAAAATAGATATTTTTCAAATAGAATTTTAAAATGGAATGGACAAATTAAAATGTAATTATCACTTACATGAAAATTACACCACTGAATAAAATAATGCATCATTTGTGTCAGCCTTTTTTCATGTGATCCCATTTTGTTTTCCAATTAAAAACTTTATTGGTTTTACAATTACAAAAAAATGCCACATGCAGTATTGCACAAGACACTTGTCATTTAGTTATTATAAACAAGAGAAATATAGAGAAACTAAAAAAGTGGGAAAATTAAGAATAGGGAGAGAGGTTGGCAATTTGATTAACCTGTTCCTCAGCTGTGGAACGGCAAACACGTTTACTCAGCACTATAGGTAGCCAGACTTCCACTGAATTAACGTAGGCCTCAATGTAACATTGTTGGATAAGCTTTCCAGGTGATTTAATATTTTTTATAAACTTTTAAAATTATTTAATATCATGAAGGATATTTTCATTTAGTACATTCTATATTTTTTGATATACAGTAGAAACTCTGAACTCGAACTTAATCCGTTCCAGAAGGTTGTTTGAGGACCGAGTTGTTTGAAAACCGAATCAAAATTTTCCATAAGAATTAATGTGTAACGGAGCTCCTTGTACTCCGACTGAGTACCCTCCGTTGATGGATGCTCCTAGCGCTTCCTGAGGACTCCAAGCACTGCAGCAAACACCACAACCACAACAGACTCCGCAACCGCCGTATCTTGACTGGAGTCTTGCCGTCTTCCTTCCACCCTGGATCAGCTTCTGTCCTCCAGGACTGTGTGGGAAAGAACTCTCCCTTCCACCCTGTATGAACCTCCAGCATCCAGGACTGTGTGGTGAAGACCCCTCCTCCAAGGAGAGCGTGTCAGGAACAAGCTCTTAAAAGAGCTAAGTGACTCAAGCTCAGGGGAGCATGCAGAGCATAGCAATCCCCAGTGTGATTATAACAGCTCCCTCCAATAACGAGACAAGGCTACGTTTAGAGGGATCAAGAAGAACTGTCAAAACCTTTATTCCCTTGGGACCAGCCAATACAGTCACCACAATAACATTGTTGTGAAACCTCAATAAAATCACAAACAGTCAAACCATATCAAGAAACACACAGTGACTTATCACAACACAATGGCACATTTTTAAAGGGGTGGGGGGGAGACAATATTTAACAGTAAATATCTCACCTGCCTGCAGAATTAGCAATATGCAAATCTACCCGAATATGCAAATGAACCAGTCTTGCAATTCAGGTAGTGCATATTGCTGTTGCTACCAACAGAGAGCACTAGACCAGCTCCATAGCCAAACCCACCTAGTTGGTAGCAAACCTCAGCAATACAAGAGAGCAGGCAATACATTACACAGTACACACACACACACTATAAACAATTACATTACACACACCCTGCACCTATAATGGGTACAGGGTGACTAAAACATAAGATAAATAAAGCAGCCTACATAAATAGTCTGTCTGAAGGTAGACTAGGGGCTTTAAAGCCAGATACATGAAAGAGTCATAGTCACAGGGGAGGAGGCTGGCAAGTAGGCCTCTCCAGGACCAAGTGGCAAAGGGCACTTCGTCACATATCTCCCCTTCGGGGGGAAGACTAACCAGGCACCTGACTTTCTGTCGGTCAGTGCCTAAGTTAGTCGAGTCACCCACCGACCATAAGCAAGTGCCAGAGTAGCCCACCCACAACAAACAGTTATTAGAGCAGCCCACCCACAGCAAACAGTGACTGCACCTGGGTATTCCTCTGGGGTGATGGGGCAACACGCAGTGGGGACTTGAGGGGCAGAGGCCAGCAATGGAGGCTAACTATACGTCCTATTAAAAGTAGCAGATGCTGAAACAATGTCAGGCTTAGAGGGATTCCAGAAAGTGTTACCAGAGAGGACCTACACCCTTACCTCCTTTCTTACTTCAAAGCTACATTACCAAGCCTAAAAGATCTAAACTGGCTGATTGATAGGGTCCATAGGTTGGCCAAACCATGGAAAATCCCAGCCGACACTCCAAGAGACGTGATTGTGTGTCTCCACTACTTTTCATGCAAAGAGGCGCACATAGCCATAGCATGAAAACTGAGATCTTTTCCAAAGCCACTCATTTCATCAGCATGTTTTCTGACCTCTCCGCAGCAACTGTGTCTAAACGCCGTGAAATTTCCTCCATTTACCCAACTTCTCCACAACCATCCTATGAGGCTATTGATCTGGTGAATGATACCTTACACCAGATTCACTCCCCAGCTTAAGGCGAGAAAACCCTGACAGAGTGGAAAGAGAACTTCCATACCCACTGAAAGGCTCCATCTATAGTGGATACCATCTGGAAAACGAGACACAACCACAAACAGTCCAAATAGATCGCATGACCCACTGCCACGTCTCAAACTGACATCGAGAGAGACTTCTTTCAGCATACACGTTCAGTTCAGTTAGGTTAGCATAACTACAACTCCATAGACCTGAATTTGGTGTCAGCCACCAAAATCACATTATCTATTAGTTAATCTAACTTTGAATAGTTCTATTTTGTTTAACTTTAAAGTTATGGGATTGTACCACAATCTTATAACACATAGCCTCAGCTGCACAACTCTTGGTTACATTAGCGTATCTCTGTAAACTAACTTCTCACTTTGGAGACCCTCTAGGTGAGCAACTGTTAGATCGGGAAAAAAATATATATAATATTTAATACATTTCATACAACTATTACTGTCTACACTTTATATGTTTTATATTTGCTGTTACAATCACTATGCAAGGCTAAAGTTGTCAAAACACAAAACTGGTTGCATGTATATTTTTGTTTTCATGATTTTCTTGTCTTACGGCAGTCGAAGTCACATGAATGTATGATAATAAACTATTTAACGGAGGACAGCATTTATAGCAGGCTTCAGTTTCATAGCTAGTGATGTTTGCTGACACTACTCCCCACCAAAAGAGAGCAGCACGTACTCCAGGGCTTGACAAATCCCTGGCCCAAGGTCGCTATGGCAACTAGGAATTTTTTCCTGGCACCTGGGTGTTTGTCAGCCCATTCAACCCCCATGGTGGCCAGCCCAAGGATAGTAAAGGTGGGCAGCCGGCCGAGGGAAAGTGAAGGCTGGGGTGGCTATGGAGGGAGAGTGAAGGGAGCTTTAATTTTGTTGCTCGGCTCCTTTGTGAACAGAGCAAGAAGAACAACAAGAAAAGCAAGACTACAACAGCTCTCCACTGGACCCCAATGGAAATGATCACCTCCAACTCTCCTATTGGTAGGTTGGCAGGGTGGACTTAAATTAAAATAAAACAAACAAATAATCATTTGTGAGTGTGTATCAGTGTGTGTGTGTGTCTGTTAGTGTGTGTGTTATTGAGTGTGTTTGTCTAAGTGTGTGTCTGTCACTATGTGTGTGTATCTGTCAGTGAGCGTGGGGAATATGGGAAAGGTGTTCTTACTCACATTTTTTCCCACACCATGCAAGTCTCGCTGCAGTTGACCCCACCTCCAGTGGATAAAACCATCGATCTTGCTGATCTCAGCCAATCCAATGCTTTCCCATAGAGATGCTATTGTTACTATTATTAATTACTATGGTTATTGTATAAATATATGAAATACAGTGTTACAGATTAACTGTAAGTTTGATTTTTTTGTTTCGCTACTATCTCAATATGGAAAATTAATGACGCAACGAGTAGCTAGAAAAGTTCGTAATCTACTTAATTTGTATACAACGTACTAATGTATCCATAACTATGCCTCAGATGTTACACAATCATTTTTCCACATTCTGTTTAACTGTGAAAAACGGTTTATATATGAAAAAACAAATAAGGGCAGGGCACACATACAGAGATCTCAAAGGCCATCTCCATCTCTAAAAAAAAAGATCTGCACAAACAAAGGTTGAAGAAATTAGAACCACGAAGGACATGATAGCCTTCCTATACCAGAGATGAGAGTGTTATCTCTCCACTTGGTCATCTTGGCTTGAATTACAGGATGAGGATCACCCGGGGAGCAGTAAATGGGCTCTGGGACTGTAGAAGGGGTAGGTAGTCCCTTTCCTGTCTCTTGGGCTGTCTTATTCTTTGCTCTCTGCCTTTCCTGTCTCTTCCCTTGCCTTTCTTCTCTCTTCCATGTCCTCTCCCAGGTTGGGAGTCTGCCCTTTACCCTACCTCTCTCTGTTTGGTACAATAGTCCTAACAAAACACATCATCCTGAAGACTATGTGCTGGGCTTTCTTTGCTCCACTCAAGTTACATTATATTGCACTCTGAAAATAAAGATTGATGTGCACTATTTGTCTGTCATTTCTATGAGCTGTTTTCAGGAGACAACACACCTCTCCTCCAGCACTATCGAGACACTATAGAGACTCAAATTTTGCCATCAACAGCAATTCCTTCAACATATTCAGACTAAAATCTAGCCATTTTTACTAACAAAAACATGTATGGTATTTTCCTGTTGAAATTTTATTTGTGTTGCAGCTATTACCTTCTGTAAATGTATTCATTGCCATAACAAGCAGATACGGTTTTCTTCGCCAATTAACGTGCAAAAAACAAGTGATTTGTGAATGTGCATACTGCTGGATGCACTTGGTCCTGATTTTTTTTTTATTTTTTTTTAAATCAGTGCTTTGTAAATGGTCTGAATCACTTATGTATACGTTTACCTATATATGCAACAGTCAAATGTTAATATATAAAAAAATTAAAATAAATTAATCTCTAAATTAATTAAGCTAATTTTATTTGTCTTTTCTTTTTTGGGGGGAGGAGGGGTGGGAGGTGTGCAGAATTCTGTTTTTTTTAAAGTAATTATTTTTGGTTTAAGTCATAGGTACTAAATCCTCCCTGCTAAATCCAGAACACCATAACCCAACTAAGGTCCTAACCCCTAAATATAAATTTGCCTATACCAGGTCAGTTTCAGGTAGAGGGTGTGTTACACCTACCATTCAAGATCATGGTGCGTTTACTCATTTCAATAATGCGTGCTTAGATAGCATCACCGTATGGCCTACACATAGAATAGATAGTCAAGACTTTAAACAAAAAATGGTGGTATTTTCCTTTTTTCTATAATGTGACCGGATTGTGAAACATGGCTGTTATTATTATTAATAAACATGGCTATTATTATTATAGCGCCAACAAATTACGTAGCGCTTTACAATGGGTGGCTATGATTTACTTTATATATTTAATATTCCACATTATGACATGCAATGCTTGTAACTCATTACCTGCACTACGAAAATAAAGAATTTTAAAAAAAAGAAAGTGCACAGTGCGTTTGAGTATAAACTATAAGAATTGTAGGTTGGATCATGACTGTTGCTCTGGCTATTTGAAATAAAATAAAATGAAACATTTGATCGGCTAACTGATGCTGGACGTCTTCACGCTCTGCCTGAGGACCTCCAGCGTCAGTAAAATCCTCATAGGAAACCATTGAAGCAATGTTTTCCTAAGAGGATGGCCTAATGTACTCGCATTGCTAGGCATGCACATTAGCTCCCCATCGGATGATGTCAAGGGAGATTGGCGCTGGAATTGGGTGAGTACATAAAAGGATTTTTAACCCTTTCAATGCCAGTGGGGCAGTGAGAGGGAAGGGAGCAGGAAGTATAGTTTCAGGAATTCAGCTTTGTATTCCTTACACTTTAGAATTTACCGGTATTTAAAATCAGTGAACGACACTAAAGTAAGCTCAGTAGATTAAGTAAGGCCACTGTAATTGAGGATAGGCAGTCCCATTAGATGAGTTAGATAGTGACCACAGCGTAGCAGTCTGGTACAGACTGTCAGGGGGTAAAAGGGATTGCAGTCTCTGGGTTCGAATTCTGTTCTTACAGGCACCTAGTCCTGTTTTCATAGAGAAGTATTGTGGGCACAGCAAACACATTTATTATACACTTAACACACTTATTTAAGACAGATACCAAACTATAAACAGGAAGTGTGCGTGCTGGTTTTGTTCCACCAAAATTGATCATCTCAGCCAATCCAATGCTTTTCCATGTACGGCAAATCACCACACTGCACCAATAAAAGTCTCTCTATGAGCAGCATTTGATTGAGAACCAAGTCTAACTTGGTTCTCACAGGGGAGCGCCTCTGATGGCTGACAGGAAGACAGCCACTAGATGTGTGCTTAACCTTGCAATGAAAAAATTACTGTTCCTACTAAGTGGCAATGTTTTTATATTGCTGAGTTAAAACAGAAGGGACACTGTACTCAAACCACTTAATTGACACACAGAAAGTGGTTTGGTTGCCTTTAATGTCCCTTTAACCCCTTAAGGACACATGACATGTGTGACATGTCATGATTCCCTTTTATTCCAGAAGTTTGGTCCTTAAGGGGTTAAAACAAATGAATTCACATACATACCCAGTTTGGCTATATTGACCTAGATTGTGCCAATTAGTTTTGTATTTACGAACAATTCATTTTCGCACAGAGCAACAGATACAATGAGAAATAAACAGAAGATAAATAATTGTAAACCAATAAAGACAGATAAACAGAAGGAGGTTACAGGGAATGGCATTCACTGTAAGAAATATGCAGTGTTTAATAATACTGTAATTAATTATACAATTGTTTATACCAATAACAAGCTGGAAACCAATAGCACCCACAGAGACTAGGAGAGACCAAGTAAATATAAAATTGGGAACTAAAAGCTTCTTCTTACCTGGCTTTGATAATCTGCTTGTGGATTTTTATTTTATTTCCTGCTGCTGAGAGAAGCACAAACAGGTTTGCAATATTACAGGGCTTGTTCTTTTTTTCCTCCAGAGGTTGCTATGACACCACATGACTCACTGAACATAACACGAGCTATGTGAGCGCTGTAAGGTGAGGATTAAATTCTGTATATTCATCATTATATTGGGTTTCTGACCTGAGACCTCAATTGTATTAGAACATAATAGGAACCTGAGCTCTAAAGCTCTTAGACCATTACAGTTAGAGCATTTGACGTTAGTATAAAATATTTCAGATTTGGTTCACAGGCATTTAGGGCTCAAAGAAAAGGTTCACAGGCATTCTTGGCTCCCCACAGTACCACTTTTGGCAGAAAAGCCCCGATTCCAGGGTCCTGTCCCACCATCCTGGTGTAGTTCCAAAGGCATTCGCAGCGCATATTTATTAGGGTGTGCATTATTTTCCTATGTTATTTTTCATTTTTATACAAGGTGAATATTTACTAAACGGCTCTGTTGTGGTGGGTGAAGTGTTGTAGCTGTCTGCGCGTGATGTGTGTCTGGCTGTGTATGATACATGTTTTAGCAGGACCAGATTTACAGGTCAGGCGCCTGTAGGCACAAAATTCTGAGACTCCCCCTGATCCCAAACCCCCAAAAAGACAGATAAATAAGGATAATGAATTTAAAAAACTGTTAAACTATGTATTTTACAAATAAGCTGAGGTATATACAATGTCGAGTTGGGACCTAACAAAATTTTGATATGTGCACTGATGAGTCTGTACGGGGTGTGGCAAGCCGAACTGAGAACCCACACGGTATACCTCGACCCCCAAAGGGAATTGGGTGTAACACTCAGTACAGTCGGATCCAACTATTGTTCGCTGGAGGGCGAAATTGGCTGATTCCATGAGGAATAGCCTCGGGCTAACCACAGGTGCCCACTTCTACGGCACCTGTCCTTTATATTTCATTTTCTATCTTTCCTTCTTCTTTCCTATTTTCCTTTTTCTTTGTGGGTGGATTGGGGGGAGAGGGGAGGAGGGAGAGGTAAAACTATATGGGTATTTTTATCGCACCTGACTTAGAACACTTTATGCGTATAGTGTCACATACTGATAAAGGGTTATATACACCTTCAAAATGACACTCTCTCTTTAGAGACAGCTCCAGGGAGACATTGTATGCTTGCAAGAGACACACTTTCGTAAATCTGACCGATGCCGTTTTGATATAAAACAATTCCCATATCAATTTCATGCTACCTCTGACACAAAATCAAAGGAAGTGTCAACACTTATTAGCGGCCAAGTAACCTTTTCCTTAATTAAAAAAGTGGCTGACCCAAAAGTACGCTTTTTAATAATCATAGCCCTGATCAGCGACGTCACGTATACAATAGCCAATGTATATGCCCCAAACAATCACCAGAGAGACTTCCTAATCAAGGTCCTAGCCAAAATCGATAGCCCACATCAAGATTTCCTTATCTTGAGGGGAAATTTCAATTGCATCCAAGACCCTATACTAGACTCTACATCTGACAAAGCACCCATGAGACTCAAAACACTATCAAAGTTGGCCAGACAACTAACCTCCCTCTTTAACTCCTACAATCTCTACAACATCTGGAGGTCACAAAACCCTTCAGAAAAAACATACAGATATTACTCCTCAGTACACAATTGCAACACTAGGATAGATAGTGCTACACCAAAGGCACACACCTAACGCAAGTCACAGAATGTGAGATAGGAAATATTGAATAGTCGGACCACGCTCCAGTTATCCTCACAATATCAGACAAATTTGCCTTAAAAACCAAACCCCTACGGCGACTGAACGAATCGCTCCTCTAAACCACCCAATTCTACAAAAATATGTTGACAGAAATAGACAACTACTTCAACACCAATGACACGCCTTCGATGTCCAATAGATACACTGTGGCAAACCCACAAGCAGTCGTGCGTGGCAAATTCTCCTCTAATTAGCTACACCAATTTGATGCTTCAAATATTTCATCCCCACTTTTGACAGCAGGGGGTGGGAACAGGCCTCAGTTAGCATGTTAAATGTTAAAGTACAGGACAGTACAGTTAGAAAAAGACTGAACAAGTATGGTTCGTATGAAGGGTTGACAGAAGAAAGCCTCTTCTCTCTAAAAAGAACATGGCATCATGGCTTAAGTTTGCAAAGTTGCATATCGACTGTAACGGACCGTTTTGCACATAAGCGGTTAAAGACGATATTCCCCTTTCAGATGCAGAGACAGCTACTGCAATCACCAATCTCCCGAACTGCAAACTACACGAATTCTCCAACTCCCAAGCAGGAAACTCACGAATACTGTAAACAGCTGAACAGGAAAAACGATACGAAAGGTTTACACTCCTGGCAGTCAGCATACAATCCAATTCCCCCAATAACGAGACGACACTTCGTTTGAGTGTTAAGCAGAATCTGGCAGAGCTGTGGGTTTATTGTTCTTATGTACACATTCTTACACATTAGTACCACCTACAGGGTTTTGGAAAACAACCAATAAACATGTACAATACACTCAGACACTCCCACACAAAATCCTCCCCTCTGCCTGTGATACAATTACCTTACACAATGGGTAACATAATTATCACAGCCAGAGAAATACAGTTTTTCCACATTATTCATAACTTGAAAAGTATGCATCACATTCACTTACATTTTCAGAATCAGCATACTCCAAATACAAACATATGTCAAAATCATCCAAATTGATCCATTGGTTCAAAAGATAGATCGAAGTCCTTTGTGACTTAATGAAGCATGGCTTTTCTGCCCAAAACCAGTTCCACAGAGTCTTCTATCCTGGAGATAATTGGGAAATAATCCAATTATCTCCAAGGATATAGGCAAAACTCCATTGAGGCAAAACTCCAACACATGGCAGCAAAAGACAATAAAACACAAAAATATATAACTGTGCAGCCATTGCACAAAACAGGTACATTCAACATATCCCCAGATAGCTCAGATCTGAGCGCACATTATTACTGAATGGAGCTCAGAGCACACACATACAGTTCAATTGCCATGGAGCCAAAGTCTTTCCCACAGTCTTTCATTATACAAATGGGCTCCATGGCATAGCTATCTGGGGTATCACCGCTCAAACAGGGCAAGCACCGAATGACCCGGCTTTCGTGTCTTCGCAGGGGAAAATCAAGCGTTTCAACATGGGGCCATAGTTTAAAGGCAGCAGACGGTCAACCAGGCTTCTCCAGTGCATAGTGGCGAGGTTGGTTCCGCCACATCGACAAACCACAAGACTTCTGAAAAAATGTCCTCTAGACAGACAAGACCAAAGTGGAGATGTTGGCCCATAATACACAGTGCCACATGTGGCGAATACTAAACACAGCACATCAGCACGCACCAACTGTCAAGAATGGTGATGGTGATGACTTGGGCTTGTTTTGCAGCAGCTGGACCTGGGAACCTTGCATTTATTGACTCGACCATGAATTTCTCTGTATACCAAAGTATTCTAGAGTCAAATGAGAAATCCAACAGCTCAAGCTTGGCTGAAATTGGGGCATGCAACAGGACAATGAGCCCAAGTAAACCAGCAAATCTACAACAGAATTGCTGAAAAAATACAGCTGAATAGCTGTGATTGGACCTTAACAGAGCTCTGCATAAATAAACGCCAGCAAGCCTCAATGAACTGAAGCAACGTTTTAAGGAGGAGTGTGCCAGAATTCCTCCACAAGATGTGAGAGACTGATAAAGTCATATAGAAAATTATTACAGGTTATTGCTGCTAAAGGTCATTCTACAGGCTAATGAATCAAATGGTGTACTTAGTTTTTCACACATGCCTTGTCCATTGTGGCTTTATTTTTGTTAAATAAATTGTGTCATGGTGTAATATGTTTTCTGGTGTTGTTCATCTGAGGTTGTATTTATCTCATTTTAAGACCTGCCAACAGAACAGATGACTGTTATTATGTCTCAATATGTAAAACCACAGAATTCAAAGAGTGTGTACTTTTTTTCCCCATAACTGTATATATATATATATAGAGAGAGAGAGAGAGAGAGCGCATACAAGATTCAGCGCACTCACATATTCACTAAACAGCAATTTCAGAGCTCACAGAGCACACAAATAAGTTTGATTTAAAAATACCTAACCTAGGCAAAAATAATAGAGGTTTAGTTACAGCATATAATCATACATTGCATAAGCCTGCCACAACGCCATTCTTTGCAGGTCCTACTCAGGCAACCTTATGCCTATGCACACGCAAATCTGTATGTATATGTGTATCACAGGTACACACACTTATCTGCTCCATTACTAACAAATTAATTCATGTAGCCAGCTGTGGTGGTAAAGGTGCTTGGAGCATTCCTTTAATCCCTTATCCTCTGGCTGATTTTACAGTTCTGAGATGAGAAAGGCCCAAATGGAAGTAGTCCTGCTGAGGCACTTGCAGTCCTTGTGTATTGAAGTTACTTTAAAATCCCCTGTCACCGGGTGCCAACAAGTTATAAGTGCCCCAAATGGAGCTTATATATTAAGTAAAGCTTAATTTTTAATTGACTTGTTTAAAGAATAACACTATTGTCTGAATGGACCCCTTAGACAAATTAACATGAATAAAACATCTTGCCTGTTTCCTTTGTAATACTAATAAATGTGAAATCATGCATTTATTTTTTATTTTTAAAATTCTTTATTTTTGTGGTAGGAACAGAACCACTGGTTTTGATGGTAGCTTACATACATTCATTACATGTAGATAAAAGGAATACAATTAAACATCACATTAATTAATAATAATTAATAATAAACATAATAATAAACATGGGTTTTTTCTTGGTTGAACATGCTAGCTTCTCTGGTGCACTCAGTGACAAGTACAGGGAGGGAGCTGTAATAACACAAATCTGTATATCACACCCGCCGCTTATGGTGACTCATGGTGTGCAGTGCCCTGTAACTCTTAGGCATTCCGTGTAGGTTTGAGAATATCGGGTTGGCTTCTCAAGTTAGCAGCTCTAGCAGGCTTAGGGTGTATATTACCGTGTAACTTACTTTCGACTCATGAGGGCTTAGGATTTACTCAGTTAACATGTCTTGCCAGCTGGTAGGCCGGACTTTGGATGTGCAGCCCAGAGTGTCAGGCTATCAGCCCCTTGGGGGTTTCGGTTATTTGGGTTAACGTGCTGGCAGCTTAGGCGCACCCAGAATGGTCCGTATGGCACTTCGCGCTGGCCCCCCCTGTAGGGGTTAAAGCATACTGGCCACTCGAGTGAGTTAGAAGGACAGGGTGAAAACAGGAATAAGAAAATAAAGGGCTGAAGTTCATCCCATTGGTGACCCTTATAGAGCCTATGGTGTGGTCCTTTAGTTGAGTGTGCTGATCTTATGTGGGGTCTTACTATGGCTACAGGTGTCATTTGTAAACTGCTCCTATAGAGTTAGAATACACACTTTGGCAACAGCGGCGACAACACCTATAAAATTTGTGTACACTCCTGGGTATCCCCTGCTCGTACCTCCAGTGGAGTGAGAGTATTCTAATGCTAGGTCAACAGAATAGAATGTTAGCCTGGTGTTAAATTAACAGTGTAAACTCTAGCACAATATTGTATGTCGTGGTGCTGAGCCCTGCATTGCTGTAGTTAAATCTGTGGGCATTACAGTGACAATCATTATTAATAATTCGAGGATTTTACAATTATCATGACGGAAAGTCATGATTTTATTAAAGACACGGAGGCGAGTATTATGCTGCTCTCTTTCTTTATTACCCTCAGCAGCAAAGAATACATTATTGAAGAAAAATAAACATTTGAACTAGGTATAACATCATAGTGACAATGTCCGCCTAGTAACATGGCCATCCAATCAGTGTCGTCCTTCTCCTATAGTAGGCGGAGCATTGATGACCACTTCCTCTTTCTTTCTTGCGTATCCCGAAGAATAAACTCAAAACTCGGAACAGGAAACCAGATAAACCAACGAGCCAGAACAAGGTATGACACTCCAAGAGCTCCTTCAACCCAGTCATGCTAGAAGAGACAAGAAAATATGGTAATGTCTTGGACTGATGGGTTTTCATACATAGAGGTCCACACATTTGACTAAACAGTGGCAATAATTCATAGATGTAGTAAGAGGGACTACTGATCTGAGGACACTTGTGGCAATGAGTCTCAAATTAGATAATGTCCTAACGCCTGTGATGGCCTCAATATCACCAAGATTGAACTTACCATGGAGAGGTCTGTAACTTACCTTGCCCCACATCCAAGCCGTCCAAGGGCGGGTGGGTGGGATAATACTCGCCTCCGTGTCTTTAATAAAATCATGACTTTCCGTCATGATAATTGTAAAATCCTCGAATTTTATTAAAGACCCGGAGGCTCCTATTATGCTATTTTAAAGCTGTGATATCACGGCTTCTGCAAAATGTTGGATTGGTTTGAAATAGAAATTAAGGAAGGTAGATTCCGCAGACCAATCAGCCGCCTTCAATATATCCTCTAAACGACAACCAGCAAAGGAGGCTTTAGAGGCCATGGCACCGCGAACTGAATGGGGAGAGAAAATGGAGGTGTCAATACCTGCCAAAGACATGAGCCATTTCACCCAGCGGGCCAAGGTTGGAGAGGAAACCGAAGCATGCGGTTTACGGAAGGAGATGAAGAGTTGGGGGTCTGACCCAGTCCGAAGGGGTGCGGTACGGGCTTCGTACGCCCGAAGGCATGCTACCGGGCAAAGGAGTGGCTTCGCATGAAACGCCGGGTACAGGACCGTCCGAGATGACGATTTCGTCCTCCGTGAGATGTCAAAGACCACTCCTTCTGGAGAGAAGGATCGGGCATTGACATCGAGTGCTCTAACATCTGACACTCTCTTGCAGGAGATTAGGCATAAGAGCATAACTAGTTTAGCGGATAGTTGTTTCAAGGATAAAGACTCGTTGTCTGGCCATCGTGTCAAGAAATTCAATATTAGGGAGACGTCCCACAGGGAGGAATAGCGAGGTTGGGGTGGCCTTGCAAAGCGAATGCCTCGGAGAAGACGACAGACAATTGGGTGTCGTCCTATCGGGGCCCCATCAATGCCGGTATGGCCGGCCGATATGGCCGAACGGAAGAGATTTACTGTCCTGTAAGCCTTCCCGTCGTCATAAAGTGATGTTAAGAATTGCAGGACTGTTGTCACAGGAGTTGATAGGGGATCCAAACCCCGTGCCATGCACCAACCATCCCATGTGCGCCAAGCAGACTTGTAAGACTGCCTCGTGCCGGGTGCCCATGAGCCCTCGAGAAGTCGGAGAGTCGATTGCGAAACTCCCTCGATCGACCAGGGTCCCCGGAAACCAGCCACGCCATGAGGCGGAGGAGCCCTGACGGATCATGGGGTGGGGGTTCGCATCCGGGTCTCGTAGTAGAGATTGGGCATCCGGGAGGAGCCGCGGGCGATCTATGGCCATCTCCAGAAGAGGAGGGAACCAGGGCTGCGACGGCCATAAGGGGGTTATTATCACCAAGCAGCCCAATTGGCGCCGTAGGTGGAGAAGACACCGAGGAATGAGGGCGAAAGGAGGGAAAGCATAGTTCCTGGTGGTTGACCAGTCTTGGGAGAAAGCATTCGTAGCCGAAGCCTTGGGGTCTGGCCTCCAACTGAAGAAGGTCGGAAGTTGGGTGTTCAAACGGGAGGCAAACAAGTCTATTGCCAGAGGACCCCACAGATCCCAAATGTGCTGGAAGACTTGGGGATCGAGGTGCCAATCGCTGGAATCCCGTAGATGGCGGGAGTACCAATCCGCCGTAGTGTTGGATAACCCGGGTAAGAATTCTGCCCTGACGGCCATGTTGTGTTGCAGACAAAACTGCCAAAAGTCCCTCGCCAAATTCGCCAGGATTTTGGATCTCGTGCCACCGAGGTGGTTGATATACCGGACAGCCGATACGTTGTCCATCTTCAGTAAGATTGAGCATTGGGACAGTGTCGGGGAGAGGCTGCGAATTGCAAAGGACCCTGCAAGGAGTTCCAGGCAATTTATATGCAGTGTTGACTCCGCCTCCGACCAGCGTCCGCCTGTGGAAATATCTCCGCAGCGCGCACCCCAACCATAAGAGCTCGCGTCCGACTCTATTACTACATCTGGGGCCGAGCCGAAGATGGCTTTGCCATTCCACGCCTCCATGTGTATGAGCCACCAGCGGAGTTCTTCTTTCGCCTCTGCGTTTAGAGTCAGAGTATCCTCGTATGAGGCGCCGTCTCTCAGGTATGACGCCTGTAGGCGTTGGAGGGCTCTGTAATGAAGGGGACCCGGGAATATGGCCTGTATGGAGGCTGCTAGGAGCCCGATCACGCGGGCCAGATGTTTGAGAGATATATGTGGACAGGTAAGAACTCGTCTTATCTCTTTCTTGATATTTTTCATTTTGGATGTTGGTAAATACAAGGTTTGCATAACTGAGTCCACCAAGAGACCTAGGAATTCTATTTGTTGAGTGGGGGCTAGGGTGGACTTTTCCCAATTTATGATGAATCCCAAATTCTGCAACAAGGTTGTGGTCCAACCGAGGTGCATATGGAGCAGTGAGACTGACTGGGATAGCAGTAGGATGTCGTCTAAATATATGATTAGGCGTATCCCTCGACTGCGTAGGAGAGCAATCACGGGCTTCATTAGCTTGGTGAAGCACCAAGGTGCGGAAGACAGACTGAAGGGAAGGCAGCGGAACCGCCATTTCCTTCCTTGCCACGTGAATTGCAGGAAATCTTGGTGCGTCTGTGCAATGGGTACCGTGAGGTACGCGTCTCTTAGATCGAGTTTGACCATCCAGTCGGCTGGTTGGAGCAAATCTCGCAGGCAGTGAATGCCTTCCATCTTGAAGTGATGGTAATTTACGTAGGCATTTAGGTGTTTGAGATTGATAACTGGGCGGGACCCGCCCCCCTTCTTTGGGACAATAAATAGGTTGCTCACAAAACCCGGGGTATGCATCGGGATTTCTTGAATAGCTCCTTTGAGAGCCAAGTCTCGAACCTCCTCGGAGACGAGGGTCGTGTCTAGAGGGGAAAAAGCAATCTCCCTGGGTGGGGAGCGTTGGGTTGGAAGGGATATAAAGTCTATTAGGTACCCGTGGACAGCCCTGAGTATCCAGGCATCTGAGGTAATGAGAGCCCAGACATGGGAAAAATGTGTGAGTCTGCCCCCAATCGCCACCTGTGTTTGAAATTGAGAAAGGTAGCTTACCGTAAGGACGTCTTCCGGAAGGAGCGCCTCGAGTACCTCTCGACACCCATGGTCTGCCTCGTTGTGGAAAAAAGGTCGGAGCGGACCTTTGGTCAATAAAGGGGGTTCTCCCAACATAGGAGCCTCGGCTCGGGCGCGAGCCTCTGTTGACTCTGCCGGACAGACGGCCCCTTGCTCTGCCGGCCCCACCAAAAACCTTTGGGTGGAACACCCTTTTTAGATTTGATTGTGCCTTGTCTAAGGCCGTGAATGTTTGGACATAAGATCCCAGGTCTTTTACAAAAGATTCTCCAAAAAGGTACCCTTTTGCTAGGGCCCCTGGCTCAGTAATTGCCATATTTACAAGCTTTGGTTCTATTTTAATGAGAATAGATTTACGGCGCTCTGTAGCCAGAGCGGTATTGGCATTGCCTATGAGGCATATCACCCTCTGAATCCAACCTCTAATAGTGAGGCGATCTAAGGCGTCATCTTGTGCCAAGGATTCCTCCACGGCTTCGAAAATTTTGGTCGCTGGACCTAAGATATCCAAGACTTTGTCTTGACAATTATAAAGCGAAAAGTCTAGACCTTTCTTAGGTTTCCAACCCGTCTTGCTTAAAAATTGTATGATCTTGGGATCGACTTGGGGTGTCTTACAGACCTCGTCTGGTATGGTGGGGCGTGGGCATTCAGCCCTCAGTTTATTACGTGTTGCCTTGTCCAGAGGCTTACGGACCCGTGAGGCGACATATTGTGCCACATGCTCAGCTGGTGACCATTCCGCAGAGCGGGGGTGACGTAAGTCATCCGGCTCAAACAGTGGTTCGCCCTGCGGGTCAAGGATTTTTCCCTGTTTAATCAATTCTGAGCTTGCGGTATTTATCTCAGTAGAGGGATTACACACCTCATCAATGTCATATTCCGAATCTAGGTCGGACAAATCGTTAGACTGATCTGAGTCTAGGGCTGGGGCACTCTCCTCATCTGAACTGAGTTCTGACTCAGTGGAATCAGGTTGGGCTTTAGCCCACTTCCAATGCCTAGCCGCTTTTGCCCGGCTAGAGGCTCTTTTGCGCGGTGGGTTAGTATTCGCGCCATCTGTGACAGGTGTTTTACTGTCCATCGTTAACTTGGAGGAGTGCTTGGTTTTTGCCAAGGCTTTGCGGCCGGGGCGTGATGGGTTGGAAATAGATGGTATCGCGACTGGCATAGCGGTCGGAGGGACCATGCGTTGGGCCTGCCTTAGTGCCTGGGTAAAAGATTTTGAAATAGATGAAGACATAATGTCCATGGCAGATGCCAGGGCTTTAGAGACAGACTTGGACACAGTAGTGTCCATGATAGCCTGAATATCCTCTGATGCTGGGAAATCCAGGTCATCCCCAGAAACTATAGGGGGAAAACCCAATGCTGTCTGGGGGTCAGTTGTTGTCCCTGAGGGACCAGGTAAATCATTAGCAGATTGCATTAGTGCAGTGTAACTGACAGGCAGGATTAAACAAAGTAATTGACAGTGCAGGTGTTATTTGATGAATTTAATAGTAAGAGTTGTAGAGCAGGGTTAAGTAACCCAGCTGAAAATAACCAGAACACAATAAGCAGTAAGTTAAATCAGGAAAATCACTTACAGCTATTTATCAAAATAATGGAGGGGAGCAGGAGAAAAGGGAACCGTCCGCCACTAATACTGGACACCAACTCCGATCAAGGGACGGAGTGGGCGTTCCATAGTAAAAGGGCGGGAAAATGTTGGAAGAAAATGGCCGCCGCGCCGGCGGGAACCAAAAAGATGGCCGCCGCGGCTAACAAAGCGAAAGTATAAGTGAATGCCGGTGTTCGGCGGTAAGGTAACGTTGCTACACCGCCGCACGGGGAGGGAGGGGTGTAGTGCGGCTGGATGCGCGGTCAGAAGTAAATCCGACCGCGACCTACAGCCGGAACTTAAGATGGCGTTCTGACTGGGCGCGCATGCGCGGACGGGCCAGATGCCGGCGAAATTAAAGTGATAGCTGGACAAACCCACAGACCGGCCAAGTCCCTGAATATCAGGGCAGATAGAATAAGGGGGGTCAAGCCATGACAGTGTAGGGTATAGGAAGATGTGCAGGTTGTTAAGTATACTACACTTATACTTTGAAAGATTATTTAAAGGTGCAATGCAGTCAGTACCAGTAAAAGGTACCCATGAATGTAGGAGGTTAATAGAAAGAACAATTAAATACAATGAAGTACAATATCATATTGAATAGAGTAACATTAAAGGATCCCACAGTGAGAGAACTGTGAGGGGTGTACTTATCTGAGGGTAGCAGCAAAGAAAGAGGAAGTGGTCATCAATGCTCCGCCTACTATAGGAGAAGGACGACACTGATTGGATGGCCATGTTACTAGGCGGACATTGTCACTATGATGTTATACCTAGTTCAAATGTTTATTTTTCTTCAATAATGTATTCTTTGCTGCTGAGGGTAATAAAGAAAGAGAGCAGCATAATAGGAGCCTCCGGGTCTTTAATAAAATCAGGAGTCCCGGCATATAAGGGGGGAGGCATCTAGTCATGTGGTTGAAAAGAACCTAAAGTACAACAATCACGATACTAACAGTTTCTACAACATCCATGGGCTAGAGGGGCAGTTGTTGTGTCTCTGGGGTGGTACATCCTGCACTTTTGTGGTATTGGTCCCTTCCCTCTGCTCCCTTCCCTCTTCCCCGTCTTTAGGGTGTAAAAGTGTAGAGGCATAGGCTCGCTATGTGAGTATTTAAAAAATAAAAAATAAACCAAAAATGAAAAAGTACTTTGGGGTCACTTACGTGACCTTCATAGTATAGTTTTAGCTATAGTCTTGGGCAGTTTCTTTGCCTGCCAGTATCGTCCGTGTAGTTGGTTTGTAGTGAGTGTCACCTGGTGAGTATCGTGGGTTAGCCTTTTGCTTGTTCAGGTCTGAAGGGGATTGTGTGAGTGCTGTTTGCTCCTCTTCCTCTCCGCCCTAGTGTTGCTCTCTCAGTTCTCAGTCTCCCAGTTCTCAGTATCGCCTGCCCCGTCGGGGGGTACTTGCAGCTGCAGCTGGAGGGCCTGGATGAATCCTGCAGGGTTTTCGTCCGCAGACAGTGTGAGGATTGAGTCCTTTTGTGGGACCACTAGCGTGCCTGCTGCTCCCCACCGGTATCTGATGCCCTTGTCTCTCAGTGGGCGGGTGATTGGCATAAATTTTCTCCGCTCCAGCAGGGTTGTGAATGGGATGTCAGCGAAAACTTTCACGTGGTGGGGGTCTTCCTGGAGGAGGCCATCAGTGCCGCTTTGACTGTGACATCTTGGGTAACGGCTATGATGTCTCTCGGCGCGTCTGCTGGGGCGGTCGGGGCTTTCCGAATTCTGAACGCTGCCGTAATCGGCCATGTTTCTCCTTCCTTTTTTGCCCCCATCGCCACCGCCACTTTGTTTGCGTAGGCCAATAAGGCCTCTGGGCCTATGTCTTCAGGGGCTCCGTGTATGCGGACATTTCTTCTGCGGTGGCGCGTCTCCATCGCTGTGACTGAGCGGGTGAGTCTTTGGAGTTGGAGTGTCAGTGCGTCCATTTGCCTTCTGGAGTCGGTCAGTAAGGCATCTCTTTGGCCTTCTCGGGTTTCCACTGCCTCCAGGCGCCCCTTCATGTCGGTTACTTCTGTCCTCACGCCGGCCAAGTCCGATTTCCACATCTCCCGGAGATCTAGGAGGAGCTTTTTGATGTTGCCCTTTGTTGAAGGTAAGTCGTCAGAGTCCGACGTCTCCGACCGGTATAATGCGGTGGCCGGGGTCGCGTTCTGGAAGTTCTCCTCCTCCATAGACGAGTCGGACTGTGGAGCCTGCTGCGGCTTTTCAAAAGATCGCCTGATGTCAGGTTGGTGTGAGCTCTCTAGGCGGGCGGTTTTCTTGTTTTTCTTCCCCGTCTCTCTGTAGGGGGTCTAATGCTTGTTACTGCTTGGTTTTTGGGTCTAAGTTCGGTGTATTCGTGGCTTTTTGGGTCAATTGTAGATTAGTGAAGCAGGAGCTCCACATAAACACGTCCTGTGTGCTGCTCTGCTAGCCACGCACGAAATCATGCATTTATTATTCTGCACTATACTGCCCACAAAAATCCTATTCTGCTGTATTACCAGATACACTTGGAAACATTCTAACAAATGCATGACACGTCTCCTTTATAGAAAAGGAGAGATCTTCGTTAACATTCAGGTATACCACTAGATGGCACTAAAACTCACTATATACACAGAAAAAAGGAGTTGTTTTTTTTTTCATTTAAAATTCAGCTACAAAGTATTACAATTGGCAAGCTGTAGCAGAATGGACCTTGATACAGTACCCTTATGCCACTACAGGCTGTCCGTATTCCCTTTTCCCATTGTCCCCTATGGTTGGGGCTTGCAGTCCCTGTGTGAGATATACCTCCCTATTTTCTACCACTGTTTGTGTCTTTTTGTGGACTTAGGCAGTATGTCTTCGAACTCTCGAAGCATTCGAAATGACAGCAGAACTGGCGGCATCCATCTTGTTTTGTCAAACGCATCCAGCGGTGTTTGGTCATCGAGTGCATGGAACTCAAATCGTACACTTCATGGAGTGGACTCTTACCTTCCATGGATATTCGGCTATGCGAACGGGAGTCGAACGGCATTCGGTGGGAATAAGCTCCCGAACCAGAAATAAAGACTAAGTGCCATACAAACTCTCTACATTCGGTATTTTGGACATTACTTTGAATCCCCGAAGTAGACCGGCCGCACAGCCTGATTCTCTGGAACTCTTTTGGGCATGGGACCATGCGTGCAGTCGGTCAAAATGTGACTTCCATAAAATTTCTGAACCCCTGAACTGATCTGGGTGATCTTTGGTCATCCAGATCAGAGCTATCAGGGGATGTAACATTTGTGGGGATACGGTGTATTTTGGGGGTTTTGTAAAATGTGTGTTTTTTTCCTGCCTGAAGATAATTGGGTTAATACATTATCTGACTTAATTATCTTCCAGGCAGAGGGGAGGGATTGTATGCTATGTATGGGAGTGTCATGCATTGGAATACTGTCTTATTGGTCTATGAATATTGTCACTCAGTTCCCCACAAGGTCCATGTGGGCGTACCCCTTGCATGCAGTGGCGTCGCTAGGGGGGGGGCCAGGGCCCCCCCTACATCATGCTGTCTGTTACAGTCTGAGGGAATGCAGGACTGAGGTGCTGGGTGCTGTCTGTGGCTGGAGGGAGCACTGACTGGCTCTCTGGCACAGGCCCAGTCCCCAAACGAAGCCCCGCCTCCCGCACATAAGCCCCACCCCCGCCTTTAAGCAGCCAAGCATGTTGCTGCTGGAAAGGATGGAAGTCTGACCCCAGCAACAGCCTCCAGTGAGCTTAATATGCTTGTGTGTCTCTGCTAGTGATGAAGCTTGTGTGTGTGGACTCAGCAGTCTGTGTGTGTGTATGGACTCAGCAGTCTGTGTGTGTATGGACTCAGCAGTCTGTGTGTGTGTATGGACTCAGCAGTCTGTGTGTTTGTATGGACTCAGGAGTCTGTGTGTGTGTGTGTATGGACTCAGCAGTCTGTGGGTGTGTGGGTGTTTGTATGGACTCAGCAGTCTGTGTGTGTGTGTGTGTATGGACTCAGCAGTCTGTGTGTGTGTGTGTTTGGACTAAGCAGTCTCTGTGTGTATGGACTCAGCAGTCTGTGGGTGTGTGTGTATGGACTCAGCAGTCTGTGCGGCTGTGTGTATGAACTCAGCAGTCTGTGTGTGTATGGACTCAGCAGTCTGTGTGTGTGTATGAACTCAGCAGTCTGTGTGTGTGTGTGGACTCAGCAGTCTCTGTGTGTGTGTGGACTCAGCAGTCTCTGTGTGTTTGGACTCAGCAGTCTCTGTGTGTATGGACTCAGCAGTCTGTGCATCTGTGTGTGTGTATGGACTCAGCAGTCTGTGTGTGTTTGGACTCAGCAGTCTGTGGGTGTGTGTGTATGGACTCAGCAGTCTGTGCAGCTGTGTGTGTATGAACTCAGCAGTCTGTGTGTGTGTGTGGATTCAGCAGTCTGTGTGTGTGTGGACTCACCAGTGTGTTTGTGTGTGTATGGACTCAGCAGTCTCTGCGTCTGTGTGTGTGTATGAACTCAGCAGTCCGTGTGTCTGTGTATGGACTCAGCAGTATCTGTGTGTATGGACTCAGCAGTCTGTGTGTGTGTGTGTATGAACTCAGCAGTCTGTGCGTCTGTGTGTGTATGGACTCAGCAGTCTGTGTGTGTGTGTGTGTGTGTGTATGGACTCAGCAGTCTGTGAGTGTGTGTGTATGGATTTAGCAGTCTGTGTGTATGGACTTAGCAGTGTGTATATGGACTCAGCAGTCTGTGGGTGTATGTGTATGGACTCAGCAGTCTGTGTGTGTGGACTCAGCAGTCTGTGTGTGTTTGTATGAACTCAGCAGTCTGTGTGTGTATGGACTCAGCAGTCTGTGTGTGTGTGTTTGTATGAACTCAGCAGTATGTGTATTTGTATGAACTCAGCAGTCTGTGCGTTTGTGTGTGTGTGGACTCAGCAGTCTGTATTTGTGTATGGACTCAGCAGTCTGTGTATGTGTCTATGTGTGTGTGTGTCTGTGTGTATATGAACTCAGCAGTCTGTGTGTGTGTCTGTGTGTGTATTTGGACTCAGCAGTCTGTGTTTGTGTCTGTGTGTGTGTGTATGGACTCAGCAGTCTGTATGTCTGTGTGTGTGTGGACTCAGCAGTGTGTGTGTATGGACTCAGCAGTCTGTGTGTAAGTGTATAAATCAGCCTGTGTGCATTCAGTAACGCTTGTGTGCATTCAGGAGTCTGTGTGTGTATTCAGCAGTCTCTCAGTGTTCATATTCAGTGTACTGTGTGTATGTACTCAGCAGTCTATCAATAATTAAAATTTTTATTCCTGTGAGTTGTTGTGTAGGAAGGGCCCCAGAGCACTGCTTTGCCCGGGGCCCTTAACACTGTTAAGATGGTACTGCTTGTGTGTGTCAGTGAGCTTGTCTTTAGTGAGCTTGTGTGTGTCCCTGAACTTCTTTGTAGTGAGCCTTGTATTTATACAAGTGAGTTTGTCTGTAGTAAGCTTGTGTGTGAGTCAGAGAGTTTTGTCTGTCAGTGAGCTTGTGTGCTCACTGTACAATATATATATATATATATATATATATATATATATTGTGAGCGTAAAGGTGGAATAGTGGTTGATGGGAGATACATCAGACCTGATTTGCTAAACAGCAACCAGAGGATTTTTCAGTTAAATGCCCCAGGGAGAGATGTTAAAGTTTGCAATATGCATAGCTGATGCTCTGCAAAACATGGTATGGGTCCCTGGGGCGGAGTATTTGGAGAGCAGGGTGGGCCAATGCTCCAACAGCACTAGTTGCTGTATAACAGACCACAGCTTGGATCTGATTTTAAGAGTTAACTAATTGGCACTCACCTGTAGCTACTCAATTAGTAGACAGGCCTTTAAAAGAAGAGAGCAGCCTGCTGCAGAGTGAGGGAGAAAAAGACAGCTAGGAGAGATTGTGTTTATTGCAAAGACATTGCTTTTGTTTGGAAAATTGGTAAGTGGGAAAGCCACCCAATTGCAGATAGCAATTACTGTCTAGTAAGAGCTCAAGTAAGAGCAAGGGATTTTGTTTGTTTTTGTTATTATTTAAAGTACCTGCTTTCTTACTGAATAAAAAGGAAAACTGAGCTGAAGGTGTCCTGGACTTTGTATACCCTAGAAGGCTGTGGTTACTGCAAGATCGGTGACAATCCTACCTGTAAAAGAGGTGGTTTGTTACATATGGTGGAGAATGCGGGCAGCCACGTAAGCCTGAGGGTAGAAGTCATTTAAAGCTCAACATGGAGGATGTTATCAAGGCTCTGATCCAATCCACCTCTGTGCAACAGGAGACTAACAGGAGAGCTGCAGAAAACAGTGCAGCCCTGCAGCAACTGGTGCTGGCCCAGGCAGAGTGTGCTAAAGTCCTGGCCAAAACACAAATGGAGTGCACTGAGTCCTTGGTGAAACAGCTTGTTGTGACACAAGCGGAGATGTTTAAAGTAGCCCGTGAGGAGCAGCAAAAAGTCACCCAGGGACTACAACAGGAAATCCAAGCTATCTCTGAAAAACTGAATGGAGACCCTGATGGAAGATACCAGGGGCCAAAGGTGATTCGGGCGAGCCACTATCTTCAGAAAATGACCGCATCAGATGATGTTGAGGCGTACCTTCTGGCATTTGAGCGCACTGCTGAGAGGGAGGGATGGCCGGCTGGTGAGTGGGCAAGCATACTGGCACCGTTCCTAAGTGGAGAGCCGCAGAAGGCATATTATGACCTAGAACCAGCCGATGCAAGTATCTACAGCAAATTGAAAGCTGAAATCTTGGCACGACTGGGTGTAACCTCTGCAGTACGTGCCCAAAGGTTCCACTCATGGTCATATTCTTCAGACAAAGCCGCACGTTCCCAAATGTTTGACCTCATACACCTTGCACGGAAATGGTTACAACCTGAAATCCATTCAGCTAGCCACATTGTGGAAACCTTAGTAATGGACCGGTTTTTGCGTGGTTTACCAGCTTCCCTGCGTCGCTGGGTCAGCCAAAGTGACCCCCATACAGCTGACCAACTGATTGCCTTGGTGGAAAGATATGTGGCTGCAGGAGAACTGCTATGTCCTACTTCACAGGCAAACCCTCGCAATCCTAAGCCCCAAGATTCTGCAAGACCTGGTAAGACTGTTCAAGGTTTAAGGGGAGCTGAAGAACTGCAGCTCTATACACAAAACACCAGGGGGGCATCCAGGTCTAATAGGCCTGGGAAAGGAACTAATTGGTGGTCAGATTGTACTGTCAAATGTTTCAAGTGCAAAGAGGATGGTCATATGGCCAAAGACTGTCCATTTAAGGATGAACCTATGGAATGCAATATGGGCAAAGATGAGGGAACACGTTCATTTTTGCTCAGTTGTTATGGTACTGTTAACAATGACTATGATAATAACGCTCATAAATGCTGTGTAACTGTGAATGGAAAAATGTCTAAAGCATTACTTGATTCAGGTAGTATGGTTACGTTGGTAGCAGAGTCTATAATACCTTGTGTAAAACCTGATCATGTACAGAAAATAGGCATTATCTGTGTTCATGGTGATAAAAAGGAATACCCCACTGTGGAAGTAAATATTGGAACCCAGTATGGGGATTTAAAGTACCGAGTGGGTGTAGTACCTAGATTAGCCCATGAGGTAGTGATCGGTAGAGACTTTCCTCATTTTCTAAAATTATGGGCAGCTTTAGAAAAGACAGACCAAAATTTATCAGAGATGAGTCAGTCTGTCGAGGATAATGTGTTCCCTTTTTCCGATATTGACTTGGGTTTTGACCACTGTGACGGAAAAATAAGAAAAAAGAAAAAATACTGCCCTAAACCAGTATTAATAGGAGATAACCCAGCTCAAACTAGTGAGGAGCCTACTAATACTGCAGACAAGGATAAGGACTTAATTGATATTGGAATTAGTCCAGGTAACTTTAAAAGCGCTCAGTGGGAAGATCCCACTTTAGTGACAGCTAGAAATGATATTAAAGTTGTAAACGGGGTTGCTAATCAGCCAGGAGAAGCACTGCCGTTCCCCTATTTTGAAGTACAAAATGACCTAATTTACCGTGTAGAAAAAAAGGATTCAGACATCATTAAGCAGCTGTTGGTTCCTCAGACTTACCAGAATATAGTGCTAAAGTTGGCTCACAGCCACATATTAGGGGGACACTTGGGAGTCGAAAAAACTAGAGAGAGAGTCCTTAGAAGGTTTTACTGGCCTGGAGTGTTTGCTGCTATTACAAACTATTGCTCCTCATGTCCTGAGTGCCAGTACAGGGCTCCTTTCAAGACTTTTCGTAGTCCACTTGTACCCTTACCCATAATTGATGTGCCTTTTGAAAGGATCGCTATGGACTTAGTGGGGCCACTGGTAAAGTCCGCTAGGGGACACCAATATATATTAGTCATCTTGGACTATGCAACTCGCTACCCTGAGGCCATTCCCTTGCGTAATACCTCTGCAAAGTTAATAGCTAAGGAACTTATGTTGATGTTCAGTAGGGTGGGTATCCCTAAAGAAATACTGACAGACCAGGGGACCCCGTTCATGTCCAGAGTCACAAAAGAGTTGTGCAGGCTCTTGCAGGTTAAACATCTTAAGACCTCAGTATATCACCCACAGACTGATGGTTTAGTAGAGAGGTTCAACAAAACCCTTAAGAGTATGCTACGCAAGGTAATTGATGCAGATGGAAGAAATTGGGATTTTTTATTGCCATATCTACTGTTTTCCATTAGGGAAGTTCCACAGGCCTCCACGGGCTTCTCTCCTTTTGAATTATTATATGGAAGACATCCCAGGGGAATATTGGATATTGCTAAGGAGACCTGGGAACAGGAGACTACTCCTCACAGGAGTGTAATTGAGCATATAGCTCAAATGCAGGATAGAATGGCCACCATCATGCCTATTGTCAGGGAACACATGCTGGAAGCCCAGCAGGCTCAGAAAAACAGCTATAACCGTAATGCTAGAGTCAGAGTGTTCCAACCTGGAGACAGGGTATTGGTTCTGGTCCCTACTGTGGAGAATAAGTTCCTTGCGACTTGGCATGGACCCTATGAAATAATAGAGAAAGTGAGTGATGTCAATTATAAAGTCAGACAACCAGGAAGAAGAAAGCCTGAACAGTTGTATCATATAAATCTGTTAAAGCCATGGAAGGACAGGGAGGTCCTGGTTGCTTTAAAACCTTCAGAACCTCCTATAGTAGAGCCAGAGGTGAACGTATCTGAGACTCTGTCTGTACATCAAAAGCAAGAGGTCAGAGATTTCATCAGAAGAAATAGGGATGTTTTCTCGGTAGTTCCAGGAAAGACTAAAGTGATTAAACATGACATAATAACCGAACCAGGGAAAAGAGTTAACCTCAAACCCTATAGAATTCCTGAGGCCCGGAGGGAGGTTATAAACTTAGAGGTTGAGAGCATGTTAAAACTTGGAGTCATTGAAGAATCCCAGAGTAACTGGAGTAGTCCTATTGTATTGGTGCCAAAACCTGATGGCACATGGAGGTTCTGCAATGACTACCGCAAGTTAAACGCCATCTCAAAATTTGATGCTTACCCAATGCCAAGAGTTGATGAGTTAATAGAAAGACTGGGCAAAGCTCGTTATCTAACAACCTTGGATTTAACAAAGGGTTACTGGCAGGTCCCTCTCACTGAAAGAGCCAAAGAAAAGACAGCCTTTTCAACACCCAGTGGCCTGTTTCAGTACACTGTATTGCCATTTGGGTTACATGGGGCACCTGCCACATTCCAACGAATGATGGACAGAATTCTTAAACCTCATGTTCGTTATGCTGCAGCATACTTGGATGATGTCGTCATCCACAGTGCAGACTGGGAATCCCACCTCCCTAAAGTTCAAGCGGTACTTGATGCTATCCGCTCAGCAGGCTTAACTGCCAATCCTTCCAAGTGTACGATTGGTTTAGAGGAAGCTAAGTACTTAGGTTATTCTATTGGGAGGGGTTTGGTTAAACCACAGGAAGCCAAAGTAGAAGCCATACAAAAATGGCCACAGCCCCTTACAAAGAAACAAGTAAAGGCATTTTTGGGTTTAATTGGATATTATAGGCGGTTCATTCCAGATTTTGCTACCATTGCTGCACCCCTAACAGACCTTATTAAAGCAAAATCCCCAGTCATAGTTAAATGGTGCCCTGAGGCAGAAAAGGCTTTTAAGAGTCTGAAGGAAGCTATCTGTAGCCATCCTGTCTTGGTGACCCCAGATTTTTCCAGGGATTTTATAGTTCAGACAGATGCTTCTGATGTGGGCTTGGGGGCTGTTCTTTCACAGGAATACCAGGGTGAAGAACACCCTGTTTTCTTTTTGAGCAGAAAGTTAAACCCACATGAGAAGAACTACTCTATTGTTGAAAAAGAGTGTCTTGCTATTAAGTGGGCATTAGACTCTCTTAAATACTACCTACTAGGCAGAAAGTTCCGATTGATAACGGACCATGCTCCTCTGACGTGGATGTATCAGAACAGGGAAAGTAACTCCAGAGTAACCAGATGGTTTTTGAGTTTGCAATCTTTTAATTTCACTGTGGAACACAGGGCTGGTCTGCAACAAGGTAATGCTGATGGGCTTTCGAGGGTACACTCCCTGATTTCCATGGTCGCTCAAACCCATGGGTATGAGCTGGGGGGGAGGATATGTGAGCGTAAAGGTGGAATAGTGGTTGATGGGAGATACATCAGACCTGATTTGCTAAACAGCAACCAGAGGATTTTTCAGTTAAATGCCCCAGGGAGAGATGTTAAAGTTTGCAATATGCATAGCTGATGCTCTGCAAAACATGGTATGGGTCCCTGGGGCGGAGTATTTGGAGAGCAGGGTGGGCCAATGCTCCAACAGCACTAGTTGCTGTATAACAGACCACAGCTTGGATCTGATTTTAAGAGTTAACTAATTGGCACTCACCTGTAGCTACTCAATTAGTAGACAGGCCTTTAAAAGAAGAGAGCAGCCTGCTGCAGAGTGAGGGAGAAAAAGACAGCTAGGAGAGATTGTGTTTATTGCAAAGACATTGCTTTTGTTTGGAAAATTGGTAAGTGGGAAAGCCACCCAATTGCAGATAGCAATTACTGTCTAGTAAGAGCTCAAGTAAGAGCAAGGGATTTTGTTTGTTTTTGTTATTATTTAAAGTACCTGCTTTCTTACTGAATAAAAAGGAAAACTGAGCTGAAGGTGTCCTGGACTTTGTATACCCTAGAAGGCTGTGGTTACTGCAAGATCGGTGACAATCCTACCTGTAAAAGAGGTGGTTTGTTACAATATATATATTGACTTGAAGGAATGGCATACATTTTTTTCCAGGGCTGCTTTGGATTCCCAGTTTGGCTCTGCCAGCGAGTGCACTTTACCGCTGAATCATCTGTGTGAGCTGCCGCACACTTTAGCCCTGTTACACGCGTCTGGGAGCTGCAGTTGACAGGTACTAGTAGTCTAGAGATTAGGACATGGAGTATATGCACAGCTATCTGTATAATACTATAGTGCTGTTCTCTGTATAATACAGATCTGTGTGTGTATAATATCCCGGGATAGTCAGTGCTTTCTGTATAGTGCTGCTCTTTGTATAATACAGGTCTGTGTCTGTATAATATCCTGGAACAGTCAGTGTTCCCTGTATAGTGCTGCTCTCTGTCTTAGGATATTATACACAAACAGACCTGTATTATACAGAGAGCAGCACTATACAAGGAGCACTGACTCTCCCAGGATATTATACACACAGCCATGTATTATACAGAGAGCAGCACTGTACAGGGATCTCTGACTGTCCCAATTTATTATACACACAACCCTGTATTATACAGAGGAGCACTGACTGTCCAGGGATATTATACACAGACAGTAATTGATAGCTGTGCTGCAAAATGTCCTTGGAATTTTTTTTCTAATGTTGGCAACTATGGCACTGTATCAAGGGAAATGTGTTTGTTTTTTAATAATCCCTGGTGGAAAATAATGAATCCTCCACCAGGGATTATTTATAAAAAAAAAAAAAAAACACATTGTGTCGGGGGCGGGGCTTAATATGTGGCAGGGGCGGGGTCAAACTGCGGCAAGGGCGGGGTTAAATATGCCCCCCTACTTTTGTCCCTGGCCCACCATGAGCCCCCCCCTAAAAATGAATCCTAGAGACGCCACTGCTTGCATGGGGATTCTCATAAAAGGCCAGCTGTGGCTCCTTTAAAACCAGTTATACCCCCAGAGCTGAGTGTCGTCCAATTGCTGAGGTGGTAGATTCTTGGAGTATTTTCCTTTATTTGGCTTCCTTGGAATATTCTACGTGTTCCTGAGTACATCTTGGAGTACCAGCGGAGCAGAGTTCCTGCTAGGACTAGCTCTCCGATACACAAGCTTTGTCTAATTATTGATGTTTGCTTGAATTAATAATATCGCATATTAACCCCTTAATGATGGAGGCAATTGTCCAAGTTCTGAACCAAAACAAAACCTAAGATTTGAACTATATGTCGCTTACCACGTTTTTCATATTGCATACACGCTTATTATGTCTATTATGTCTTTTTTCTGGAGAAATAGTGCTTTCATTTCACATCAAAAAGATATATGTATAAATATAAAAAACAAAGATGAAGGCTGCACTCTTTGGTCTTCTTAATAAAAATTGCAAACTGTTTTATTCAATATGCATTAAAAAGAATTGATCGACGTTTCAGCCCCAATCTGGGCTTTCTTCAGGATCAGAAATAACAAACAAAAAAAATACATGACAAATAATTCAGCTTATATATCAAAAATAAAATAGTAAGACTCCCCCCAGCTGATGTGCCCCCCCCCCCCCGGCGTCCTATCAATGGCTATGCGCATGCGCAATACGGACCAATCAGGGTTCGCTCGCGCGGAGCATGTGACCACAGTCTCCATTCACATAAAGTACATCTACGTGGGAGGCAGCAAGCATAGGGCTGATGTCACGCCCATTGATGGTACAAATGCCGTCCTCCTATCGCTGCGCGTCCTGGGCGCATGCGCAAACAATGGAAAAGATATCTTAGAAACAAATAGAAACTGTGTTCTCGCCAAAGTAATATACGAATTTCAGGTGGTCTGCACTTTCCTAGTGATGACACTGAGCCGACGCGCATATCTACCGGCATCCCAGCAACCTCTTTGCATGTGTGCTGTATAGGCCTATCAGGGTTTGGTCACGTGGCACGTATGTCCACAGTCTCCATTCACAAAAAATACAACTACGCAGGTGGCGGCATACACAGGGCAAATAAAACACCTATGAAAGATACAGCTGCCGTCCTCCTATCGCTGCGCATCCAAAGCGCATGCGCACAGAGTAAACGGATTACCTTAGTGACAAATAAATAATATGCTCGTGCCGGTGCAGTAGAAGGGTACCGGGTAGTCCGCACATCCTCAGTGGTGCACTATAAAGAAACAATGTGATAAAATACAATTAAAAAGTCAATAGTACATATCAGGTTCATAGATAACTAACTATGACAACTGAGTGTATCTACTTAATATTTAATGCTTAATAGCTATTACTGAACAACAAGAAATTTATCACTTTCAAAGTAGTATTTCAATAATTGAAGTATTAAATGATTAAAGTATTAAAGTGCTATAGCTCCATAGGCAATAAATAAAGTGGAAAGGTGCAGTGACTAGAAGTATATTCTAGAAAGTGCAATAGTGAATATAATAAATATATTATCATAGTGATTGGCAAAATATTGTCAAAAAAGGTCCTATTAACCAATTTTACAGGAAAGGTATACATACAGGGAGTGCAGAATTATTAGGCAAGTTGTATTTTTGAGGATTAATTTTATTATTGAACAACAACCATGTTCTCAATGAACCCAAAAAACTCATTAATATCAAAGCTGAATATTTTTGGAAGTAGTTTTTAGTTTGTTTTTAGTTTAGCTATGTTAGGGGGATATCTGTGTGTGCAGGTGACTATTACTGTGCATAATTATTAGGCAACTTAACAAAAAACAAATATATACCCATGTCAATTATTTATTATTACCAGTGAAACCAATATAACATCTCAACATTCACAAATATACATTTCTGACATTCAAAAACAAAACAAAAACAAATCAGTGACCAATATAGCCACCTTTCTTTGCAAGGACACTCAAAAGCCTGCCATCCATGGATTCTGTCAGTGTTTTGATCTGTTCACCATCAACATTGCGTGCAGCAGCAACCACAGCCTCCCAGACACTGTTCAGAGAGGTGTACTGTTTTCCCTCCTTGTAAATCTCACATTTGATGATGGACCACAGGTTCTCAATGGGGTTCAGATCAGGTGAACAAGGAGGCCATGTCATTAGATTTTCTTCTTTTATACCCTTTCTTGCCAGCCACGCTGTGGAGTACTTGGACGCGTGTGATGGAGCATTGTCCTGCATGAAAATCATGTTTTTCTTGAAGGATGCAGACTTCTTCCTGTACCACTGCTTGAAGAAGGTGTCTTCCAGGAACTGGCAGTAGGACTGGGAGTTGAGCTTGACTCCATCCTCAACCCGAAAAGGCCCCACAAGCTCATCTTTGATGATACCAGCCCAAACCAGTACTCCACCTCCACCTTGCTGGCGTCTGAGTCGGACTGGAGCTCTCTGCCCTTTACCAATCCAGCCACGGGCCCATCCATCTGGCCCATCAAGACTCACTCTCATTTCATCAGTCCATAAAACCTTAGAAAAATCAGTCTTGAGATATTTCTTGGCCCAGTCTTGACGTTTCAGCTTGTGTGTCTTGTTCAGTGGTGGTCGTCTTTCAGCCTTTCTTACCTTGGCCATGTCTCTGAGTATTGCACACCTTGTGCTTTTGGGCACTCCAGTGATGTTGCAGCTCTGAAATATGGCCAAACTGGTGGCAAGTGGCATCGTGGCAGCTGCACGCTTGACTTTTCTCAGTTCATGGGCAGTTATTTTGCGCCTTGGTTTTTCCACACGCTTCTTGCGACCCTGTTGACTATTTTGAATGAAACGCTTGATTGTTCGATGATCACGCTTCAGAAGCTTTGCAATTTTAAGAGTGCTGCATCCCTCTGCAAGATATCTCACTATTTTTGACTTTTCTGAGCCTGTCAAGTCCTTCTTTTGACCCATTTTGCCAAAGGAAAGGAAGTTGCCTAATAATTATGCACACCTGATATAGGGTGTTGATGTCATTAGACCACACCCCTTCTCATTACAGAGATGCACATCACCTAATATGCTTAATTGGTAGTAGGCTTTCAAGCCTATACAGCTTGGAGTAAGACAACATGCATAAAGAGGATGATGTGGTCAAAATACTCATTTGCCTAATAATTCTGCACTCCCTGTATAGCAGGGCCTTGATAATTCTTAGTCTGTGTGAGTACAGTGCGCATGGCCTCAACGCCATCTTCATGAGGGATGATGGTGTATAAACTTGCCACATCCATAGGTATCATTAAGAGATCCTGTCCTTGGGTGCATAGCGTGTTCAATTTAACTAACAATGTCTGTGTATCTTTAATGCATGTGTGTAGTTCCTCAACTGGTCCTTTGAAGATGGAGTCTAACTATTTTGTAATTGGTTCTAAGATGCAGTCTACTGCAGATACAATCGGATGTCCTGGTGGTTGCTGTACATTTTTATGTATCTTAGGAATACTGTAGATGATCGGCGTTCGTGGATGGGGTTTGTGTATATAATGGTATAGTTGAACATCAATATAGCCTGCTGTGAGTGCCATAGATAGAGTATCAGCAATTTTGGACTGAATATGATCTGTAGGGTCGCCTGTTAATAATTGATACGTGTTTGTATCTGAAAGCTGTGCCTGCAATTCCTCAGCATAAAATTGGCAATTCATAATCACAATTCCACCACCTTTGTCTGCCAATCTGATGACTATGGTAGGGTCATCAGCCAGCTGTTTGATAAGCTTTCTTTGCTGTTTAGTGATATTTTGTGATTTATTCTTCTGTGAAAAATTTTTTGGAGCAATCTTGTTGGAAGTTGCTAGATAGGTCTTAATGGACGCTTTATTTGATTGAGGGTCAAATGTGGATTTACGTTTGAATTGATCAATAATTTTAGTATCAGAAGATGTCTTATTAGAAGTCAAGTGGTCAAAGTACTCTTTTAATCGCATACTGCGTCCAAACTTGAATAATTCGACATTCCATGTAAACTAATTAGGATGGGATCTTGGCACAAAGGATAAGCCACGGCTTAAGATTTCAATTTCATCTGGAGACAGCTGCCTATGTGAAAGGTTGAAGATGGGGACTACTTCTTGTGGGGTGGTTTGCCCCGGGGTCCAGTTTTTGCCCTTGCGCCCACATCTTGTTCTACTCCTCCTAGATCCACTCCTCGACTTCTGGTAACTGTGCCTGTGTTCTCTAAAAAAAGGTGGAGTTTCATGCTGTGTATCATTTTCAGAAGCCGATTCACCTGAAGTGACATCAATAGTGGTGATTTTTGGACGTTGGATTCTTTTCCGAGGTCTCCGGGGTCTGCGCTGAATATCTCCTGAGAGCCACTTGTATACTCTGTGTTGTAGGTAGTCCAATTGCACTCTCTCAAATTTTTCTCGCTTAAACCTAATAAATTCATTCTTGTATTTTAATAATTCATCTTTTAACTTCAGTTTGAGTTGGACTCCCTCAGGTGATTTAAGCAACACTGCATGCTCAGCTTCCATATTTAAAATGCTTTGGTTTATATCGATCATATCTGCCTAAAGAGGCTTTATTTAATACATGTGTCCAATCCTTGCAAACTTTAGGTTTAGCACGCCCAATGGTGGGGATGTTCAAAATCCTAAATCCCCTTGGAATCCTTTTAGCTTTATAGTAATCTGACAGGAATAATCCGTGCAGATCCAAATCAATATATTTTTTATGTAACCGAAGCAATTTAAAGTAAACATCTTTGCCAGTCCATTGTTGAGGTAAATGCAAAATAGACTGTTCCCACAAAATTTGTTGGGCTTCTTCATCTGTAAATTGTAGGGTATCAGCTTGTTCTGAATACCCTCCAGCTTGTGAGAAAAAATTGTCCATTAAAAACAAACTGAATCCACCTATGAAATATAGCTCAAACTGCTTAAGGGGCACTTCCACTAAACAGTTAATTGTACTTGGTGCACAGGAGGAAGACTTGCCACAATCTCCCAAAATACAGAATTAGAAAGGATTCCTTGCACTCACGTAATCCATATAAAAGCCGGGTGCATAAGCCAACTGGCAAATGTAGATATAAAAAACAAACAAAGATGAAGGCTGCACTCTTTGGTCTTCTAAATAAAAATTGCAAACTGTTTTATTCAATATGCATTAAAAAGAATTGATCGACGTTTCAGCCCCAATCTGGGCTTTCTTCAGGATCAGAAATAACAAAAAAAAAATAAAAATACATGACAAATAATTCAGCTTATATATCATAAATAAAATAGTAAGACTCACCACAGCTGATGTGCACCCCGCGTCCTATCAATCGCTATGCACATGCGCAATACGGACCAATCAGGGTTTGCTCGCGCGGAGCATGTGACCACAGTCTCCATTCACATAAAGTACATCTACGTGGGTGGCAGCAAGCATAGGGCTGATGTCACGCCCATTGATGGTACAAATGCCGTCCTCCTATCGCTGTGCGCCCTGGGCGCATGCGCAAACAGTTGATATAATAAGATGTCCACGCATAATGGCCTTGGAAGCACACCAATTATTAATTGGCGAAGTGTCCTGTAGATTGTTGTCTAAGAAGAAAAATTCTATTTTCTGTTTCAAATATTCATAATTGCTTTCATATTTCAAAAGAAGAACACCACTATGGGGAGGGGGGAAGAACACTATGGGGAAGGGAAAGAACACTAAGGGGGAGAGAGAGAGAAACATTTAGGGAGAGCACTAAGGTACAGGGAAGGGAAGGGGAAATGAACACTGGGGTAGGGGGGGCACTAAAAGATATGGGAGAGGAACATTAAGGGGAATGGGTTGGGGGTGGGTGGAGTTCCAGTTCCTGTTCCTAGTCAGCTGCAGTCCGAACTCGCTTCCTAGTCAGCTGCAGTCCGAACTCGCTATGCTCCTTCCAAGACCATTGGCGTCCTTCGAGTCAGTGTGGATTCAGCCTTGCTCGTCATCGTTTCATCCCCGCCGCGGTATCTGTCCGCCCCTACCTCAGAACGCGGGTATGGCGTGCAGACGTGCTACGTCATCGCGCATCCCCAAAATCCATGTGATTTTAGATGTTCCCGCAATTTTTCACTGCGATGAGATCTTCCTTTACAATACAGCCCTTCAGTAACCAATAGTCTCTTATGCAGAGACTCCTCAAAGCTGTTTGCTCATTCCCTCTGGTGCTGTAAAAAATAAAAATATAGTTTAAACTCACCAAATCGTAACCGGAAAGCATATTACAATCTACATATTTTATATTATTAGAAACTACAATTTCCATGTTGAGGATTGGAGGAGTAGAAAGAATGATAGAGCGCTTTTAATTTTGACTTAAAGCATCTCTGTGACACCCACAAATTAAGACAAAATAGGGACAACTTTATCCGAAGTATCTTTCCTACTCTTGACACAAGGCAGAGCTACCTGAGATACCCTTATGCATGCCTGTGAGCAGAGCACTTCCGTTGGCTCCTGGCAGATGAAGCCCCAGGAGTTGAAGAGGCCCTTGAGAAAGAAGATGCATACAAAGGACATTTTAAGTCAAGTAAAAATTACCTTCACCTGTTCTCCATGGCCACTGGAATACAAGTGGAACAGTGACCATCTGGGGTCTTTGCATAATATGTAAAATACATAAATAAATATCATCAAAAGATGAAGTACTTTAGGGGTCCATAGTAATTTCAGAACTGGGTATAATGCAACAGAGGGTTCTGTTTTATGAACCTGGTGAATTCCTGCATAGCCGCCAATCATAGATGATACACAACGGTCCTCTTATTAAACAGAACAACGGTTTCCACCCCGAACTGGGCTACCATATCTAAAATACAGAAAATGAACTTAGTGTATAATGTTTTAAACTGCCTCCTTTATCAAACTCTGAATTTTAATCTGGAATGGAGAAAACAGTCTAACGCAGGCATGTCCAAAGTCCAGCCCGCGGGCCATTTGCGGCCAGCGTTTCCGGTTCAATACGGCCCCACAGGTAGTTTGGCTAATCTACCTGTTGTGGCCCCCAGTGAACCCCCGCGCCGGGATTCAGTGGGGGGCCAAGATATCACAAAAAACGCAGATGGGAGTGCAGTGACCTCAGTCTGCATTCTCACAATCTCTTGGACGTCATGGGATTCGCGGGATTTGGTTCCTTCTCCCTGCAGAGAATCGACAGAATAAAATGGGGCAGAATACAGAGGGGAAGACTAAAGAAAGGCAGAATACAGACTGCGTACAGAGGTGCAGACTGGCAGGATACAGAGGGGCAGAATAAAGATTGGCAGACTAAAGAAAGAAGGGACAGAGTAAAGAGAGAAGGGACAGACTAAAGAGAGAAGGGACAGACTAAAGAGAGAAGGGACAGAGTAAAGAGAGAAGGGACAGAGTAAAGAGAGAAGGGACAGAGTAAAGAGACAAAATAAAGAGATCTCAGACAGAAGAGATGAAATGAAAAGTATGCCGTTTGCAATAAACTTTGCAAAAAATTGTTCATTTGCCTTACATTTTTTATGGTTCAAAGAATGTCAGGCAAAATGGTTGGCCCTCACGCATGTTCACTTAATCAAATTTGGCCCTCTTTGAAAAAAGTTTGGACACCCCTGGTCTAACGTATAATAATTTAGACGTGATCAAACTGGGGAACTATATCTACAACACTTTATCCCCCCACCCCCCGATTAAAGTGACATATGGATCCTGATAAGTATAAGCAGTGTTTAGGTGATACAGTCACAATATAAGCAGTATTCAGGTGATACGGTCCCAGTCAGTGGCATACACACAATCCACGGGGACCCGGTGCCAAACTGAACCATGGGCCCCCCCCCTTCCAACAGACACACACATACATACAGACACACATACATACACACACACACACAAGACACATATACATACAAACAGACACATACACACATACAAATAGACAGACACACACACAAATATACAAAATATTTAAGTCACCCTCCTGTTTCCTACCTTTTAAGAGCAGGAGGGTGACTTTCCCTGGAGTCCAGTAGTGGCTCAGTTTGATGGGAGTCAGAGTTCCTACTTTGACTCCCTCTTCTCCTTTCTTCCGCGCGGCTCTCTGATAGCTGGGAGGAGTGACCGGGGCAGTAACTTCCTCCCAGCATGTGATGTCATCACAGGGGACTCGGTCACGCTGTTAAAGCACCCAGTGCTAACCGGGCCCCCTGAAAATCCATACCCATCGGGTGGCCCTAACAGCATGGGCCACCCGACGGATCCCTTTAAAACACTGGGGCCACAAAACATGATGGCGGGCACTCTGTCGCAAGGGTTGCACAGCTGCGCCCCCTATATGTATGCCACTGGTCACAGTATAAGCACTGTTTAGGTGATACAGTCACAATGTAAGCAGTGTTTAGACAATACGATCACAGTGTAAGCAGTGTTTAGGCAATACAGTGGTGTTTAGGCGATAGATGCGGTCACAGTGTAAGCAGTGTTTAGGAGATGCAGTCACTATGTAAGCAGTGTTTAGGAGATGCAGTCACTGTGTAAGCAGTGTTTAGGAGATACAGTCACAGTATAAGCAGTGTGTAGGAGATACGGTCACAGTGTAAGCAGTGTTTAGGAGATACGGTCACAGTGTAAGCAGTGTTTAGGTGATACGGTCACAGCGTAAGCAGTGTTTAGGTGATACGGTCACAGCGTAAGCAGTGTTTAGGTGATACGATCACAGTATAAGCAGTGTTTAGGCAATACGATCACAGTATAAGCAGTGTTTAGGTGATACAGTAACTGTGTAAGCAGTGTTTATGTGATACGGTCACAGTGTAAGCAGTATTTAGGTGATACAGTCACAGTATAAGCAGTGTGTAGGAGATACGGTCACAGTGTAAGCAGTGTTTAGGTGATACGGTCACTGTGTAAGCAGTGTTTAGGCGATACGATCACAGAATAAGCAGTGTTAAGGTGATAAGGTCATAGTGTAAGCAGTATTTAGGCGATATGGTCACAGTATAAGCAGTGTTAAGGTGATACAGGTGCTTCATTCTCCACAGTCACAGTATTTTTGGTAACCACATAAGTATTGCAGTCCCTCACATTGGTTCAATTGGCACATGGATACACATGTGAGCAGTAACGCCACGTCAAGGCTTCAACCCTTGTTACGGACCATTCACACACCACTTTTCATTCATAGGCATTCGGTACTCCAGATGTTTTGGACTACACCTCCCATGATGCTTTGCCAGCATTATGGGAGATGTAATTCACAGCATCTAGAGTGCCTAAGATTACCTACCTCTGAACCAGACAGTGGTCACAGTAAACAATGTTGAAGTCGAGTGCTAACTGGAGAAGCTTATCACGTACCAGATGCCACTCTGAATTCAATACTCTACCCTGAATATGAGCATGAAACATAGGCCTCTTCATCCGCCTTGTGTCCCATAGGAGAACATGCTTGTCAGAGTTGTCACACACAAAAAAAAAAAAAAATGGTTAGAGTAAATGGCATAAAAGACACAGTGCATGCAGACTTGCGTGTCACATATATACAGCAGTCAAACACAAAGATTGTGGGAGCCACACAGTAAGACCGGAGGGCGTACTATTACGCCCTATTCTAAGCGGCTCTAAACGCCGCCGGGCGTAATAGTACGCCCTCCGGTCTTTCGGTACTTACCCGGTCGCCGGCGATCCCACGCCGGCGATCGCGGTTCGGGGGACTCCCAGGGAGCCCCCCGCGGCACCTCCGTCCTCCTGGAAGCCCCCCGGCCATGTGAGAGTGGGGACCCCATAATCACATGGCCGGGGGTAGCTGGCTGCAGCATTGCCAGCAGGGGGGCTGCCTCTAATGACAGGTGGTCCCCCTGCTGGCTGAAAATAAAAATGAATAAAATAAATACTGTAAAAAAGAAAATAATATATACTTAGATCATATATATATTATATATATATGATCTAAGTATATATATACACATATACATACACACACGTACACCGTCTAGGTGTATTTTACTATTAATATATATATAATTATATATATATATTATCAAATTACACGTAGACTGATACTGATTAAATATATATATATATAATTATTGTTATATATATATATTTATATATAATATAAAAAAAGTAAATACGTTAAAAAATAAAATTAAAAAAATAATTAAAAAATAATAATTAAAAAATATATAGATGTGTGTTATTTCGTTCTAACTGTATTGTGAAATTAATATATATATATCAAAATACACGTAGAACGAAATAATATATATATCTATATACATAAATATATCACTATATATACCTATATATATAAATAAAAATATTTTTTAAAAATTATATAGATATATACATACGTATATATATATACATATATTAATTCTACATATATATTTATGTAATATTTTTACATAATTAGTTATCTTAATTAATTACAATTAGCAGGACCTGCCTGACAACCCATGCCGAAAGTAAAGGGAATTTAATTTGCTAGCACTATATTTAACCCTATAACTTTCCGAGACACCATAAAACCTGTACATGGGGGTACTGTTCTACTCGGGAGACTTCGCTGAACACAAATATTAGTGTTTCAAAACAGTAAAATGTATTACAACGATGATATCGCCAGTAAAAGTGAAGTTTTTTGCATTTTTCACACACAAACAGCATTACACGGACAATATTATTGCTGTGATACTTTTTACTGTTTTGAAACACAAATATTTGTGTTCAGCGAAGTCTCCCGAGTACAACAGTACCCCTCATGTACAGGTTTTATGGTGTTTTCAAAAGTTACAGCGTCAAATATAAGGCTTGCGTTTCATTTTTTTCACATTAAAATTCGCCAGATTGGTTACGTTGCCTTTGAGACCCTATGGTAGCCCAAGAATGAAAATTACCCCTATGATGGCATACCTTTTGCAATAGTAGACAACCTAAGGTATTGCAAACAGGGTATGTCCAGTCTTTTTTAGTAGCCACTTAGTCACAAACACTGGCCAAAATTGGCGTTTTTTGCATTTTTCACACACAAAGAAATACTAACGCTAACTTTGGCCAGTGTTTGTGACCAAATGGCTACTAAAAAAGACTGGACATACCCCATTTGCAATACCTTGGGTTGTCTACTATTGCAAATGGTATGCCATTATGGGTGTAAATTTCATTCCCGGGCTACTATACAGTCTCAAAGGCAACGTAACCAATCTGGCGAATTTCAATTTCAAATGTAACGTGCTATATTTGACCCTGTAACTTCCCAAAACGCCATAAAACCTGTAAATAGGGGGTACTGTCTTACACGTGAGACTTTACTGAATACAAATGTGTATTTTATTGCAGTAAAAGCAAACAGTATTATGACACTGACCGTTAAAATGTCATGTAGAACTAAAAAAATCTAAATAAATCGTATTTTCTCCCATTTTTTTCATATTAAATTATGTTTCATAGCTAAATATTTGATATTAAATGAAAGCCCTGTTTCCCCTGAATAAAATGATATATAATAAGGGTGGGTGCATTTACTATGAAAGAGGTGTATTACGGTTGGACAGACATGTAGCGCAAATGCCAGGTTTTGTTTACATTTTGTTTTGTTCACAACGTGTACATTTGGCTCCGTCCTTAAGAGGTTAAATAGAAGAATTGAGAGTACAATACATACATAATGCAAATAAAGACAGAGATTACATAATTCAGTGACAGATGGATTGGGTTGCAGATGTGGGGAAGTCCCTCCGGTTGGGGTGCAGTCTCTCATCGATCCCTCAATGAAGTGGTCTGGGTGCCAGGTCCCCCTAGTTTTAACCTTGCAGCTGAAAACATAGCAGTTTCTCACATTAAGGGTTAATCCAGCCTCTAGTGGCTGTCTCACTGACAGTCACTAGAGGCGCTTCCGCGATTTATACTGAGTAAATCACAAATATTTGACGCTGGACGTCCTGACAGACCTCCAGCGTAAAAAAAAAGATCCCCGTAGGAGAGCACTGAGTAATGCTTTCCTGTGGGCGGGTTTAAATTCGTGCGCGCCTCTTTCCGCGCATGCACATTTGGCTCCACTCAGGAGTTGACGTCGATGGAGGAGGAGGAGAGGTCACCAGTGCTGAGGGAGCCCAGCGCTGGATTAAGGTAAACAAATTAATGGTTAACCATTTATTCTCTGTGGAACGGGGCCCTAGTCACCCAAATGGTGACTAGGACTCTATAGCATCAGGAATACATATTTGTATTCCTAACGCTATAGTGTTCCTTTAAATAAAGGATACATACACAATGCACATAAAGACGGAGATTACAGAATTCAGTGACAGGTGGATTGGGTTGCAGATGTGGGGCATTCCCTCTGGCTGGGGTAGACTCTCTCATCCATCCCTGGTGAGTGACTTGATGGCTAATTGTTCTAGCCCAGCTGGTCGGCTTCGCGCATGTGGATTAGGTGTCCGTTTTTCCCGCAGCTCTGCCTGTATTATTTCCCAATCCCATGGTTCTTCGCTTGCGCAGCGCTGCACGCCGCGTCCCCCAGCTGATCCACATTACTTCCGGTGCGGTCGCATCACCGGAAGTGACGAGAGTATAGAAATTTCACGGGGTAGAGACATTTCATGGAACACAATGCGGTGGGGTTTCGCGTAATCCCTGGGTCACTGAATTGTACCCCTGGGACTGTATCTCCTGGGGTGTACGCGTACAAAAGTTGGGAAACCCTGCCCACAGTAAAGATGGTCGCAGCGCTGCGTCACATGGTGAAAGCCACGCCCCCGCTGTCTGTTATTGGTTAAATCAAGGCATAGTCTGCGCTTGCGCGTATTGCTGTACTGCAATTTGAATTTTTTATAAGCAAGCTCGTAACGGCGGTTGTGGATCTGTCGGTGAGTAGGTGTAGCGGAGTTTGGTACTCATTCGGCATAGACCCTCTGTGTGCCAGCGTGGAGCACATCGAGCCCTGCCGGAATCACTATGTTCAGGCTGGTCACAGGGTATTGTGAGCTCTTGGAGATTATTATTATTTTATTAATAAAGCCAGTTAATATGCCCAGCAAAGCTCTGAGCAATGGAACAGACATGTCAATTTACAATGGAAAGCATGCTCTGCATTAAAGGGAACGGAGCAGGCTTACAACTGTTCAAAAACACTGCACACAAAAAATGCAGTCTTTGGGGACCATTTCATTGTGATTGATTTAAAGTTTGTAATGTTTTGAGTAAAAAAAAAAAAAGTAAACTTGTTGTTTCCTTGTATTTTAATGTACAGGCATGCCCATAGTTATTTAAACTTTAATATGCAGCTGTTTAGGTGAACACAGCCTTTGATCTGTACATTTAGTGATGTGGGTTGATTACATATTAATACAAGTAGTGACAAAATCCCTTTTAGTTGTTAAAGGAACACTATAGGGTCAGTAACACAAACCTGTATCCCTGACCCTATAGGGTTTAACCCACCATTTAGGTGACTTTCCCCTTAAAAGCAATTAAAACTCGCCTTATTTCCAGTGCCGTGCAGATCAGCTGCTGGCACTGGCCCCGCCCCCTTGGTGACATAATCAGAATTGCCCATTTTTAGCCAGTCCAATTATTTTCCATGGGGAAAGCATTGGATTGGCTGATATTGGCAAGGGTGCTGGGCCAAACATCGTTTTGGCCAATCAGCACCTCCCCTTAGAGATGCATTGAATCAATGCTTCTCTGAGGAAAATTCGGCGTCCCCATGCAGAGCGTGGAGGTGCTGAACGGCTGTGCAGCACTGAGCCAGGAAGTCCCTCCAGTGGCCACTTGGAGGTGTCCCTAGGGGCAATGTAAACACTGCCTTTTCTCTGAAAAAGCAGTGTTTGCATGAAAATGCCTGCATATAATGATTATACTCATTAAGCTGTAGTTGTTCTGGTGACTATAGTGTTAAGTATCATTATCGGTGTTGCAGCCTTTGCTATTTTATTCCAACAAGGTCCCGTCCTGGTGAAATGTCCACTTACAGGTGGTGTCTTGGGGAAGAGAGTTTGTGAACCTCTCACTCTTCTTTCCTCACTTAATTTGTCAGGAGCCTCCGTAAGTAGGAGAGGGCATCGAAACCACATCCAAAATCAATGAGAAGGATATTTTAGTATAGGGGTATACCTCTTTTTGTTTGGTAACAAATATTGAATACTCTGCACATTGTCACTTTGACTATGTTATAGAGTTGTTGCATATCTTCCTATTTAAAAAAATATATATATATTTATATATGTAATTTTCAATTTGCAGGTTATGTATTGACCTCATTTTGTAGAAAATGGATCTCCCGTCTAGTTCATCTCTTCCCTCCCTACAAAGCCTTAAGGACCGCATGCGAGAGAAGATAAATGGTTCTTTGAAAAATGCTAAACTGAACACTACACTTGCTGCAAAAATTAAAACAAAGGCATTGAGTAAGTTGTGCTTTGTTATATCCCTTACTATTGACTGTATTACACATTTGGGTCTGGATTCTCTTACAAAAGAGTATTATTATTTTTTTTTTTTTATTTTTTTTTTGTGTGGCTCTGTCACCTTTTGAGTATATCATAAAAGTATAATCTTTATGAAATACTCATAGTGCTTGCGTTGGAATTTCATTGAAATTCCAGCGCAATTCTATGATCTCATCAGAAAAAGTAGTGACAACTTTGCTGCCAACATTTTGTCAAATCCAGGCAGGTATTGCAGGTGTTGGCTGTGGAAATCAAACAACATCTTCATCTGAGATGGTATCTGTAGAGGTACCCATGGTCTCCTGGGAGATTACAGCACTGACATGGCTCCTGGAAGATGAAGCGCAAAACATTAAAAAATGTACAGAGGAACAAGATGGTGGGTCCACGAGGTCTTCCACTGCACCTTAAGCATTACCTTCTGATGGGGAGGGGGGATTGCAAAATATGAAGTGTCGGGTCTATTTAGGGTGGGGTGAGTGGAACTGCTCTGCATTCTTATAGCCATACTGTGGATGCTAATAAACAGTGTACCAATTAAGCTTGGTTCTTTTAGTCCATATTGTTCCCTTGGTGCACCTTTTTCACAGAATTGACACTTGTGAGTTCTGAGATGCCTACGTGGCAGTTCTGATGGAATGTCTTGGAGCTGCAGAGATTTTTATAAAAATGTACAAATCACTGCATTTATAAGGCACTCTCAAAGCTAAGGATAGGATCATGGTGATCTCTGCACCATCCGTTTTCAATGACTCAAGGCTGTGATGGTGCTTAGTGTGACCCTTTAACTATGGTATATGAATTCCAGTTCAACAATTGGCATATTCATTTATAATAGACTCTAGCCCTAACCAGAGTAACAAAATATGGGTTAAGACTGAGAATGTTTGTTTGGTTTATTATAGGTTTCAAAATTATATTTTATTTGCCAATATCTAAATACTTATTTGGAAACTAATTAAATGGACCAATGTTGTATTGCTGAAATATGCGGTAGATATTTAATTTAATGATTTTCTTTTAATCTTCTCTGCAGTCTTACAAATCTAAGGTAACAACAGTTTACACTTCAATTGATCTATGAAAATAATGCTGCAGCCCAGATGTACATACAAATGCCGATCCCAATCTGAGAATTTAAAGCACACAAAGAGACACTATAGTTACCAGAACTACAGCTTAATGTAGTTGTTCTATTGAGTATAATCATTACCTGGAGGCATTGTTTACATTGCCACCTAGGGATACCTCCAAGTGGCCACTCCTTAGATGGCCACTGGAGGTGCTTCCTGGGGCAGTGCTGCACAGTAGGCACCACTGCCGTTCAGCGTCTTCACGCTGTGCATGGTGACGCAGAATTTTTCTTATAGAGAGGAGGTGCTGATTGGTTTAAACAGCGTTGGGCCCACCTTCTTGCTGATTTCAGCCAGTCTAACACTTTTCCTATGGGAAAGCATTGGATTGGCTAAAAATCTGCAGCTCTGATTACATCAAGGAGGCGGACCCGCCCAGCGCTGGAAATAAGGGGAGTTTTAACCTTTTGGTGAGGCAAGACACCTAAATGGTGGATTAAACACTATAGGGTCAGGAACACATGTTTGTGTTCCTGTCTCTGTAGTGTTCCTTCAACTGTAGGATAGTGATAAAATATCTTTCAGTTTTCCAATGTAAAGGGCACTGTCACAGATGTGCCTTTTGAGGCACTTTAATGCGGAAATGTTCATTGTCTGGGTTATTTTTCTTTTTTCATCCTCTCCAGTGACTTTGCTTTCTTTAATTGGACGCAAAACAAATGTTACATTTTATCATAATCCTACTGAGTAGCTTTTTCTTGTATTTTTACATTTTTTTATTTTTTTTATTTATTTTTTTTAATTGACTTTATTTTTGAAAGTATACGTTGGAAGTTGTTTCCAAAGACATGTTGCAAACCTTTAAGGACTTCAGCGGTTTTGTTGATATTTCAGAGAAACACTTTAGAACAGTGGTTCCCAAATCAGTCCTAAAGGCACCCCTACTGGTCCAAGAATTAGGCATTACACAGTTGTGTCTAATCCCTAAATCCTGGACTGATGATAGTGCTTTGAGAACTAGTTTGGGAACCACTACCCTAAACTTAAACTCTGGAAGTGTTACATCAACTTATATTCTTTTCTTTACATGTAGATAACTCCTCTATGCTAAAGATTTCTCTAAAGCACAATAACAAAGCTTTGGCATGTGCTCTAACGGTTGAGCGAGAGAAGGCGAGGAGGCTGGAGAATGACAAAATGTTTCTGCAGAAAGAAGTGAAGATGCTGCATTTTCAAAATGCCCTCCTACGCCAAAACCTAAATATTGTGGTATGTTGGAGAACATTATTGTGCATATAATGGTATATTATTGGGGCTGTGGAACTGTAGATCTAGTTGAGACAGATTGATTGCAAAACAGGCATACAAGCCATTTACTTTATTAGAATGTTCTTCTATTTTTAATTTTTTGTTAAGCTCTACTGCAAATTTAGAGCAGAAAGCACTTGGCATGTGTGGGAATTTGACAGATTTTACCTGTAGTTTTCTTACTTGTTAGATTAAAAGATGCCATCGGGAGCAAATTGCATAAATGAAGCACTTGAGTTATGCTCAAAAGTTGGTACCGTGTCTGTATTCAGTCTGATTTAGACAGATCCACAAATAGGGGGAAAAAATAAATATCCAGGCATACCTGAGGTTTCTTCTAAAAGGCAGTCTTTATTTAAAACAAGGAAGTATACAACATTTTGGCTCCTCTCTGAGCCTCAAGACTTTTAGAAGAAACCTCAGGTGTGCCTGGATTTTTTTTTTTATTATTATTATTATTTTTTCATTTGATGTCTTTAGGATTGGCACTCCTTTCTGGAGCACCCTGCAGGAAGTATTCACCCCTCCCTATTATTATTAATATTAATATTATTATTATTATTATTTATTTTTTTATTATTTTGTTTTATCATTTGTGTGTATGCTTTTTTACTCTTATTTCGCAAACAACTGTACTTGGATCCACAGTCAATCTAAATTTTGTGTGAAGTTCAAACTGGCTAAATTGGAAGCATAGCTGACTTAGTGACACTATAGGCACCCAGACCACTTAATCTCATTGAAGTGATCTGGGTGCAGTGTCCCTATTGCACTTAGTCCTTCAATGTAAAACATTATTGTTTTAGAGAAACTGCAATGCTTACATTGCAGCACTAAGACAACCTCTAGTGAGTGTCTACCAGAGAGCCAATAGAGTTTCTTCCTGCTTGCTAATCGACTTTTGGTCCTCTAACTGACCGGAGGACATCCAGCATCCGTTAAAGGACCACTATAGGCACCCAGACCACTTCAGCTTAATGAAGTGGTCTGGGTGCCAGGTCCAGCTAGGGTTAACCCTTTTTTTCTATAAACATAGCAGTTTTGGAGAATATTTTATAGTTTATTATATATAGTTTATATTAGGGTTAATCCAGCCTCTAGTGGCTGTCTCTTGACAGCCGCTAGAGGCGCTTGCGTGCTTCTCACAGTGATTTTCACAGTTAGAAGACGCCAGCGTCCATAGGAAAGCATTGTGAATGCTTTCCAATGAGACTGGCTGAATGCGCGCGCGGCTCTTGCCCCATGCCGCGCATGCGCATTCAGCCAAAGAGGAGGAGGAGAGCTCCCCTGCCCGGCGCTGGAGAAAGAGGTAAGTTTAACCCCTTCCTCCCCCTAGAGCCCGGCGGGTGGAGGCACCCTCAGTGCACTATAGTGCCAGGAAAACAAGTGTGTTTTCCTGGCACTATAATGGTCCTTTAAGTCACCATAGGTTCAATGCTTTCCTATGGGGATGGCCTAGTGTGCTTGCTACGCATGCACATTAGGTGTACACATCAGCACTGTGATCGGGTAAGTAAATAAATGGATTTTAACCCTGTATTGGGAGGAGGAGGAGGAAGAGGGACCTGTTGTGTTAGGAATACAGCTATTTTTAGTTGACATTTGAAAATCGCTTTGAATTCTCAATTTTGTGAATAACCCCGTAAGTCACTGCATACAGTATTCAGATAAGCATCAAGTAAAGAAAAGTGTGAGTAAAGATTAAATTTTTGAACTAGTTATACATTATCAAAAGAATTTTCCAAGAATGATAAATATGATAAGTAGATCGTGAGGATCAAAACAAATATATATAATAAAATAAAATGCTGTAGGATCAATTTGTTTCTTAAGCGTTATTAGCGATAGTAAACAGAGGAGGTCCTGTTCAGAAGTTTTCAGGACAAATCCCCAAATGATATGCAGAAAACCAAATAGGTTTTCAAATGCATACAAGTATGTGTCTCAATAGGTTAACTAAGCGGAAACAAACAGTCCATACAGTATTAAATAAAAATTGTTACATACATAGTGCTTGTTGGATACAGAACCGGCACTAGATGAGATTTAGTATAAGAAAAATTATTCTTCACTAAATAACCAACTCATACAGAGGGAGTAGAGATTAATACGAAAATATAACAAGAACATGTGCTCTATAAACCCCCCACTTGTATAGCTGGAGTAGGGCTAAATGTCGAAATATAAAGTATATAAAGTCTGATGCCCGTCTAAGCAGACAGCAATACTGGGGAAAGGGCTCTTTCGATATACACTGACCACAGTATTGCTGTCTGCTTAGACGGGCATCAGACTTTATATACTATATACGATCTACTTATCATATTTATCATTCTTGGAAAATTCTTTTGATATATCATATCTGTTTTAATTTGTTTCAATATTAAAAGTTACATTTTAACTTGAGGGCACTCACTTGTTCTCTTTCTCTACTTTCACTACTGCTGTAGTTTACATAGGGTTAATCTCTTCTAAGAGTGTATCCCTTCTGCTTCCTATTTTCTCCAATTTCTATAGTTTAGTTATACATTATTTTAAAGATTTCTGCTGTACTGTAAGCATTCTGAAAATTATCTACTGAAGGTTCTGTAAAATAGCCGGTGCTCTTATTTGTAATGTTATTTAACCCATATTAAACGTTCTTTACTTTTACAGAACAAAATCTTTAAGGATATTGACCTTTTCATGAGTATTAACTTGCCAACTGGTATTGAAATCAGCAGCGATATGGAGGTAGGTTTGTAATTGTATGTCTCTTCTGCTTTGGTTGTGTAAAGCGCTATAAACAACAGAAAAACGTATTTGTATTACCAAAAATATTGCGATTCTAAAGTGATATATAAATAATTTTTTAAAACTCTGCCACTAAGTGGTTATCCAATGAAAGGGAACACCAAAGTTCCCACCAACCTTTTATTCCTTAGAAAACATTTTTTGTGGTGGACGCAGAACTCCATTAAAGGGACACTGTAGTGCCAGGAAAACAAAATGTTTTCCTGGCACTGCAGGTACCCTCTCCCTCCCACCACCCATCCCATGTTGTTGAAAGGGTGAAAACCCCTTCGGTGACTTACCGGAGACCCCTGCCGATGTCCCTCGGCGGTGGTTTCGGGACCGCCAGCGCTCCTCCTCCGCCGACGTCATCCGGCAGGGGAGACCTAATACGCATGTGCGGCAATGTCGCGCGCGCATTAGACCTCTCCATAGGAAAGCATTGAAAATTCTTTTAGTGCTTTCCTATGGGGAATTGAGCAACGCTAGAGGTCCTCACACAGTGTGAGGACATCCAGTGACGCTCTAGCACAGAAAACCTGTGCTAGAAACCAGGAATTGCCCTCTAGTGACTGTCTAGTAGACGGTCACTAGAAGAGGAGTTAACCCTGCAATGTAATATTTCAGTTTATGAAAACTGCAATATTTACAGATGCAGGGTTAAGGGTCGTGGGAGTTGGCACCCAGACCACTCCAATGGGCAGAAGTGGTATGGGTGCCTGGAGTGTCCCTTTGATATTCTTGGAGGTTTAATTGAGACCATATGTCTTAGTTAAAACCTTGAAATTATCTTCGTAGCTCAGGATCAAAGTCATGAACTAATGTTAAAATAGGTGAGCTCTGTGTATATGCCACTGAATGCAGAGTTTAAAAAGCGAGCCTACATAACTTAAGCTGAAATATCCAGGACCCTCTAATAATCAGGACTAAAAGTACCCCCACTTTTTTAATGTCCAGTCAAGCTTAGGAATGCTTTACATAACAGGGCACAATCACACCCATGATACTGGCACATTGCTGTCATTGCTAATGTATTGGCTTCTGAACAAAGATACATTTCTAACTACATTTCTATAGATTACCAGAAGAAATATGCTCTTGACTTAGGCCTTATCACAGCAACTAGAGCAATTGCACTGTAGTTGCTTTGAAGTAGGCTTGGAGAACTGCCTGCTGTTTTCTAAGAAATTGGCACTTCTCTAAATAAACCTTTTTTAAACCCTGCCTAGTTGTCAGACATGTCCTGATACTTTCTGGTGTTAGGCTCAGTGGAGCTAAACATAAGAGGCAGGCAATTGTTCTGTGCATCGGCTGTGAAAATGCCTCTAATTGAGCTGCATTTAAGGACTGATTGGTCAGCCACAGAAAGTCCAGGCTGGGTTAGAAGAGGATGGCTTGCAAAGGCAGCAGACCAGAAATTTTACAAGGTGTTTTTAGATCTATCCCCAGTGAGAAATGTATAATAAAATTAATGTATGGTTTAATTTATTTGGGCAGTGGAGTTCCTCTTTAAAGGAGAACTAAAAGTACCACTACAACTTGCTGTAGTAGTTATGGTGCCATGACTGCATCCCTGGTATCCAGTCAAGATTTATCTAAAGAATTGGCAGAAAGCACTCATTGGCTGAGCACAATAACCATTGCAGTATACTCTCACTAATCTGTAGTGGTTCTGTTGATTGGTGTTTTTTTTTAAGTTGTGTTTATCATCCGTGGACATGGTGAGGCCTTAGGCGAAACTCAAACATGCGGCCCCCACTAACACCATTAGAGGGGGGGGGAATAGCGGTTGACGCGTGTGTGTGTTTATAAGAAGCTGTAGATATACTGAAGGGCGGGTTTGCTGCGTTGGATACAGAGAGTTAGTCTCTATTCATCGTTCAGAGGGTTGCATTGTTGCGGCTCACTGTGCCGCTGCATTGTGAGCAATCTGACTGTTATGGCATAATTTGCAATAAACAAATGTAAATTTGCAATTATGCTAATTTGTTTATACACGATTGCGGAGTATGGTTGCCTAGCCTGGCAGTTGTGTATACATAAGTGCTGGTGTGAAGGGGTTATTGGAAACCGCTATATTAATTTTGGCTGGGCTTTTAAAAATAATAAAATCGGTCACAATGTGTATTTATCTGGCTGTGGTGTCAGTTTGGGTGACCTAGTGTGAGGGAGTGGTTAACAAAAAAGGAACATTTTAGACGATTCCTTGGTGGTCCAGTGGGTTCCCTCTGTCCCTGGTGGTCCTGTGGGCTGGCTCCCCGGTCTGCAGCCCCGCCGGGTACAGAGCTGCAGACCACATGGTAAATATCTCACAATCTCCAGTCAGTTGCCATGGTAACCCATGGCTGGAGATCGCAAGACACTTCAGTCTGCATCTCTGGACCCGGCAGAGCTGCAGACAGGAGGCGGGCTCTCCCACAGGGCCTCGGTCATATACTGAGAATCGGACCGTTCAGTTTGGCGATTAAGGCGGCTGCCAGGCCCCAGACAGTGCGAGGCCTTAGGCGACGGCCCCAAATCCCTTAGTTAGAGAGCCACCACTGTTTACCATTACCTACTCTGGGTCCTCACCTACTTCATCTATTGAATGTGCTTTTATATAATTGTTTGCACATATACCTTTTTTGTATTTGAGACTTAGTTTATTTCTCTACTCCACTCCATAACTTTTGAATTAGTTATTTCTTTATTTGTTCTTCTGCTCTCATTTTTGGTCTGCATAAGGCATTCTGTTCTCAAAGGTATAAAATGAGGAGGAAGTATTAATGTGCTTCCTTCTTTCAGCAATCTTTAGAAATCCAATCAAATGAACCAAAAGGTGAACGTTTAAGCCAACAAAGTACATTTTCATCTGACGGTGACCAAGGATTTGTGTAAGTTTGTGTGAATGCTTATATTTATATATTGGTGTACATTCTATGCCATTTGTAACTGTAATAATTATTGCAATTCCATCATACTTTTTTTTTTTTTTCTTTTAGTGTATTCTTTTTTTGGGGGGAGGTCCAAGTGAAATTTGATCTATTCATGATGGAAGCCAAATTGCTAGCAAATGTTCAGATGAAAAGTCTATGAAAATTTAAAATGTATAAATCAAGAGAAAATGAACATCTGCTTTAGTAATATCTATAAGGATGGGGTGAATTATGGGTCCAGTAAAGTGTAAAACCGTTTGATAAAGGTTTTGAATCTTAATGGGACTACTAGCACCATGACCACGACAGTGCACTGTAGTGTATATGGTGTTAAGTGTTACTTTAATTGTTTTTTGTATATCTGATTTAGTCCCAATCAGCTACTACATGTTTGTTTCTAGTGTGGTGGCAAGAAAGTTATGTAATGTTTTAGTAAAATGTTGCATGTCTCCTCCATACTAAAATATATGCCTTTCACATTTTAGATTGACAGGTGTTCCTTTACGGGTTCCCTCCAGTTCTGTGTGTGATCGGAAACAAGACAACCATTTTCCTTTAGACTCGCTTGTTGAAAACCCTGCAAGTTGCACCACTGTTAAACGGTCATTGAATTCAAGTATTGTAAAGGGCAGGTTTAATGGTCCAGAAATATCCTGCCCATCCACCTGTACATCTCAAGGTAATTGGTGTTCACGTTGCCAAGTAAAAATGTATTCAAACTGCCTACTTTCCATATTTATTACTCGAAGAGACTACTATGGAAGTAGTACTTTGTTCATGTATCAATAATATGTCCTAATGCAGGGGTGCCTACACTTTTTAGTGTCCTGATCTTTTTTTTTTTTTTTAATATATACTTGACTCAACAAGATCTACCTTTAAAAAAAAAAAAAAAGCATGTTTTCTTACAAAATAAGTTAAAATTCTTATTGCGACTACTGCGTGTATCTTTGTATTGAATTCATCTAATAAAACGTTTAAAAAAAATGGCCCCTCTCTCTACAAAACCCATTCCCACTCACTTACAGTAGCATCTATTAAAAAAAAAAAAAAACACTCATTATTCGCAAGCAGATACCACTAATGAAGGTCTGTTTGCTGCTCCCTGCTACTGACTGCAGCCTCAATGGTCTACTGCCGTGGTGCCGCCCGCACCCATTGTTAGAGCAGTTTGTTCACTGGAGGAAAGCAGAGAATGTCGACGTGGCGTTGCACACCCAGCTGAGAGTCGCATCCCTCACCCTATGTGTAGTTAAAGAGTCAGCCGCAATCGACCAGCATTGCTTTTGCGATTGAATGGAAGAACCAGATTATTGTAGAGAGAATGCAGGGGGTAGTGTGGTGTTTAAGAAATCCATACAGAAAGTTGTCCTTGGGGTAAAGATGTATTGTACAGTGGCTTTAATTATATGATATTGACTATAATCACCATTTGACATTGACATACAGTTTTGTTTTAGATGGCAACAGTTTGGTGTGTGTGTGTGTGTACGCATAGCTATATTATGGACATGACAGACTGAATAGAGAGAATTTCTTCAATATCTGCTGTAAAGATTTGAATTTTGTGTTTACTATTTTTTTGTGTTATTTCAGAAAGCCATGCCTCTTCAAATGAAACTCTTGGTGATGCCATGTCTTCAAAAGCTAATGAAAAGTCTAATGATATTCATGATTCACAGGAGAAAAATGCAGTAAACCTATTTGCTTATGTAACAAAAAGACGGAAATATTCAACAATGTCTCGTTCAAGTTCTCAATCTTTAATATCTGATTGTAATCAAGGCAAATGCTGTAATGGCGAAAATCAGGAAAGTAATCCTTGCTCACCAACAGAGCAAGTTACTGATACTACATTTCAGTTTAACCTAACTTCTCAAGATAGAAGTGATGCCATCACAGCATCTTGCAATGGTAATAAACAAATCTATGGTTATGGCCACAGTAGCAAACCATCTCCAACAACCTGCTCAGGTTCTCCATCTTTAAAAATGGACAGTGAGCAAGTACAGAATACAGAAAGAGTTAGTAGGTTTAAGGTTCAATGCAATCAAGCAACAGATACTACAGTTCAAACCAGCAACATTTGTGAAGGAGGATGTGATGAGTCTCCAGCAGTGGGTGGATCTGTTGCACCAGAGCAAACCGTGTATGAAGCAGACATGGAATTGACTAACACGGACTCTGCTTCCATAGTTGCCATTTCATCTAAAAACAAAACTCAGACCGGCATAACCAAATCGGGAATACCTGTGAAACACAATGGGACCACTTTAAGAAGGGTTAAGAATTCAGCACGGAACAAGACAAAGGCCACAAGTAGCCAAAAAAATGAATCTGAAAATAAGGACGACAACCTGACCAAAATCGTTTCAAAAGATAAAACTCTGTTTGACTTCCACATCCAATCTCCGTGTATTGACCCTTTAACTTCTGAAGTGGAAGATTATCAATTGAGCTCTCATTCCACATGCTCTAAAACAGATCACACTGCCCAGCTCTGTAACAAATCTGAAGTTCGGAAGACCTATTTATTAACAGATTGCATTAAGCTAGAAAATGAAAATGAACCAGTCACCAATATGCTTACGGAGAATCCAGACTCTCCTGCTATACCTGTATTGTCGTCGCCCAACAAAATGTTAAAAGTAAATTTTAAAGAAAACCATATTCCTCTAACTCTAGAAAAAGCGCAGGTAAGAGGAGTAAAGCGTAAATCTTCTGAAACTACATCTAAGCGGAATAATCCAAAGGGTTCAAATGGAGCTGAAAAAGATCGCAGGCATTCCAAAAAGTTAGGGCGTAAAACAAGCAAGCAAACAAACAAACAGAAAGATAATCAAAAATGCTTGGAGGACAAAGTGCCTTCGGTAGAAGTAGAGCTCAAGAACATTGAGGGCATTTCTAACAAGTTCTTGGATAATTTTGGAAATCGAAACCCTTCTCTCAGAAGAGAAACCTACGTTTTAAACCATGCACAAATAACTGGTACTCCTGCTTCACAGTCCGTTTCAAGAGAAAATAAATTTAGTTGTAGAAGGGAAACCTATGTAATTCCTGAACCAACTCCTTTGGAATTCAGTTTTAACTATTCTACTCCTGAAAACGTGACTGCCAAAGGTCAACCTGGGGCCTCTGTTCCCTCAGTCATCCCTTATCAAGTTCCTGTTGCGGGTGTTTTGCTAGAAAATAATAAAGACCTATGTGCTAAAACCATTAAAAAGGAACCCAAAATGCTGGAAGACATGGAAAAAGAAAGTCTTACACATAATTGTGAGATGGAGAACACAATTAAATGGCCCATACAAAGTGACATTAAAAATTCAACTTTGGTTTTGCAAGAGGACAAGAGAAAAACAATTATTTTACCTAATGCTGTAAGTAATGAGAAAGCTACACTTGTTCGGGAAAGTCTGGTGGGCTTACCATTAAACAAGACTCACAAGCAAATTGGAATGGGTTATTTGACAAATGAGCAAGACTCGTTTATGCTTGACATGGTTAGTGAATCTGTACTTGAAACAATGATTGAAAGTCCAAGTTTTTTACGTGTCTCCTCTGTTACAAATGGTGAAAACTCATTATTTATAAAGGAGGGGTCCTTAGACAATATTGCTCTTGTAGAACTTCCTGGGACAGAGGATGTGTCCCACCAGCCAGTGAATTTTGGTCCCCTTGATGAAACCAACTATAACGAACCACAAGCCTATGAAGGAATGGATGATCTACAGTTTGAAGACTTTAACCAAAGTCTGAGCAACCAAGGAACAGGCAAGTACTGATCATTGTTGTCTTCACTCCATGTAGAATCCTTGAATGACCTAGTAGTATGTGTCATCATTTTGAACATACACATGTAGACACAGGCTGCAATTATGAATTAAAGGAACACTCTAATCGTAATTTATTTTTTTTTTATTTTTTTTAATGCACCCCAATGAAAATGTGTGCATTTATTGCTGCATTTGTTCATTTGGATATATCTAAACATTGCTTGCAAATCTGCTTTCTGCAGCCTTTGCAAACCCTCCACTTTTTCCCCAGCAGGCAGCACGGACTTTCAGTTAATATGCACGTCAAAGCTTTCCTATGGGCCTTTTCAAAGTGCTGGACATTTTTTATGCACCACGTGAAGACCTAAAGCTTGTTTCACAGAGTCACTCTGTGAAACTGGTAGACCGCAAATAGAAGCTGTCTTAACCTTGCAATATATAAACAAATTGCAGTTTTTGTAAAACAACAATGTTTTACATTGCAGGTTTAAGGGAACAAGGACACTGCACCCTGGCCACTTCAATGAGATTAAGTGGTCTGGGTTCCTATAGTTTCCCTTTAAGTCATTTTGTTTAAAATAATAATACAAAGAGATGGCACTCACCAAATTGCTAGGGGTATGTTACAATTTGAAACGCAACACCAACAGACTCCAGGCACCATGACCATTTCAAATCACTGAAGTGGTCATGGTGCTTGGAGGAACCCTTTAAATAATGTGAGCATTCATTTGATAGGAAACATGGATTTTTGTGTATGATTGAGCTATATGGTATTGTTACACATACAGACACATCTATTATAGTAGATGACGAAATTTTAAATTTTCAAACTATTAAAAAAAAAAAAAGGCCTCCAGTATGTGCAAATAAAAAGAACAAATTAAAGTGTTTATTACAGTTGGCTTCAATTCAATAGAAGTTCATTGAAGTAAGTAGAAACTTTGAGCAACATAGCTTTTATTAATGTCAACATTGTGAGTGGGGTGTTTTTTGTTTTTATACCAATTTTATATTTTTTTTTTTTTTTTTTTTACAGCAACAAAACCTTTGAAAGATTTGACAAACACCAACTTTGGTTACATCAAACAATCCCCAAAGGCTTGCTCAGAAGAGGAAGACCAGTCAAATGGCTTTTCTAGAAGGCGACGTAATCAAGTCAACTACAAAGAGCCAAACTTGTCGAGGTTGGAATGGGTTTCCTGTGAAATTTTCATATCTCTATAATGCAATAGGAATAAAGGGTCAATCCAAGTCTGTTGGGTCTCTTTAAAGTTTAGACTGGTATTTTAAAGATCATTATTTGACTAAAAATGAGGTCAAAAGGCAATTTTAGTGACATCTCCAATGGTGGGAACACAGGCGGTTACCTAAAATATATTTTGTGTGTGTGTATTGTTGCACCTCATAGTGTGCAATGGACACTGGGTTATTCATTAACCTCCAAAGTTTCAAGAATTGCATCTGAATGAAAGAAATGAGGCAACAATTGCTCATCTTGAAAAATTCTCCAACTTGGCCATAGTCACATCTTGTCTATTTTACCCTCTCCGCCAATCGGTGACTCACCATTCACTAAACTGGCTTGGAAACAAGCTTCTCTTTTCCAAGCCAATTTTAATTACTGGTTAGCTGAGAGTCATCTAACCGCTCTCAGCCAATTAGCGGCGGCACTTCCTGAATCTGGAAATTCATGCAGCCTGGGGGGAGTGGACATCGTTGCCAGAGGCATCTTTGGGTTTAATCCCTTGAGGTAAGCATGCCTCCAAGGAAGTCCTGACAACAAACCAACTTCTTCGATTAAGTTGTTTTGGTATCTGGAGTGTCCCTTTAAAACGTCTGATTTACTTCAATGCAAATGAGAGCTGGAGTGGACACATGAGAAATTAGATTATTGTGTTAGGAATGTATGTTTCTATTATGTTAATGCTGTAGTGTTCCTTTTTAAGGGTTACTACAACCCTTCTTAAATGTTTTTTGCTTATTTTGATGAATTATGCCCTATTTGGTATTATTTAGGTGTTTTTTCCCTCCACCCCCTGAACACTAGAAAAAAATAGATTTATACTAAAGTTTTACTTACCTGTACAGAAGAGGGGAGGGAGGTAACATCCAGACTACGCATTGCAAGTTCAAGACCATTCTGACGATAGACATATTTTATGCACAGAATTGACATTTGGCAGCCCGGAACGATCTTCCAGGTTGCCAAAGTCATGTGTGCTGGGAGTGCAACTAGCTCTCTGCACACACTTAACAAAATCTCAGTATGTGCAGTGTTTAAGTTAACATACTGACTCCTACCACCATGACAACTTTTAAAAAATTTAGTAACACTCCAGTACTTTCTATTGTTTTATTTTTAATGTAAGTGTTCCTTTAGGACAAAAATATTTACAATATGGAGCACCTACATCAGTCTACATACGTAGACTGGTTGCAGGTTTGTTGTGGTTTTTATAATTGTTTTTTTTTTTTTTTCTGCTACAGAAAGATGAGGCGCGAAGAGGAATCCATATCTGCAGATCTCCAGAATTATCCACAGTGCAAAGGAAAACGGCAAAAAACTGTAAAGAGAAAGGTTTCTAGACAGAAAAGTGCCTGAGCGAAGATTAGGTTTAAACTTCTACCTTTTATTTCTTTTTTAATCTCACTGCACGTTTTCTTCACAGATGTTTGTCATGTGAGGGGTATTGATATTAAAATGAGGGTAGTGCTCAGTATGCTGAGGTTTATATAGGAAGCATGGCGAGCGTGCATGATTTTGCAAGGTTAGGGTTACTTATATCGTCAGCACAAAGCCTTCTTTTTTGTTTAAATTTTTCAGATGGCGACCTCTAAGTCAACTCCTTTTTCAAGTTAGAAACATAAAGGCTTTATCTTTATCTTTTGGTCACATTATAAGGACCTGTTAGTGAAATTACTTGAAGGTGGTTACACTTTTATCACTCCACCATTACATTTTATCCAGAAGTCTGGACGTGTCCATTGTTTATAACTTTTCTCCTAGGTGGTTACACTGTTATTGCTCCACCATTGGAATATATCTACAAGTCTGTACGTGTCCACTCTTGAGATATAAGCATATAGTCTGAGGGACTTTTGTTGCAACAACGAGGTATCCTGGCTTTTGTATAGGGGTATTCTAACAATATAACCCCACATTTTCTGGACAGTTTAGTCCACTATAACTTGTAATCTGGTGTCTCCATCTTTAAATAGCCCATCGGACCTGCTTTATAATATCTTTCTGGCGTTTAACCCACCCTCCCAAGCCAACTCCTATTAACCATTAATCCGCCCCTCCCCCCCACTATAAATCTGTGCCATTTTGGCTCTTTTTAAGGGCTTTTATGTGTGTTACTGATGTCCTGATGCTTGATCCTTTCTAAATGAAATTGTGTTTTTATTCTCCAACATTACAAGGGACCTTTTTGTGCCCTCTGGACTTTAAGTCCATTGGTCATTTTTGTTTATATTTTAGGTTTAAGCTTTGCCCAACATAATAAACGTGATCATATAACTTACCTTTGTATATTCTTTCCATGAATGTGTTGTTACGAGATCTGCATCTCACTTATTTATGTGTCCCTGTTGCTTGCTTCATAAAACAAATCCGATTTAAGCCTGGAATTCTGACCGCTCAAAGCTGAAATGTATCTTCATTGTAATAATCTAGCATGTAAACAAAAGTGGTTTAAAGATCTCTGTATGCACAAACACATGCATTTGAGGGTACTTTCACAAGACACGCTTATGAGACATGGTTATGACTGTAACTAGTTCATGTCAAGTCATCCCTTACAATGTGCGATTGTGTTGACGTTTTAAACTATATTTGGCATTCATACGAGCGGGACACGTAGTAAATGTTGATTATACCAAACAAGCTTTTTAACATGTTACAATAAAAATAGTAAGGCTTGTTTCAAAATGTTGAGAATTCAGAGGCTTTCTGTTCAAACTAGTTTGTTGGGCTTAAAGATGACCCGTGCACACGCTCTGTAGACCCATTATAGAAGCTAATAATATATTTTTAAACCTATTTCCTCTTAATGCTCTAGAAACCATTTTTACTTTGAGATAGACTCTCTAATTTAGCCTGTTCTGTTTTACTGATTATTCCAAATATTTTAGAAGCATGAAGCATTGCTGTTTTTCATATTTTCCAGCAGATTAACTTTATTTGGGTTTCAAAATATTCTTAACCATCAAAAGACTACAAAGGTATAGCAGTATTAACATAACATGAACACTTAAAGGGATAATCCAGGCACAAATACAACTTGAATGTCTTTTGATAGATTTTTGCCTCATTAATATGCTGTTTGTAGACATGCTCAAATCTTTAATTTTTTTGCAATGTTACACCATAAGTCCTTAGCCACACCCCCTCATGCCAGAAAGACTTTGTTATCAAAGGTACACAAACAGTCTCCTCCCCAACAGCACTGATTGAGACTGGCTGTAGACAGAGAAACTGCAGGCAGGTAGTGATATCCTTACTGTATGATTACCTGGGTGTCCTCTCCCCTTTTTTTTTTTTTTTTTCTCCCAATTTTTATTTTTGGGGTACAGCATGAAAAAAAGGGTTGGGGGAGTAAAATGCATAAATCCTATACAGTACTGTCGTCTCACCAGTGCGGATTACATTACATTAAGTGTAGTACACCTTATGATCATTATCACCAATATTGTCGGAACTTTTAGCTTGTACCCCGTGACATTTAGTTCCCCTAGGTCCTTTTAGTGATCCACTCTATTTCTAACTATGTGGATCAATGTGTTTTGTCTGTCCTGGGAGTCCTTGGTGATAGAGCTTTATGGTACATATGTGGGCAGCAGCCCAGGTTATCATTCTGAGTAAAGCCGAGTTGGCATTGAGTGTTGAGTTTGCTCCCTTGAGCATGTCTTATTCTACGGGTGTCGCGGGCCTAGGTGTTTTTTTTGTTGTTTTTGTTTGTGTCTTTGGAAGAGGTGCAGGTTTGGTATGCGCTCTTTAAGTAGGTGTCGTCCCTATTTTAGCAGTTAGGTTGGTATCTCCAGGGGTCTGTTTGCGTTTGGTGGACAATTTCTGCAGTTTAACCTTTCTATTCTATCAAGGTGGAACATAAGGGTTGAGAAATAAAGAGGGGGGGGTTGTTGCTGGGGTGAAGAGGCCATCCCTTTTATACCACTCTTCTCTCAGTGTTATACTCGCCAGTGTTGGCATGGGGTTGTGTGTAGCGTATATGTCAGTTGGAGGAAGCAAATAACTTTCTTTTCACAGTGTAGGGTCGCGCCATGTTCTTGAGACTCTGTTGGTTGCGGGGTGTGCTTATCAGTCTATTGGGCTGGTCCCAGCTTGTCCATCAGTCTTGGTGATTTGTCTGGGTCTATTTGTAGAGAGAGAGTAGAAGTGGAAAATGGGGGGTGAGGGGGTGATTGGGTTGGACTAAGTATCTCTGTTTGCGGTCAAGGGTGAATGCCATAGCGTCTGGATGTGGACATTTACCCTGCTATCTGTGGGGGTGTCCTCTCCTTCTCATGCAGGTTGTTTTGTTGTGCAAATAGTTTAATGTCATTGGCTGAGCTGTGTCTATGGTAAACTATATCTTTGGTAAGGAAGTATTTTTCTGGAGTGAGGGGGTGTGGCTAAAAGGCAGGCTTACTGTGCAACATTCTACAAAACCTTTATTTTATGCAAAAACCTAAAGATTTGAGCATGCAAAAAATAAAGCTATTAAAACCTATCCAATGCATTAAAGTAGTATTGGTGCTCGGAATATCCCTTTAACATAATGGTTACTTGATGAGTGAGCCAAAATATAGTGGCAGCTTCTTCTCGAGACCTTCCAGTTTAGTTTGTCAATATTAACAAATTTGGGCATGCAGCTAAGGATGGGATCCTGGGCTGTATCCCTATTTGTTGATGTTTCTATGTTTATTTTGGTTCACCTGTCATGATGCCATTTGTTCTAGTAAATTGTGTACTCTTGTAATGTGTAAGTAGTCACATAGCCATAATGCTGAGGCTAGCTGGAGTTTTATGCAAAAAAAATATATATTTTATACAGCGATTTTGTTTTTGTTTTTTTTTTGTTTTGTTTTTTTTATTTATTTATTTTTTTAATTCCTTTTAAATAAAACCGTGCTGATCACAAAAGTCATATCACATCACTGATGCATCCAATAACTTTTTTTTTTAGCATCTAGAAATTGGCAAGAACTATAAAGTGATTGTTTATATCTGTTCATTACCAATACTGATTTTATAATTTATATTGGCAAGTACAGTGGCACTTCATTTGATTGTCTGTCTGTCTGTCTGTCTGTTTTTCTTTGTAAACATTAGTAGCTATAATAAAGTAAGGAACATTGTAAGATTACATGTGGTTGTATATATTTTGTATAAACCTTTTTACTTTATATAAATATTAGTATTTCTTATATAATACCATATTTCTCTTTTTTTATTTAATAAAGTATTGACTAATTACAACAGACGTGCAAACTGTGTACTTTGTGATCTAGTTTAATGTCTGGATGAATTATACACACACTCTCCCCTGCTACGGAGGTTGAATTAAAGAAAATATCATAAAATAGCAGCTTTTGCCTGATAGTGCAACTCCTCCCAATCTTGGGTAGACCTGGTAAAAAAAAAGTGTATAATCGATACACAATGCTAAAGTGTGTATTAAGGAATCTAGAGAGATGTTCTTCTAATGTGCGAGTGGTTCTCAGACCACTGAGCTGTAGAAAGAGTCTCCTACAGCCAAAGCAACAGAGCACAATAAGATATGTTGTGAGTGTAGTTAAATCATTAATAAGCGGTTTAACCACAAAATGTAAAATTGGACGCATGATTGCTGTGCACAGCTATTTCTGCAGCAGTAGAAGCCCTTGGACTGGGAGCTACTGATAGTCTGATACTCTCAGCTACCTATTAACAAAATGATTTTGGGAAAAATGCAAATTCAAGACTTCGGGGTTAAACCTTTAGTAGGTTAGTTCCCAGGGACCTCCTTGCACCATAACTTTATTCTGATAAAGTTGCTATTGTGCCCAGTGTTCCTTAAAAAAAGAAATTTTTGTTTTGTTTTGTTTTTTTATAACATTGAAGTGTGTCTGTTGCTGTTTAGATTCTTGGTAGAATGGTGCTGTTGCAGGTTCTCTTAGTGTCCCTTGGTGTCTGCTTCTCTAATCCTCCGCTGGTACAGCATACAGTGATTCTAGCCCTCTGGAACCTTGTAAAATTCCCCTAATATAGTGGACAAGACTAGTCGTATTGGGTGAAACAAGAGTTCTGCTATGGTTATTCATGTTGTGTAGAGTTTCCCCAGTATAATGGACACAATTTGACTTTATTAGGCCACTCTGCTTGTTATGCAGTGCCCCTACCATGGGGTTTCTAATACAGAATCACAGGGATTTCCTTCCCACAAGCCATTGTGTTTGAGAGAAAATTTAGCTCTAATTAAGATAATCCAATTATATCTCAAATAGGAAAACTCACATACAATTTTTACATATCACAAAATACATGACAACAGCATTGGAACCCCACAAATGATATTCTCGAATAGCCCCAATCTGAGCGCACAGCATATCCTTAAAGCGCTCAGATCGGTTTTGTAAAACAAAAGTTATGTTGGAGGTGGTTAGAGGTGGTATTGTCCATTTCAAAAGGGGTCAATTTGATTGCATGCGATGTCTGGGCTTACAGCCTAAATTCCTCTTAGAAGCTTGGACCCCCAGGAGAGCTACTCTGTAAGGAGTGAGAAGTCACATATAAGTGGCCTGGGAGTCTAGTTTCTGCACAAACTAAATGCACAACAGCTTTTGCATAATACAATTAACACAATAGCTTTTATCCAGCTCAACATTTTACATAATGACTCAACATTAACACAATGAAATCCCATATCCTATATATAATTTTAAGTCTTTGACCAGGCCCATAGTCTGTGGGCAGTAGGCTAGCTGTTGTGCCTCTTCAGCAGGCTGTGGCATGGGGATTTCCATGACATATATTCGCAGCTGTCTGGAGTGGACACAGTCTGTTAGTGCAATGCCCGCAACAGCACTTCTCCTCAACCAGCCCCTACAGTCCTGGGGTCTGGCCGGCTTTGTACACGGTACCCTGCCGCCCTACCTAGGCTCTGGTACACAGGAGTCTCTGAGCCTGTAAACCCTCCCCACTCTTCCTGCAAGACTGCTAGGGTCAGGAACCAGGAGAAGGGGAGAGCAGAGACTGGCAGCGCTTTGTTCTGATGCAGGTGCTTCCTTAAGGGAAGAGGTAGCGGCAGCCATATTCTCACCCGCTGACCAAACCATAACAGGTCGCTGGGGTCCGCCTCAGGAACTTGTGAGCATAGACCAGTGGTGCTCTGCCTTGATGCCAGCTCTAAAGCTGGGTTTGCACTCTGCTGCTGGAGAGGGAGACCGGTTGTCTCTACTCCCTTTCAAGGTACACTGTCACTAGGGAGTGAGACCGGCTGTCTCTTCTCCCGGTAATATACTCTGCCGCTGGGGAGTGAGACTGGTTGTCTCTACTCCCAATGATGCTTGCTGCTGCTGGGGAAAGGGACCAAAAATCTCCTCTCCCTGTAACTCACGCTGCCGCTGGGGAGCGAGACCAGTTGTCTTTACTTCCAATAACTCACGCTGCTGCTGGGGGAGTGAGACCAGCTGTCTCCACTCACACTGCCGCTGGGGAGGAAAGACAATGTGCTTTTCTCCCTGGAACTCTGCCACTGGGGAGTGAGACGGTTGTCTCCATTCCCTGTAACCTAGTCTTATGGCAAGTTCTTTAGCTCACTCTTTCTCCGCCTCCACCATAATCCGTTCAACCACCTCAAGTGATGGGTTTGGGCCATAGAAAGCCAGCTGTTCTCTTACCCTCCATGAGAGCACATTCTGTCTGTATGTGCTGCCAGTGAGAACGGTGATTCGCTGAGAGGGCTGTCTGGCCTTTCCTGGTCCAGGTCTATTAGGGCTATGATCATCTCAGGTTTCTTTAGTCCTCTGTGAGCAAGTAGCTCCTGTAGGGCTAGGATGGTCAGGTACCTATAGTTGTCTGCCATCCTGGTTGCTGTACTTTCTGCTGAACATCCGTCTGCACTGCTTTTCACGGAGGATCCCACTTCTTGACACCAGTGTCACGGGTTGCAGGGTCTCTTAGTGTCCATTGGTCTCTGCTTCTCTAATCCTCGACTCTGTTGGTTGTTGTTGTCTAACAGTCTCTTAGAAAATGTTATGTTTTTTACATAATCTTACAGAAGGAACAGCATCTGTACAGCAAAACCACTATATTTAGATGACATGGTTTAGGTGCTTAGGGTGTCTCTATGTTTTATACATTCTTTTTTGTTTGTTTTGGAGACCATATGGTAATAAAATGAATAGATCTGAAAGATTAGGTTGGCTTTAGGCAGGCTTACCAATTCTTTTTATTTTTTTGCAACTTTGAATATTCCAAGAAAGCAGAATAATCGTTTAACCTTCAGATAATGCATGTAGACTCACACAAATCATTCTACAGTCCTTGTGATTTTTGTAGTTCAATAAACTCCAGTACATGGCACAAGGACAGAGGACAGTGGCAGGAAAAAGAGGAAAACTGCAGATGGTTTGCACACAGTGCACTTTTGCAAAAATCGCATACATCCATACGTAGTCTTTATTTTCACACATCACATTTGTTTTCATCCCTGGAGCCTCTTGATAAAAGCAAATATCTAGTAAACTTGTGCACAAATCTGTTTCAGCAGTGTTAAACAAATCAAATTCAAAAACTTTATGCCTGAACGACTTGATTTCCCTGTGGTGACTTAAAGGGACACTCCATTCTCAAACACAACTTTAATGCATTTGATAGATTAAAGGGACACTATAGGAATCAAACCAACTTTAGCTTAATGAAGCAGCTTTAGTGTATAGATCATGCTCTTAGTCTCACTGCTCAATTAATGTTTGTTTGGCTGTGCCTTACATAACCTGCATGGAAAAGAGAAATGGTAAACCCTTTAACGCTACTGAATGGTGAAACGTGTTAAGTATTTTGAAATTGTTTTATACAGCTATTTTACGTAATTTCTTTTATATTTTATCTTTTATCAATAAAAGTACTTTTTTTTTTTTTTTAATGGACCTGCTTTCTGCTGAACTCGTGAACACACCTATCTGCTTGGTGGGGATAATACTGTTATGGGCAAATGCAAATATTGTATTTCTCAAACTGTGTACTCTGTCTCTAAGAGATATTGCAAACTGACAAGGTGTTAGAAATGGAACATATTGATTTTCATACATGTTTCTTTAAGCAATAACCTTTTACTTACTTTCAGTGCATAATATGTTTACGCCATTTTGTCCCAGACGAAATAAAATAAGTAATGCAATAATATCTTCAGCTCTGTGCTGCGTCATCCTGATGCCATTTTGTCCTGGGATAATGGAGATTTAGTATAAACAATAAATAAGATGCCTAGGTCATGGCAAATAAACAATAGATAAGATGTTCAGACTTTAACATGCCATCTTGTCCTAAGTCAGAGAATTTCCAAGTTAAGGGAGGTCCTAAAATTAATAAAGTAAAAGAAGTGTTACTTTTTCATATATTAACTACGGTAACCCTAAAATGAAGACAACTAAGGTATAAATAGGTGTACTTTTAAATGTTAAGGAAGAGAGGAGAGAGTTAGAGACAGACGATCCATCTTATAATGACAGAGAGGCTGACATGATCAGAGGTGGCTCACTGTTGAGGCGGCCGCCTAAGGCCTCGTGCTGGCTGGGGCCTCGTGGCTGCCTAAACCACCTGTGGGCAGACACCAGGAAGGGGCCCGGCAGCTTGCCCGGTATGCTCCTGGGTGCGAGGCCCCTCCTAGCTGCCCGGCCAGCCAACGCAGACACCAGGCTGCAGCTCCACAGTGAGCAGAGCTGCAGACCATGTGCCTCACGAGAATGAGCCAATCAGAGTGTTGCCGCGGGTTAACACTCTGACATCTCGTGCGATTACATTGTCTGCGGAGCTGCAGACCGGAAATTATGGCCACCGGACCACCAGGGAGCCCACTGGACCACCAGGGAAATTAAGGTATGTAGTCCCCCCTCCCTCAGCATCAACCCTCCCTCACCATTCGCCCCCCTCCCTCAGCATCAACCCCCCTCCCTCACCATCCACCCCTTCCCCCACCATCACCCCAACCCCCTCCCTCACCATCAGCCCCCCCCATCACCTCCCTCCCTCTCCCCCATCACCCCCTCTCACCATCACCCTCGACCCAACGCCCCTCTCCCTCCCATCAACCACCCCTCTCATCACCCCCCCCCTCCCATCCTCGTGTAAGTTTGTGGGAACTCAAGGGGACAGAGCAGCATTCGGTAGAA